GTCGCGCGTGATGTTATAAAATCAACTAACTATACTAGGGTCGCATTCCACAAATTGCGTGTTCCAAATAAAGCTGAGAATTTCTTGGAAGCTGAAATGTGATGCGATGTTAAACATGTCATAAATATGGCTCAAGGCCCAAATAATACTCTACAAAATATTTAAAATGAATTGCGTACATAATTGACCAAGATTCTTGTGTGAGGTTTTTTGACATTAGGGTAACCCGATTTGAACTAAAAGTATTTTTTTTATTTTTTCAAAGATCATCAACGTGTTTGAAACCATTGCAGTTTAATTCTATTTTGGAACTTGAACAAATTCTTATTTTTTTATTATTTCGTGATTGGGATAGCACAAAAATATTAAATCCAAAGTAATCCTAATTTTTACGTCCTGATTTTGTTTTACATTTCAATTTATGTGCATATATTTTTCTTTTTTGTTGTAGTATGAGGAACACAACTTTATGTTTTTAAAAAAACTGTCAATCACTCACAAAAGAGTTAGACATAGACAACCGGGCGTTACTCATTCGTCCGTCCGGTTTGTGACTTCATATTTTTCCGGATTTAGGATAATTTTAACAATACCGATGAATTTTTATTCGAAATGTCGTCATATAAATCTGGCTACGCGTCAGGATTTTTCTGAAATGTCTAGTTTTTTTTGTCGTTTTTCGTGTTTCTTTTGAAATGTATCTAATTTGATTAATTCAATTTGAATTCTGACACAATGAAAGATTGAAATATTACAAAATTCAAACGCATTTCTAATGTGAAAGGTGTAGTTCTCTTTACCGCTATTTAGGATATTTAGTTTTGTAAGTTATCTTTTGGTAAATGAGACTAACTATACAGTAAGTGATTTTCTGATCATCTACAATTAACGGTATGAATCGAAAAATATTCTCAAGTTGCCTCAAATGCACTCACATTTATTCGTCGGAAATAATATATTTCCATAGGAGATGATTTCCGGCGCGAAGTTTTGATTGGATTTGGCTACCGGAACACAAAGTAGCTTGACCTTAATGTTGAAATTTGATTTTCAATTCAAGTTACCTTTCTCTATGCTTAATCGCATTATAAAGAAATATATTTTCTGTGATTAAATAATTGAAACTTCTGCATGACGGAACAATATTACTGTCCGAATGGTAACTTTGTTAATTCTCGCTACTCCAACCTTCAAAGTTGATTAAAGTATATTGGATCAACGGATTTAAGTTCATTGTTATTTTATAACTTTGACCTCATCCTTTGGGAAATCTTTTAATTCGTTTCATTGTCTTGCACTGGGCGAAAGACTTTTACTAAACGTATCGTCCAATCATACATGGGATATCGAAAAATATGACTTTCAAATAATACTATATATGATACACTATACTACAATCGTATTTTGATTGGTAATTGACAGCAGAACTTCAAATGCAACAATGAAATGATTATCTTCTTAAGTTATTACTTGTTGATAATGAAACAAAGACATGCTGCTGTGAACTTGTGTGCTGCAGTCGTGGGAATCATTTTAAATACACATTGAATTATATTCAACCATATTGCTAGTTATATTTGTGAAATGAGAAGTTTATATTACGTTCAAAAGTTGAATTCACTCCAGATAGTAACATGATATATTAATGTTTACATGAAATCATATTTTGATGATTGGTATCAAATTATGATACGATTCTATGTTTTTCGTATTTATCTCAGAGGAGAGTAAAGCCGATATGACGGCTTAATCATATTGTTAACCACAGGGCCTTTCAGTTGCTAGTCCATGTATGATTGGTGGATAGTTGACTATTTGTCGATTCGGATTGATCCTATCAATAACTAATTTTTGTAATATTCTAACATGCTTACTAGTTTTAAGTGGCAAGTAATATTTTCTGTGTGTTGATCAGTTTCAAACATATAAAATTTCGAATATTCCGCCAACAAAATCATCATCACAAATATATTATCGCTAATGAATTTTCATAAGAAACCGTGCATGAAACCCAATGCCCAATTTTCCCACGATTTTGCAATGTAATCTTTGATATGCACAAAACTCAAATTAAATATGTTAAATTGGCCCTAAATCACCCACGATAGGAATAATGATGAAATGTGAGTTTACCAATTCACCGTGAATATTAATTGGCCCATGATACATATCATTAATTTCAGAGAAACATGTTTATTTGACTTTGAACAGAGAGTACAAAAGGTCAACATATACTAAAATTAAGCGAACCACAGATGAAATGAATATTCATGACCTACCGAACTTGGGTAAGGAGTAAGTAAGTCATAGTTCGAAAGCACGAGTTAATAACACATTACGCACGGCCAAGTATTATGATTAGTCTTGTAAGTCGTTGGGGTCAATTGCGCCATTAACAAGTGATGCTGATCGGGCCCAATTACCCGTGTATAATTCCATCGCACGCGTCTGGCAAACGCAAACAAATAGTTTATGGCTTAATTATATTGAAATATGAAATCCCTAATTATATCATCATATTTCAATAATCATAGTCAAACAAAATTACTTTCCCAGTTCATTTCATTTGACTTTTCGTTACTTGTTTTGTGAAGCTGACTCTAAATATCTATAGATATTATTAACCTGTGAGTTATAATAGAACACTTTTATTTATAAATTTCATGTTTTTTATATTTGTCGATATTGAAAATTTTTTTCACATGACTGAACATTTTTTGCTATCATCATTTGTGAATTTGCATTGCATCTTCACTAGACACGCATCACAAAGCAAATGAATTATAGATTGATTGTGCTTCTTCAGTACCTTCACAACATATTCGCATATACTTATACATTAGTAACGCGAATATGCAAAAATATGGAATGGAATAAAACTCAATTCAATTTTGAGGAACGTGAATATAATACAACAATCTACCACATGTATTTTGAATTACCATTTCCAACTATGTGATAGAAAAAATATAACGTAGCAGAGCGTACAGGATCCCAAGTTTGTCGACAAAACATATTTGAATGAAATATCACTCAATAAAAGACGAAATATAAACTAATGACAGTATGCTTGGTCATCTCATTGTCAAATGTGGTTAAACACTTTTATACGTCTTTCAGCATGCTGTAAATGACTGGTAAACACAGGGTATTTAAACAAAAAAAATATTGTACAGAATAAAATTATTGTATTATTGAACAATGTTTGGCACATTTTGTATATATCACCATGATATTCCGTTTTCATTTGTCTATTCATTGAATAATTTGCATTGTATTATTTATTGCAACAGGTTTCCTGGATAGAATTGTAAAAAATAGGTATGTTACCATTGGGCCCAATCTCTGAATCATTACATAAATTCGTATTGAATGCATATTTGGTTTTTTACTGATTCCTTACTGTACCCCAACAAAAATCAAAAATTGTCTATGAGGTTCTACGATTCAGATTGAATTGAGAATTTATTCTATAAAGACATATCACAAAGAGATAAATACTTATCCAAATCGGTCAATAACTAAGGATTTACGCCTGAGTAGGCTAATGTACGGCGGGTGTTTTGTAGATATTTCAAAAGTGTCACTCGGGCGGTTAAATGATATTGTACAGTTCGCAAATGGAGTGAACGTCCTCGTTCGTCACGAGCGACGGTAGCGATATTGATTTCCAAACGGAACGAATGCGTAGATTCGGATGTGTCTCGCGGAGTTTTCTGATGCTTATCAGGGTATGAGTAATTCTCTCGAAACATCTGCATATTATTGGATTGAGCAGCGACACCAAAAAAAACGAGTTACTGTATTCAACGCCATGCAGTAAAATGTTCACCTTCCCCCCGATGCTGAGTGTTTCTACCCTGTGTGACAATGTTGCTGAATGTCATGTATGATCAGTTTTTAAAATAAAAATACATAGATTTAATTGAATAAATATAATTACGTTTATGTATTGGAGAAATATGTGATTCTATAAACTTTTCAATTTATCAAAACAAAACGTTTCAGAGAATGTTTCCGAAGTTGCTTAAATTTTAATTTCAACATCCAAAACGGGTCACTGAAACAGAGCATTTGAAATTGTGTCCCATTGCGTGAAAAATCTTCAAAAATCTTAAAAAAAGAATTTTGACAACAATCCTTCGATGCAGGCAAAAACAATGTTATCGATCCCTATATTACTGTAATTCAACAAAGAGATAGCTGAATTCCAACGTTTTTCTGTGTTTTGTAATAGTATTGACTAATGCTTCGTAATACGATTGTTTGTGATGAATTTTTGAGAAAAACGAGTAAAAAACTGCTTTATTATTTATTACGTATAAATACAAAGTTTAGTGAGACTTCTATTATTTGTTTTAAAACAGTTGAAGGAATTTTAATACCCTTCCTCTCGAGCACGCAACAGCTGCGCCACACCAAAATGTTGCCGCGGGACAATTTAACAGAAGTAATATTAGTAGAGTAAAAAGTAAATGACCCGGATATTTTCACTTTTCTTTATAAATATTCACTTTTGTGTTTAATCTGCCCCCTGTCGTGAGAGGATGTCATTTGCGTTACTCGATATTGTCAGTACGACTTAAATTCGGCTTCTCACAAATGACTTGACGATATGCATAATACGGTTGAGGTGCTAATGATCGTATTAAATGGCCATTTTTGCTCATCTGCGGGCCACGAATGGCTGGGTATGGTAATATACATCAGTTTCACCGTTATTGTTAATTGCACTGCAAAGTTTATCATCGTGATACGCTATAATAAATACTGTAAGGATGGTACTGTTTAAATAATTGTGGATCTAATTGGAAATATTTTGAGCAACCAGGATTTGAAATATAGGAAACTGAATATCTGGTGCTCATCTCGCACTTAATGCTTTTCGTTACCGGTTGAAGCTGAAATATATACCACGTACCAATAGAGAGAAATCAAATCAATTTTAACGAATTCTCAAACGAAAACTACTCAAAATAGGTAATTGAGATTACACATACCTTGTACGAAACTCAAATTCTTTGCAACGCGATGCGGTTAAATTCCTGGTTGTTAGGTAGGTCTGTCATGTAGCTCCAATAATAATATGAAATAAATATATCCGATGCTGCGTCGTTATACTTGTAGTCTTACTGAACATTCTTCGATGAATAAGTATTTATAAGCTTTTGCGATAACTCTCATGAATAAGGCTAACGGTATTTGATTTGAGTATCTGATTCCACGCATTCAGATGCAGATTGTGAGCGTTTTATGAAGAAAATGTCATTATATTGCATGAAGAAACAGCAGCCCCGGGAGTACAAAATTACAGTGTGACAACAATCTACGCGGCGTAAAATCATCGCGAAATTAGCAATTCCATGGTGCCGCACACGGATTGAAAATTAATGCTTCAACACCCCATGTTTTCCAAAGGCCTCCTCCCCAATTTTTGTTTCTTTTTGTATCTTGTGGACATTATCTTGATCAAACACGTCTGTTGCAATTTTTTCAACATTTTGTGTATTTTTATTGCGTTTCTTATGTGTCAGATTGTCATGCGTTTGAACGTTACAATAAAGTTTAAAATATGATTTTGATGCTATCTTTATCGTGTCATGGACCAGCAAACGCGCCGGTCAAACTTTACTTACTTTTCAAGAAGAAACCACCATGTAACCAGAATCTACACATTTCACGCCTAATTTCCTTAAGGCCAAAAGTCACGCTAAATCGCCGCCAGGGTCGATGCGACATCCGTTTTGAAATTGACGCTGACACAAATCGGAAATATTTTACCCTTTGGGTAAATGTGCAATCCGGCGCGGAACCTGGTTTATCATACTTAATGGTAACTCAATATTTAAAATAAATTGAAATTTGAACTCATAGGCTATATAGACCGAACCTATGAGGCGATTTAGTTGCAAAAAGTAACGTGGAGTTTCGGGAAAAAGCTATACTTTTTATCAGTATATTGTCGCGAGTCTTACCTGAGCTGATTTTACCTGATTTTGTTTGTACGGTATTTCGTCGCTATAATAATCTTTTAGGGTGTGTGATTCAAAATAACTTTTATAAATTGTTTATTGGCTAAATTCAAATGCAAGCTTCAACACAAATTTGATTTTCGATCCCGAATCGACTTACATCATCACTTTTTACTACGAGCAGATGTTGGTGTTTTGATGGCTAATTTGCGCACGATATGTATATTTCGATTTTGTTGAAAGAAAATATTATACCAGACTTGCAGTTTGCACCCGAGCTCGTTTGAACACATCGATTACATGAAAATGATCAAGCTTGTAAGCAGACAGTCTGAGCTCTCTACCCGGTCATTACTGGTCTGGGCAAGCACGGAAGCCCAACGCACACGCAACAATGCCGTGTTACATCCGATTCCAATGATCAGCGCAGACCGCTCTTTTTCGAACAGTGAAGAGATGGTTCAGACGATCTGTGCGTGCGACACATCGCTAGACTCATCTTTGTTATATGGATGGTCTTTGTCTAAGAAGTAATTATGAGCAATATCAACATTACCATCAAGAATATTACCATGATTGTTGTACATGTATTTCCTAACTCGTCACCAATATCATGGTATCTGCAAAAGTCACCATTTGTTTCATTCCAAAAGAAAATATTGTTCTCGCATATTTTTCAACTTCATTCACCATTTTTAAAATTAAGGATGGAACGCCTACTCAGCATTGGCGGACACAAAGATCTTATTGTTCGGCCATGAAAAAATATATCAACGGTCTGTTTTTATGATATTGCAAACAAGCGGAAGCATTCAAGATCTATTATTTCGCACTAGGGTCTGATTTGTGAGCCCTTGCTCGAACGGAATGAATTAATGAAATATTTTCTCCAAACAGTTAATTTTGGAATGTCAACCAAGCCCAGCATACGAAAAAAGTAAATAGACATGGTTTATGTGAATGAACATGGCTTTTTTGAATAGCATACTAATGCAGATTGCGCGTAATTGGCAAAACCACGAAAACGTTACTTGGCGGACAGAGTCGAAGTCATTCGGGACTGGCCTGAATACAGAAGTGACCGCAAAAATGCATTAAATCGGACGAAGGGGAAGCTCGAGATGCTCGGCAGAAAAGTTTAACATGAGCGGCGAGAGTACCGCATCACAAACGGAAAACGAACGACGAGATCAAGTTTACGGAAGAGAGAAAAAGGGATAGCGTCGAAAAACATTCATTTGGTAATTCCCGGCAGTAGCTAATAAGTGTGGTTAATGAGCGATAATGGAGTCGCTCAAGCTGAAGCGCTGGGATGGATCAGGCAATACAATAAAATCAGGCCAGGAGAAAAAATGCTCGAGACGGGACGCGCTTATAATAAAGAACAATCTTAAATTTATGATTAGAATGCAATGGTTAGCCACGCCATATTATGATTTGCATGGCTAGCACATTAGCTGATACTTTTCATCAGGTGTCGATGTCTCAGAATCTGGTAATCGATGTGACGGTGTATTAGGATAGGATCTTACGTGCTACCGTATCAAATTGAAAATCAGAGGTTCCGCCGATTATTTTGTAAAGTTCACTTGGGCAAGGCTTCGGAGCAAGCAACTGTAATAGAATTAGAGATAAATCTAATGAAAGACCCAAATATACGTGATATCAATTTGCTTCTAATTTGAACTTGAATTTTTAATCAGTCAGTAGCATGTTTCAGATGAACTTTAATTGGATGGGGATAATTCAGAAAAAGATTGAGCTTCAGGAACGCAGAGAATGCAATTCTGACACCAAATAGGAAAATTACACCACTTTTCTTTTAAGGGCTTGTAAAGAGACAGCTGAGGCATTATGTGGGCACGACAACATCGCAAACATGACATTGTTTCTGCTTCACACCTGCCGTACGCAAATTCAAAATGGCGAATTTTGTTCTGAAGCATGTATGCATCAAAAATATCAATAAAAAAAAATTTTATTCAATAGTTTTATAGTTTTCTTTGACTTAACTTTGACTTAACTCATGAGTCGGTGGCAAATCTTGTATAAATACTTGTGTGCGATGCTGTTGAATATGTCGAACATTTGTTCAGAAACCTAAACAGAAGGTCAGCTAGCATATCTTTCATATATTGGTATTTGGTAGACTTTTAGACCATTTAGTCAGTCTGTTCTGTATTTCAAGTATGAAACAACGTATTTATTAGTTGTTTCATATGAAATATCATGCAGTGTACAAGAATGGGGGAGTTTCTCATTATATATTTTATATATAGGTTACGTTGATCGTAACATAATATGTACTTTGATGTTCTCTACCAAATAGTGAGTTATAGCTTGATAAACGCAGTTGGTTGGTCTCTCTCTCTCAATTTCTTTCGTTTGGATTCTACGCATACGTTAGAATTCACTGAAATATACAAGTATAAAATGAAAGACCCTTTGACCAAAATGGCGCATGTATTCAACGCATGAATGCATTGGGACGGGACGCTCGATGACGGGCATCGCGTTCACCTATATGTAGCACTTGTATATATCTAGTGCAAATTAATGATCTGTTTTAATTTTTACTTAGATTATAGTATACAGTATAGCAAATATAAAGGAATTCAATATTATTCCCAACTATAATATAAAACAAATCTGGTGAATATTCGAGAATTCTGTCAACCAAAACATAACCATGATGCACAGGCCAGGAACGTTTCGACCAGCATTTCCTCTTGAAGGTAAGTGATGTAATTATATCAGCATGTGAATGATGTACAATGGGTTGATATATCATACAGATACGTTCTTAATGAACCTCATAATTCAACTTTACTAAAATTAGTCAAAGAATAGTTTACTTTTGTGACGCCCGCTGGTCTAATTTGGTCTAGAAAACACGCAAAATGCCGATGACGGTTTATAGAAGACTAAAATTGAGTGATGTCGACTTACAACAACAGTATACAGGCGCCTATCATCCTGACAATATGAACATATTTGATACAACATGGTGATAAACATTGATTCCTGTCTTGATTAGAATCAAAATCGTAAATTCGTTTCCTAAGTGTTAAAGATTTGTTGATCAATATAACCGTTATGGAACTTCCCAAAATTACAAATAATCTGACAACATGTTAGTATTACCTACGTCGAAGAATATTCATAAAATTTCGCACTAAATTTGGTAATATTACAAGTAATTATGAACGTACTCTTGTTTTCATTGTCTGGTGTATATTTATGTTTACTAAAATAGGAGATAGCCTACCGCACAAGAGTTTCAAGTTCGTCGTCTGACTTTCTCGTTTCTACTAAACGATAATATGAATTTTTTAGGCTGAGGCACGGCAAAGTGACGCCGATAGTACATGTAACATAGCCAATTTTGATTACCACATAACAAACACAAGCCGCATGTCTTATGCCATTTTTAACCTTTCCAATACAAAGTGTAAAAAATGGTAAATTTCTCTGGCTCATACCTCAGGCGACAAGTCATTTAAACCGCATAATTTACACATAAAACCAACTGCATTTCGCAAGTTTTTGAACATTTGACTCAGATCAAAAGAGCAGTCTTTAGGCTGCGTAAATTTCATGGCGTCTCTTCCAAAACAAGTCTTCCGCAAGACCAATAAACTAACGGATTATCCTCAGTTTTGGCAACAAAACAACAATCGGAGAAGCGCATTGATGCTTAAAGTATTTTTTGTTGTTTCCGTGAAACGGCTACACGATTCCGTCATTTCCATAACTTGTTAAAATTTGATTTTAGTCACAATAATCATCTTGAAGTCAAATGTAGGGGGTAAGTGCTAGTGAAAATCCATTTTCAAGAATGATTTTCTAAGTTAAATTTTTTGTTTTGGCACTTTTCTGGCGTCTTTTCACATTTGTCACAACATGATTTTTGGGTACGACCAGCAATTTAAAAAATTGATCAATAATCAATGTACAGTCATAAACACTAATTTTGTAAACCGTTATGAATGAGGTTGCATCAGTTCATCAAGAAATTTACTATTCATCGTATAAGATGTTTAGCCAGCAAAAGGCGGTCGATATCACCTCTTCCAACTATTAATCGATAATTGCCGCCTTCTGATCATGAAGCGATTGCTGTTTGCCTCAGACGTCTAGATCTCCCCAATACCCGTTCACTTGTTAATTACTGCCCTTTATTAGGTCTATTCTACAGTTATTAACACTATTTCCCGGTCCGTGAGAAACCCGTTGAACACTGGATGGACAGTCATTACCGATTTGAAACGGTCTTTAATGTTAGCCTCTGTCTGGATACCGTGAAGAAATTAGACCAAAGTATTTCCAAGCGTGGGGTGCATATAAATTGTAGCCTTCCATTCGTTAATGTGGCTCGTATCAAATATTGTATAAAAAATTCACCAAACCCCCCTGCACCAAAAAATAAATTGTTTCGTTGAATGTTTCGAAATCTAATTCGTTCCCACGATTTGTGATGCTTGCTCATCCGGATGTTTAGATTCAAAATGTCATTTCTTTTCAAACAATTTACAAAAATAAACTTGGTCGTGTGCATAAACATTCACACCTGTAGAATAAACATAAATTTGTTTAGTTTACCTCATCAATCAGTTTGGTCATCTTTTCTTGGTCTATTCGTATATATCATTTACCTTTATATATTCATTGTCAAACATAAGGAAGAAAAGAAAATATATATTACTTTTTCATAAACATACAAAACATATTCCAAAATTTTGATTAACTATGTTGTTATTTGGTAATATATATTTTATTTCAGCCATACAAATTTAGGAAAAATAAAAAAAGCTGAAAAAAATTGAATAAACTATATTTATGATTCAACTGATAACGTAGAATGCGTTTTTGTTGAATAACCATGCATTGGGGCTTCATTTTCATAACTTTTCATGTTCGGGTTTAAAAAAATTATTTTGTTATATTTTTTCATGCGATAGTCCATGGCCGAATATGGCACTTGTTTTGTTGGGTAACGCAAATAACAGTAGGAGTGACCAATCGCCAGCGGCCAAAAAGAAATTATTGTCATCAAATAAAATCAAAGCGATAAAATAATGAGTAAACAAGTCAACATTGTTTGCGTGGCGATAACTTTCACGTAAATACACTTGTAGCACAAAGTTCCGATGTCGCTTTGTGTCGCGTTCAAATCGATTTTAATCTGCTTTTAATTGGTACCAGTTATCAGATATGATAAAGCGATAGATAAAGACTACATGCGATAATGGAGGCGTGCCTCAATGTTTGACTACATACGCGTTTAATTGTGTTGGAATATTGTTTAAAAATTTCAAATATTTCTTAGATCTATATATTTTCTGTTTTAAGAACGCAAGTCTTATAATAAAATTTTTACCAGCCGTAAATAATTTAAAACAGGTTATATGCAAAGTCAGAATTAGCATATTGGCTTGGTATTTATTCCAAATCCAAATCTATTGACTACTACTTACTATTATAAAGTATAACGTATTTTTAAAGAGTTGTTACTTGGATTATATATATTTATCTTCAACCTCTTGTTTATATTCTAGGACAAGGTCGTGTCAATCAACTAGGAGGAGTTTTCATCAACGGTCGACCTCTTCCAAATCACATTCGACACAAAATTGTGGAAATGGCGGCTCATGGTATAAGACCTTGCGTCATCAGCAGACAATTAAGGGTTTCTCATGGATGTGTGAGCAAAATTTTATGCAGGTAAGCTATTTATTTTGCAAGGTAAAAATATCCTGATTGTTTACTTGGAACTAATACCATGTGATGAAATTTTTGCAATAAACCATGGAAAATACATTGAACAACATTATTTTAAAAATATTTGACAAAATAAAGTGTCCCCTATATCTACTACGATATACCTATGCACGTATTTATTAACCGACAGTGAGTGAGAAATTGTTACTTTATATTTATAAAAGGCGTATTTAGTATGCCACTGGATACAATTTTTTTTTTCAATAAACATAGATCAATCACATAGTTCACCATTTTGTCAGCGATTCTAGTATATAGTAAACACAAAAATTCCATTTGCTGAAGTTTCTCCATTTTTATTTCTTATCCTTTCAATAAACATCACGCTATTTCGACAATTGACTCCGGAACAAATTCCAAAATGTCTTCGGTAGTCATCTTAGCACGATCTACACCACATATCCATGTCATTTTTACACGTATATATGATATAAAGACATATTTTTTTCCGTCAAGACGTTTTTCGTCCATAAAAGGGATCTTGATTGATGAAAACGAAATGACCTTTGTCATTAGTGGTTAGGAACTAGCGTTTTTTTGTGTGACTGAGTTGGCTTTTTTTTCTAAAAAAATGAAATATACGCGCGGTTTCGCAGGAACAATTTTAAAAACGTTTTATGCTTTTTGGGTGGTCTAGTTTTCAAAATATATTGAATATTTAAAGAGCGTTCTCATAAAAAAAAACGTTTCAAATAAAAGTATGAATCTCTTGATACATATTCCAATTTTGTCGGTAAAAGTACAAATTTACATTTAAAAATATCAAAATGTTCATTGATATTGACTAAAAATATATTGAATAAATTTCCAAAACAAATGAAGTACATTAGCAGATATTTTTAACAATATTATTTTCCTAAATCCTGCCATTTCGTTTCAGATATCAAGAGACCGGATCTATTAAACCCGGGGCAATTGGTGGTAGCAAACCTAAAGTGACAAATGCGGAAATTGAGTCAAAAGTTGAGCAATATAAGAAAGAAAATCCATCGATGTTTAGCTGGGAGATCAGGGATCAATTGATCAAGGTATAACCAGCCTAACTGAGATTTGATACCTTATTTTCCCAAACGACTATTTCAAATTAGCCTTCCAAATATCGAGTGACCACTAGAAACCAACACAATGCTTTTATATACACGAAAAGAAATGTCAAAAATGGCATTTTGTATGAAATTGCTAATTGGCATATCTATTAATTTACGATTCTATAATAGTTCATGCAAATTCGAATATTTATTTATTGGACCTCCTGAAGTATGTGCACGACATGGCGCACAACCTGAACTCTGGTTGTGTACCAGGTTAGGGTTCAGGTTATGCGACAGCTTGGTGCACATACTTCAGAAGCACCTATTCATTTTCACGATATTTAGGTTATTGCTTAATTCCATGAATATTTCTAATCGTGCTACTTTAGGAAGGATTGTGTGATCGCAGTTCTGCACCAACAGTCAGTGCAATCAGTAGAATCTTGAGAGCTAAAGGATGCGACACTTCTAATGAATCATTGGAAGATGGAGAGAACGAAGGTAGGATCATAGCTTCTTAGATATTTGTAAAAAAAAGTCTCTTGAAATCCTGAAGATTCTATTATATACTGATATGTTGCTATTCAAAATCAACAACTATTTTTATTTGTAAACTTTTTACCATCGTAGTAAAAAAAACGATTCTGCAGTATTATCATTAATCACTAAATTTAATTAAATTATAATTTTGTACATTTTATATCGTTGAATTTAATAACCCGTCCAAAACATGCAGAAACAAACATAATGACTTTATCTTACACAACGAAAAGTTTGCATTCTCCCAGGATCCTATAAAGATTTGAGCTCGTGAAATTGGGAACAAATGCAGTGTGATATTGGTTTTTCATAACCCTGACATTGTTCAAAGCTGTTTTAATAACTGAACACAGTGGGTAGTCCTGTGGTGTGCGCCCTAAACTAATTAACGACCACGCAGGGTACTGTGAGTGGGATTCTCATATTTAGTGATATTATCGTGAGTAAACACTGTGGCCACGCATGAGTCGTGTAAATGCTTGATTATTTTTGGTTGTTCCCAACCTTAAAACTTGCCAAAAGCTACAAAATTATATGCCGAAATAGGTTTCATATTAATCCATATAAATTAAACAAACAAAAAAATTATATTACCTAATATCATGTAACCTCAACATGACTGTTTTTTAAAATCACCTATTTCTGATCGTTTTAATATGTATGGCCAAGTTTTAAAACTGGTTTAAATTATAAATTCAATGTTTAAATCCAAAAAATGCATCTAATTTGCATACCATTTGTGAATTTTTATTTTCTGTTTCTACTCCATATGTTGTTTATTTATTTACAAATAACGTGTAACATAAGCATTAGCACGAGATTTTGATATGCCCTGTAAATGGTCAACGATGACTCATTTCCATCAATTTTTTTATGATGGTATGGCATTACTGGCTATGATCATGGTGACCTGCATCCTCTTTTGAAAAAGATATTTGTAATGTGGAATTCATACATATCTCGGCCGGTCCAACATTTAGCAAATCCCCTTGCAGGACACAAAAATAATAATCTCGAATTCCCTAGCCACCTCCTGTCCAATCCATACGTACAACTTGCCCGTGACTCACGTACTCAGTGGACATATTGGAATTTTAAAAATGGCTTGCTTTGTAGCAAAAGGGAAATATATAACATAATATAATAAAACGTGAAGTTGAATAATGCTGTCGAAAACAGAATCAATGACGTCCAATACGTGTACTTTTCTATTTCTATGACACTTGCTTGTGCCCCCGTCCAGTCTTATTTACTTTTAACACCAACCAGCGTATAGTTTTAAATGTCTAATATGACGTAGAACGGATCCAACTTTATTTGCTGTATATAAATAGAACTTTAGACTTTAATCGAGTTTGATATTTACATAAAATGTGCCATTGAGAATATTACATATCTGACCCAAACTTGACCATGACGGTCTTGTAACTGTCGTCTATTTGGCAGAGATGTCTGTCGTATCAGCGTCGAGTGATCCGCATCGTCTTCTTCAAAACACTTTGCCAATCATTTGTCCGCCATTTTGTATTATAGATTTATTTCTGAGTCACATGCGTGGAAAAAAGTCATTTTTATTCCATTGTTTCAACATCGTTCACCTTAGCTTGTTTTAACCGTTTGGAGTTGAATGTAGCAAAAGTTATTTGGGTAGCGAATTAAAACTATACATTATTAATTTTTATTCAATCAATATTCTTCAGAATATAAAATAACCAATTTAAACACAAAATGCAAAAATGTTTAAAAAGTAATAAACAACGAGCATTAGTGCAGTTATTTTGAAATTTTAATTCTGTATTTGCTTCTAAACTACAAACTATTGAAACATATATTTCTGTACGAGAGAAAAAATTCACTTTCAAAAGCACAGCAAAACGCATTTTACATTTTTTAAAACTAATATAAATTAATATACCTTCAAAGAACTAAAATTTCAAAGTGAAATAACCATAAATTAAATTTTAAACCAGATTCGGAAATAACTTCAGCTGGTTTGTGGCAGAGGTTAAGATAAAAAGCGAGTGGAATGTACTTTGCCACTGAGTCCCATTGTTCTTTACCCAAACATTCAGTCGAACCGTTTGATCTGTTCGGAACTCATGCTGAGCCAAAGCACAGCTGAAACCTTGTTTTCACACCGACTAATGCCGAAGGCTATGTCAAATTCGTTTTCACACTGAGCCATTCTTTTATTTTTCCTTTCTATTTTACATAACCAAAATCACTACTCGTGGTTAATTATATGGCATAATATTGGCTATTGATCGAACTACTACAATATTCATTTCCCATAGTTGGAAAAACATTGGTTATTCTGATCCGAACAATTGAAAGTAATATTTAGATCTCTATTTATAAAATTTCCAATGATATATATTCCTTAAAAGTGCGAATCTTAATCGTGAGTAACAATCATTAAAGAACCCGTTTGGAAGATTATCCCGAAAGGGAGCTTGGCTGCCAAAACACCTGCTGTGATCATTGTAAGTCGGAAGGTCTTAACCATTCACACTTCCGAATAAAAAGACCAGCGGCAAACTATGCGTGTGCTTTCTTAGCGGCGATATCAAAGCTTTCTCAGAAAAAAATTTTGTTTTCATGTTTTTATTATTATTAAAACTATTAGTATCAACTTCTGAGACCATCAAATATTTATGTTAGAAGGCAAACTTTTCTTCGTCATAGTATATTGTTGTTAACGGTATTCTCAAACCCGAAATTTTTTGAAAATTTCATTTTATTTGTCTGTTATCTAAATCTATATTCTTATAATACTATAAAATAAATACGACTCAAAATAAAATTAGTTTTTGCCACATATTTGAGGCATTACCCACACCCATGATCATGTCGTGCTGATTTAAAATCAGTCATTTTGGTGAATATACCTTGACCAGAACCATTCAAATAATTTTGTTTACTGTTGATCAAACTGGCTAAGTTCAATTGGACTTGGACGGTTTGAACCAAAATGTTGAAGCGACACAGATGTGCATGAAATCGCAATTCCATTATTCCCTCCGAAGTCGCACGGGAATAGGTCAAGTACAATTGTCTTTTCGATCGAAGAAATATCTGATTTTCCCTAATAGTCCCGAGTTTTGAGTCCAATTCACATATATTTAAACGATTTACCTAACTTAGCCAAATCACAGATAGTATGAGTTACATGGCGTGGTTCTTTTATATATTAACAAACAGTAGCCTTTATATTAAAATGAAGAGAAATAATAAAACAATGGTGCGGAAATTGTAACAATGATCAAAACAAAGATTTGAGACATAATGCGTCATCTGAATTCCTTACTCCATCCATGTAAATTTTAGACTGATGACGCCAAGGGGCGATGATCTTTTATGCCCGCTTTTGACCGCTTAGTTGATTTTTTGAGACCATGCAGTGCCAGGAGAAAAATAATAATCAGCCCACACATGTCCAAATATTATCGTAGGAAATTACAACGACCTTCCGTTCTAAAGGCCAAGTTTGTTTCGTACTGTCACAATAACATATACACATCAGAAAATGACCCCCAGCCATATTTCTTATTCATTTTTTCCTGCTTGGTCACTGCTCATTTGTGTTACGATGATCTTTCGTTTATTTCCGGGTGATCAACTAGATTTGTTTTGTAAAGATTACCACACACAGAAAACAAGTTTTGGGTACCTGAAAGACGCGTCACGTTTGTAATCGTTGATGTCAAAATAAAATGTGAAAATATTTGTTTTTAAAAACAGGGTTAAATAATGACGATTTTTCGTATAATTTTTGCAGGAATTTAGAAACGATTATATCAAAAAAGTATATGGGCAAAATAATATCGGATAAAATTAAACAATTGGAAATCTTTCTACAGACAAATATATAACAAAAAGTCAAGTTGTGGTAGAGCGAAAAAACGAATGACAATACTGCAAACGGTTGTTTTTATTAAAAAAAAAATCTTGCATTTTATAAAGCAGTTTGAATTGGTTGCGTTATCCATGTACTATCCATTTACGTGTTCAATTCACAATACAATCTAAGATTTTTCAAATCTGGGTTAATCAAGCGATCAGATATAATCGAAATTTTAATCGGTATAAATAAACAAAATACACCATGCTTTTAGTTGTCGCGGATTAAGCTCGGGAATTAATTTAAATTTAGTAAAACCGGTGTGCCTAAACTTTGAAGTTTGCCGAGAAGGTTGTTTCCGGAACATGTTTGTTGACTAGATTATAAAAAACTTGAAAAACGTCGCCGAAAGAATATTGGCTAATTCTCACATGAGTAGGTAATAAAATCATATTAGAAAACGCTTGCTCTGCATTTAACACTAATCAACAAACAAGTCCTTGAAGGGTTCTTTCGCGTTCACTTGGCGACATTGCTTTAGTATATCGTTAAATACGCAAGGTGGCGCTAGTTTAACAGACGATAAACATATGTAAGCTGTTTTTCAGACAAAACCACTTAACTCGAAAGCACACCTCTGCAAATTTAATTAAAGATAAAAGATTTTCGTTTCAGATAAAGTTCCAAAATTGAAACGTATGTAATCAGTTTAAAAGCACAAACTTTGTTCTTGATCTGAACTGAAAATTTGAAGTAAAGCGACACGCGCCGTCTGTATACGATTCGATCTTTGATATGACACATCTTTCATACGTGTAAAGTAAAGCATGTGTGGTCGTAACCAAATACCAAAACTATTTTCTATCTCGCTAATTGGTTAATTGTCAGTTTTTTGTTGTTGTTTTTGCAGCACATTCGGACACTAGCAGCAACGGTCAAGGCAGAGATCGCAATGGTAGCGGTGAGGGCGGCGAGTCAGATTGCGAATCAGAGCCCGATTTACCTCTCAAAAGAAAACAGAGGCGAAGCAGGACCACGTTTAATGCTGACCAGCTTGAAGAATTAGAAAGATGCTTTGAAAGGACACATTATCCTGATATTTACACAAGAGAAGAGTTGGCGCAGAGAACTCATCTCACTGAAGCGAGAGTACAGGTGAGTTTGCCATGAGAACATTTTATATAAAATTCCATAGAATTAACGTAATAAACTGTAATGAAGTCTAAATTATTTTTGTAGAAATATATTCAAAAAAGCATTTATATATAATATAAATAGCAGCTGCATCTTGACGATACAACAAAATATCTAGAAATAATTGAGTGTTTTTATTATTTTTTATCTAAAAATCTAGCCTCCTTCAAAAAATAGGCTGTAGCTAACTGCCGTATCAAAATTTATGTTTTATATACATCACAAGTGGCTATAGACGTAGTTATAAAAAGAATTCTGCGCATTGTTTCATTCATGAAGCGCCATATTCTAGAGGTCACATGAAATGCGAAAATAACGGATATTAGACACGGATCATTAACGTGTTGTACCTATGTGAGAATCAAAACACTGTGGTTGATGGTTTAGCTACCGTCAAGGTGTGTGGCTCTGAAAAAATCTGACTTGATCATAATTTCTGATTTGATCTTTAAAATAAATTTTAAATTAGGACACCTTATTTGGAAAGGTGTTTTTGTACTACGGAGAATAGGGACTTCAAATTAAACCGAAAGTTTCACTAGAAATAAGCTGTCATCTTGTGATTTGCTAATGTCATTAAATTAATCTAAACATGGTACCTACACTGCTCTGTTTAAGTAACTTGGTAAAATAATTAAAATTTGAGCCTGATTTTTGCTTACTTTGAAAGTAATTTTAAACAAAATTATGGTTGGTTAAGACAAGTCACGAATATTGTGGCGTATGTGCGCCATGCCCTCTCGTAGCCCCGACCATCCGAACATCGTCGGAGCAACAAAGTTGGCATTTATTTATTATTTTGTTTGTCCGTACACACTGCTACCGGACGAATACTTGCGGAAGTTAGATACAAGGCATTCCTAAATAAAGTTAGCTACGCCCAAAGGCGTAAACAACTTCTTAATTTCTCGGCCTTTATTACTGAATATTAATTTACTTAGAAACAATAGACTCGCGGTAATCTAAATCTTTGTCTGAACATAATAATAATATAAATAAAATGTAAAATTAAAATTGAAAAATTTTATATCTTATCACATAAAAAAATGACTAACTCATTTTCTTTTGAAAATTAAAACTATTTTCTATTAATCGAGAAATTGTACATAAATCACACCTTACACAATGAATCTAACAACAAACTGTCTTGAACGAAATAAACAGTTTCGATAATAAAAAAAAATATATAATTTACATCAATCTTCCGTCAAAATTCCGATACAAGTCTGCTCAAGTGTCACCGAAAAAATACAGAAATGCATTTAGTTTCATTTAGTTTCAAGATAAAATTGGTCTCTTACTTGAATATTTGAAAAAAAGAATTAAAACGAAATTCACAACTTTTTGTTTAATTTTTCAAATCTTTTCTAATTATTAACAATTTTGATCAAATGTTTTCAAACAATCGGCTTTCTTTGTTCACTTAATTTCTTGCTGAATAAATGATGACGTGTTGGTGACGTTATAATATATTATTACTTGACTTCAAACAAGAGCAATTGCGGTTGTGTTCTCCCCGCATTTAGTATCGCATTTCACATAAATTTACATAAAAGAAAGTGTAAATTATCCTGTATTTTGAAGAAAGAACTCTATTAAGAATCCCAATAAAGTAGAGGATTCAGTTAAGAGACTTTAATTCTATTTGAAGGCAAATACTGAATATCAAATTAATGATAACGCAAAGCGTGAAATATGTTTATCAAAAAGATAAAATTGTAATTCTAATTTTTTTTTTGTTATAAGACAAAAATTCTCGCATACCAACTGAATATAAATCTGGCTCTAGCCATGAATTGATTCCGAAAAAGCTTTTTTGAGCACTATCACTGATTCATATCAATATGGCACGAGGTTCAGAATCACAATATTCAACCATCTTTAGATAATTTGTGTCTGTTTATTCGTGCCTATCAAACCGATTTCGTTTAGGTTAAAAAAGACAACATGCATTGAATATTGATCTTGTGTGATCGAGCATATTCGGCTTTTAATATAATCGCATGTTCGCAGTTTCAGGGCAAAACAACCGCAGATTATCATCGGGAATAAATAAATAGTCAGTTTAAGTGCATTTAATAATTTTCGCATAAGTTTAATCAAAAACTAAATCGCGTACCTGCGTTGGCATGGGACGACCACAATATTGGATGTTATATCATATACCACGAATTTTATACTTTTCTACGCATTTCTACGCAAAGGAATTTTCTTTGACGCGTGTAATAAAGACGTTATCTTCCACGTCGTAATACAACAATACATTGCAGATCACAACAATAAGTTCAATAATCCCTGAAAACAACGGTTTAGCAACAGTATTTACAAGTGTTATTTGATGCATAGTACTGCAATTTACGATACAATATTATTAAATCTACACTTTCCGTGCAATAGTTTTTATAATGTGCAAAGGTCAAGGCATAAAAAATGGATAAAATTGGTCAAATATACAAGAGGAGTCCCAAATAAGCAGTTGTTCTGAACATTTATGGCGAATGATCAATGCAAACCATTATTCTCAAATATGCATGTTTATGTTACATCAAAGTCAAGAATATTATTAGTACGCAATATGTGTCATAAATAAACATCAACGACCATTCGTCAAACTTCCCAGCGTTCAGTTTCACTGGGAGACGCTTTTTTAAATTCACCTTGAATTGAGAGTGACGCGATTTTTCAGAAATGATATGACACATCGACAAATTATAATTAATTACTCTTCTTGGGAGGTATTTTGCCATTGAATAATATGTTTGTTGACGAAATTTTGATCTACACGAGTTACGCGTATTAACTATTACTTTGTACGTAAGGTCATTAATCATTGTCACTTTCGCAGTTATCCGGTTAACGGTAGTTAATGAAAATGTACAAATGAACCTATACTCACTATTATGCCCTTTCTAATAAGATCTGGTAGTAATTTTTAGTTTTAAAAGATATCGTAAATGGCAGTGTAAATATTCCAGATACTATTATTATAGTAGAAATATAGTTTTGTAATACTGTTTGTGTTTTTGTGTTTTTCAAATAACAAACCTATGATTTCTTTACTTGAATTACTCTCATTCATGAATCACAATTTGATTTCGTTATAAGATAAGTTTTCTTTGTCAATAATCCATTTAGGTATGGCATGAATGCCCGTAGGTTAACCTATGGTAAGGTGACTTTTAATCTCGTTCCAACAACGTTGTTGCGCCAACCAAAAAAACACTCGGAATTGAAATTGCCCGAGAGTATAACTGCGGTATGATATTCTGTTCGCGCTGGAATGACACACCGGACTACCATGCTTAAATATTTCGGCCTTGATGAATGAACAAAAGAACAATTTGTTTATCGTAATTGATCATCATCTGAAAAGTTGTTCTCTATTATACAGGTCTGGTTTAGTAACCGAAGAGCGAGATGGAGGAAACAAATGGCTGCTCAACAGTTACCACCAATTCACCCACACCATACTCACCCTCACTTACCTCACCACCTTGGAGCATACCATCCAACAATTGCCGCCGCTGCTGCTGCTGGAGCAGGCATGTCCGCTCATAATTACATGCTACAAGCCGCCGCAGCCGCCCAACACCAACAACATCAGCCAACGGCATCATCTTCGCATCCTCTTTCACACCACGCCCAATCATCTCACTATCCTCACCACCCGGTACATGGACATCCCTCAATGTCGACTTCTAATTCGGCCACAGGAACGTCAACCATTGGAGCTCTCGAGTCATCATTCACGCCACCCATAGCACATGGTAAGTGCTTTTGATATTGTTAAAATACAGAATAGTTCAAAATTACATCGCGATGTACATCTAAATGTTCACTCAGAATTATATTCAATGATATTGATATCTTCTTTTTTTTCAAGATTTGACTTCAATGCACCGACACACACATCACCCACTTTCTTCTCCACTGCACCACGCCCATCCGTACTCTCAAACAAGTATGAGATATGACGGAGGAGCACATGACGTGGCTCTAAACGCTGCTGCCGCTGCAGCTGGATATGGATTAGTTGGCGCTTCTGCTGCTGCCGCGGCTGCTGCGAGATATCAGTTTTCCTCATCAGCGTTTGGTGATGCTTATCAACACCCAACATTAACTCAAGAAAATTCGGTAGGTATAGGTTTTATACTTTGCTGAAACTGGTATTTAATACTGTAAACTAACGAGATATATTATATTTTAGTTGTTTGGTGTCAACGGAACAAACGATAGTACCAACACAAGATCTGACCTTACTCCCATTGATTATGGAAGACATTCCTCAGACTCTCGCACCGGTCAGAGAGGCATGTCGTCGTCCTCTGCCATAGGAGGTTCTAATCAACCAACAGAAGATCTCTCTCCATCTGCCTCATCTCCAACGAATTGCCACCAGTCTCGTATTGGCCAAACAAATATGCAACACAGAGAAGGAAGGTCGACATCTTCAAATGGCGCGAGCGAGAACATGTCAAGGACGGCCGTCAGTAATGTTGCAGGTTCACCAACATCGGCCAGCGAAAGCAGAACAGCAGGTAAATATTTCTTTTGTTTTTAGCAAACCCCAAACCTAAAAAACGCTTCTTTTAACACTGATTCAAACTAATTATGTCTTTGAATTAGGTCACGATAATTCGTATATATTGAAAGCTGAGACTGGGCACTTTTCGTCGCGTGTAGCTCTGATTGTATTTTTGCAGTAATGTAATACTTTTCTACTGTTTAGATATTACAGAAACAACGTACGGAAATAGCAGTGGAATGCATCATCATCAGCAAACAGCGAACAACCACATTCGCCATTTGGGATCAGCGCACGGCGGTGAGCATGTCACAAACAACGCTCCACAGCAGCCATTGACGAGTAACGCTGATGCTCAGCAAATGCTTGCGCCCTTTTCACATAGAACCCCCATCGGATCAGATCATCCGACAACCGCAGGAACGGCAGCGTACTCAGCAGTAAACGGTTTTGGAGCAACTCATGATCAAAATATGGCGGCGGCAGCTGCTCATCAATATGCATCTCACAATCCATTTGCATCGTGCCAATACTCAGGATATGGCCAAGGTAATTATGATCATAACATTAATTAATTGTTCCTCGCTATGTTTAAGAGATTGTATGTTTCATTTTTGGCAATATGGAGAAAGGCTATAACCTAAAATAACAGATAAGGTGTAAATGTAACCTAGTTAATCAATCGCGTGAAGGGTTGTATCGCGTAGACTGCTGGGTACTAGACTTGTTATATTGCAGAGATGTTGTATTCACATTTGCAATAGTAATTTACCAAAACTTTTAATAATAAACTTTTCTAAACAATAGGTTTAGTCCAATTTTAAATAAATGACGATTTCCATGTGTGATGCAACTTGTCCATGATTAAAATATCATCAAAATACCGCTAATAAATTCATTAGGTCGTTCTTTTTCTTTTCCATCACCTTCAACACTTCATTGAATAAATCAACATCACATCGTATCTACTACACAACAGGGAACGGTGTTGAATATGAAAACCCTGGAATTACTGCACTTAGAATGAAGTCACGAGAGCACAGTGCTGCACTGGGTCTTATTTCAGTTGGAGGATCAAGCACAAGTATGCAATCAGCCTACTAAGAAGCTCATTGCTAAGAAAGACTGCATGAAATGAAATGCTTGGGACAAATGAATTGTCGATTTGAATACATCCACTGTACCAATTTGTCGTACTGCGAAATAACCGGATGAAAATCACGGAAACGCATAACCCATGTCTATATCAAACTTGATTGAAAGAAAATCACTAGATTAAATGCTGGGAGCGCTTGACACGTACGGCCGGAATGGAGACGCACAAAAACAAATGAAAATAAGTAGAATGGAATTATTTAGTCGAGTAGATATTTTCGATACGAATATATTTTATGTTATCCGAATATATATCTCAATCTTTTAGAGAGCAAACTGATACAGAGAGCAATATTAACCTACTCAATGTAAGTTTTACAACCATCAGTTGAATTATTATTTCACTCGGAAAAAGGTGTACAATACTGATGTTATTTTTAAATATACAAGTCATGAACGGATCAAAATGGTTTGGCCTATCTTACTATTAACATTGATTTTCTGAAGTTGCATATTTAGTGTGATGCACTGTTGTTTATCAGAACATTTTATAATATATACTTGTATTCACCAAGATACTCAGTGATTTACAAACAGCCGATTTGTTAAGCAGATATTTTCTTTTGAAGTACGATCATTGCCGAATTCAATCAATATCATTGTTACGTTTCAATATTAATATTTATGTAAATCGTGTCATCTGCTTGCCATTTTTGTTTCTTGAATATTTTTATCATAAATAATATTTTTTTGCAACGTCGCACTATCTTAGCGTACTGCCATTCCTGTTTTTACAATGTTATATATAGGCAGATTTTTGTGCCAATTCCGTACTACTTAGGCTTTCTAGTTTTCCTCCTTTGCATTGTTATTTTGTTTTCCTCGTCACAATGCAAAAGTGATTTGGTCTCGATTGCAGCTACATTTTTATTTCTTTTTTTCGTTTTTTTTGTGTATACTTGAATCCGAAATAATAAATTTTCGTCACGTTAAAGATTTTCCGTTGTATTTTCTTTCAAATCATATTAGAGTCTAACAAATGACGCGTTTAAAACGAAACTTCTACAATTTTACAGAACTTTGGTAGAAAATAACTACACTCGGCCCAAAAGCTCGGCTGTGGAAAGACGTTTTAGAACAGCGAGTCCCAGATAAGTTTAGAATATAAATGCATCATGGGAAATCGGCGATGTAGTAACACTATGAAAACGCTATAATTCCGACAACCGAAAAATAGAAAAAGAATATTGTTGAATATAAATATTATATTTTTGTTAAAAATACTATGGAATTTCAATTAAAATAGAAAATATTATTTTTGTACAAATAGTAAAAAAATCAAATGTAAAAATATTAACAATCGATCAGAAGAACTTAAAAAAAAGAATTTCCAAGTGAAGCAATATAGTATATCAATTCAAAGTCAATAACTGACCAGCACAAGATAATTGAAGCCATAACATTCGAGTTACAAAAACGGTTTCATTTTATTCCGATTGTGACGTTGTTGAAAACAAGTTAATTTCCTGCAAGATCTTCAACATTGGCCGCGCTATTCAGTTGTTCTGCACTGTGTTATTTCCATCATTTGCATTATTTTGCTCATCTTCGTTATTTCGCTGGCTTTGTCTGCTCTGCCGTCTTGACTGAGCCTGACTATTTTCGTTATTTTGCTGGCTTTGTCTGCTTTGTCGTCGTGACTGAGCCTGACTGTTTCTAGGATTGCTGGTATTGGAAGGTGCTCGAGGTGTGACTTGAGATCTTGAAGGTGGTTTGCTCGCACGAGATACAGGTTGTTGGGGATTTGAGGCTTGCGATGGTGCCCGCCTTGAATTAGGATGTTGCAGACTCTGTCGAGAACCTATATATTTGCAAAAATAATAAAAGAAAACTAATCAAATTAGAAGATGAATGAAATGAAATAAATGGAAAAACTTCCAAGCACCACCAAAGCAGTGACATACTTACGTACAGCAGGGATCGGCATTAATTTTCAACGCATCATGCTTTCTATCTATCTGTCATTGCAACTCTGATTACCATGCCTGGATTCGCAGGTTCAAATCTCGTCGTGAATGATTACGTGCGAGAGGATTGCTGTACTCCTCGTCTTCCTAAAGTAGTTCATATAAACGCTGGTCGGCTCAACTCACAAGCTGTAAATAACTGATGGCCGTATACATAGAGGATATGTTAAACTACCTTTCTTACTTGCGAGTTTTTAAAATAACGTTTTATAGACACCAAATCAATCATGTCAACAAAAAACATTTCAGTTTATATATCTTTGCAATATATCAACCTCATACCTGTGGCGGACTTTTCAGGCGTAACATTCCGCGTGGCACTGCCAGGTACCGACGGACGGCGAGGAGTATCGATTCGTTGCGTAAGATCTATTGGTTTTCCCTGGTGTTGTTGATTATCTAGCTCCGTAGGAACTTTATCCTGGTTAAACCAAGCTGTCGGATCTGCGGATTCGTCCTCGTCATCTTCATCGCCGAGTCTTACAGAAGCTGGGCTTTGTTCCCCACCGTATACATCAGATGGAGCTCTAGCGGTATCTCCATGTAAACCGAATCCTTCATCATTGTCGTCGAATTGAGATGGTTCGAGATTACTCTGGCGCGACCCCTAGAGGTTAAAACAATAATTATGTTAGTTTGTAGTTATTATTGTACTAAACTTTGAATGAATATTTATTTTGCATCGGCGACGTGCGCTTCAAAAACGTAATAATTCAATCCCTTATTTTTGTTTGTTATTCGTTCATAAGTTTAATTATAACATTTTGAGATGAAATTACGATTATTATACGATTCACTTGCATGGTGGGGTCCAAAATAACCCGGATCCTCTAAAAAATAAATAGGTAAATAATATAATAAGATTCATACCGCCTGCATTTCGTCAAAACTAGCAGGAGTTGTACGTTGAGATTTCCATGCTTCTCGACCTGTAAAAAATAATGTTGTTCACGTGACGAGTGATGGGATAACAGTAACAAAAAGTATGAAAAAAGCATCATATTTTTAAACAAGAGAGCTATGCTCAAATATATGGACACGTAGCGCCACCCAATGACAATAATTTTGATGACGTCATAGCGAGAAAAAAAAGTAATAGCCTTCTGGAGAAAAATTTTTATCTTCAACCACTGAAAGTTTCAAAGCAATTGGTCCAGTATTCGAAGAAAAAAGCGACTTTTCAAAAACGTGTCAAAGAACAAGAACAAGAACAACAACAACAACAACATAATATTGAAACGATCGTTATGTCCACTTCGTGTCCAACAACAACGGGGAACATTTTATATAGCACTTAACATCACAAATTGAGACACATCTAAAGCAAGAGAGCTTGAAACAATCATAATAATAAATTTAATCCAAAATATGAATTAATACTCATTAATAATATATATATTGGCTTTCCGGGTACATGATTCGATTCTTATCTTCGATCGTGTATCCGGCATGATTTATTAATACTTCACACTTAAATATTACGTTTTTCAAATATAAGTATATACTTGAACGCAGATCTTTGTACTCAGGCATCAGCTCATAAAGGTAAACTCAAGATAAATTTTGATCCCAACAAGAATGTACAAAAACCTGGTTCTGCACTTGGGTGCGGTAAGTCGTAAGCATAATCCTCATCAAGACCAGGTGATGGAGTTCTGACGTGCTCATTTGCAATTCTCTCTTGTCTTTTTCGTCTTCTAGCACGTTGTAATATACGCAGCCACCTCATTTTAATGTCGTACCATCTAGATTTATGAAATCAATTCAATATGACATGATGAAAAAACGGAGGGTATCAAAGCAATCCATAACAATAATAAAGTGCTATTTGATGAATTTAAAACACAAATACGACAAACAAGATAAATATAATAAAATGAATTACCTTGCACACTGATAAATACCCCATTCATTGAGAATCGATTTGCCTCTCTTGACAAATAGCCTCGAGCCAGCCGCTTCTTTCCAAAGCAAGGGTTGAATTTCCATTCTAAGTCTTGCCAACTCCTTCTTTATACCACTCGCTTCTTCTAACCTCATTTTAGTTTCAGAATTTAACCTGACGTTGTGTGATGTCCGGACGTCAGTTATCGTGCGTGTGAGCTGAATTTTTGTAAGAAGCAGAATAGGTTGTTGTGTTTTGTAGAGAATTTTGTTTAACAGCAGGCATTTGTATTTAAAAGGCAATGATTTGCTCAAAAATGGAGTGAAGACACATCATAAAATATACAAGTGACCGTGTAACATGTACAACCATGTACCTGATTTAGAGTTCCTTGTGCGGTGGCAAGTTGCTGCTGTAAGTCGTCTACTCTATTGTGATCCTCTTTTGTTATAGCTTCAGTCGTATCTGCACGCTGTGCAAGCATTCTTATTTTACTTTCGGTCGCTTCCGCATCTACTCTTCTGGCCTCGTTCTCAATTTCTACTCGGGTCTCAGCATCGTCTTTCAACCTATTCACCCTTTCCTGCGTTTCTTTGATTTCTTGTGGCAATTCTAGTAGAAACATTACGATTTATCGATTATAGAATCCAATAGATTGATTTGGTACCAAAGTTCAAAAGGCAAACAAAATGAACTAATATGTGTTCATAAAAATCTATTCAAACAGACATTAAGACTTATTTCCACTAGCATGCAGAAAAATGCTCAAAGATAAAACAATAGAATAGTTTCCTTCAGATTAATATTTACCTTGGCTAGGTCGCATAGGTTAGAAGAGATTTATCTATAGCTCGTGCAAATATATTATGACTAGGTGATATCATCACTCGTAGAAAAAATAAGCTACAGTATGAAATCGGACAGAAACAAAACTAGCTATCAACGGACTGGAGAAAAACTGCGAAATAAAAGTGTTGTGCGTACATTCATCACATTGTGCACAAGATAAATTGCTTTATCTTGACAAAAACAAAACGTTTCTAAAATATTTGTGCTTTTTTACCTATTCGACGCATTGTGTTGAATACGATGCGATCTTAATGAAAAAATAATACGTAATAAACTATTAATGGCAAAATTACCTAAATGAATACTGCTGAATCAGCTTATAAAAACGCTAATCTCCGGATTCACAGTCACAGAAAATTTTTTTAAAAAAATGCACTTAATGTTGAAAGGATATTAGAAAAAAATCATTAAAAAGTTACATAGTTTAGTTAAATATAACAATTATAAATTAGCAATGTGAAAAGTGAAATTTTTTTGATCCAAAACCCAACCTTTCAGTATTTCTTGTATATTTGCAACATCTTTATTTGTATTTTCTCTCCATTCTTGAAAATCGTGCAAAAGTTCAGTTTGTTTATCTCGTAATGAACTTGCCATCTCGTTGATCTTCACGTCATAGGTCTCATCCTAGTTGATAAGAAAAGTAATATATTCTAAAGATATATTAGTTCATTGGTTCTCAAACTGGGGCCGCGAAGAAATTTTAGGGGGACCGCGAGTCAACGTTAACCTCGGAACGGAAGCACTTTAATTTGAAGTAAAATTTCTATGTCATGCTTTTACAGTGTTTCTCCTAAGCACGACACGCTCTACCGCAGATATTGTTACTTGACAAACGTTGGTGAACGTTGCAAGTACCATATATTACAGGGTATTGTTTATGGAAGGCGTATGCATCTGATTGTAAATTTTCTCGGGGTAATTCAAAAATGCCACCGCCATAAAAAACAAGTTAAGATATGACGATTTATATGTGAAATTTGGTTCTGCTGTGATAAGTTCTGGAGGAAATGAAAAACCACAGTGGCACCGTTCTATTCCGATGTCGCTATGATGGCACTAAAATTGCTTATTCTATTTGCAACAACTTACGAATGTGAGGCAGCTTTTTCTACGTTACTCGCTATCAAAACAAAATGTCGGAACAGAATGGACGTGAGATACGATATGAGAGTTGCATCATTCAAGACAGGTAGAGGAACTAGATAGAGGAACTAGTCACACTAGTGGGAGCCAAGCAGGTGCATCCACCTCATTGAACTGTTTTAATGTCATTCAATAGGATAATAGATGAATGATTGATATACCGCGTTGCTATTTGCTTTCATTACTTTAGTTGACCGCAAGTCATCAGAAAAATTGAAAAGGGACCGTTATGCATAATTTTTCAAAAAGTTTGAGAACCACTGTATTAGATGAATTAACTAAATTCAAAAGATCACGCGACGTTCTCTACAAAAACTTCGCCATTCATTATATTTTGCGCAACTTCACTTATGATTGCCATGACTTTGCTCCCAGTAGTTCAATAAAATATACAGTATACCGTTTAGCTCAATTTTTAAATGTTTTCTCTAGCGGATTTATCAGTTGAACCATTATTCAAGCCTCACTTGAACAATCTTGTCAAATATAAAACCATAAATTTTCATTTCTATAAAGACAGGACAACTACGACTAATTCGTGTATGATCGCTTATTTCATAAAAAAAATTGTCCAACCTCATTTTTCTAATTTTTACATGTTTATTAAGGTTTTATTCAAAAAAAGACAAATGTTGGGTACTTCTACTGACCTGCTGAGTGATTCTAGCAGAAAGTGCCGTTAACCTAGAATCAGCGTCTGATACGGCTCTACTGACTCTTAGATGTTCTTCTGATAATTGTGTTTTAATCTGAAATATATAAATATTGATATTTTTATTATGTTTTTTTTATCATACACACAGAGTACATACAATTATTGTCTCAAATCAGTTAAATCAACCACAACAAGTCAGTCAGAAGTTAAGTACTACTGAACTCATCTGATATTGTCACACTTGGTAAGGATTCATTATCGGAAGAGACGTTATGGTTAGTTATATCATTACGACGACTTATGGATCTTTTATTTCTGAGATAAAAACGAAATGTCTTTTTCTTATATATACAAAAGTTATTAAATATCACAAAAGTACACTAAAGTCAATCACCCAAGTACCATATATCCAACTACCTCATTTGAAAATTGTTCTCTATCACGTGAAACTTGGAATTGTACTCCACCAATAGCTTGTTGCAAAGACGATAGAGCAACTCTCAATTGTTCTTGAAGAGAGTCTATCTGAGATAATGTGTTTGTTGATTGGCCTTCTCTCTTTTGTATTTCTGCAAGCAGTACTTTCTCCAGTGCTTTCCTAAATGTATTTGGGGAAAAATATGAAATAAATACATTGAAAAGTAAGACAAACTGCATACGAAATTCGCCTTATATCATGAAAAAAGTAGGGGAAAATGCAGTCGAATAATAACAGTATAGAAATAAATCAAAATATTACAATTTCGCGGTTGAAATGTTAGCTGTTTAAATGCTTACATTGATTCTAAAATATTATGTGTTTGATGTGCTTAATTAATTAAAGTGTTCAATTCAACATTACTTTTCTCTTTGCAGTTTTCTATCCAGCATATGAATCAATTCTTCAGATCGCTTCATATTTGCCTCGTGTTTAGTTCGTTCTGATCTACGAGATTCTTTCATGGCTTTTAGCTCATCATGCATAAGTTTTTGTTGGAGATTCCACCTGTATTAGACGTGTATATCACTGTCATTTATATAGTAGAAACACGTGTGGGGTGAAAATGGTACGCCCGTAGTGTGTGTACCAGGTTAGAGTTAGGGTTAGGAAATAATTTTATTCCGATTTTCCTTATTTTAGTTCTATTGCGAGTTCGGAGACTGTCTTTATTAGCCAAGCGAATATACCCCAATGGGTTTCAGTCTCTTTACACAACTTGGTGTAAAGTAGGTTATGTATGTTTAGCTAAATGGTTGTTCAATACACAACATACTTTGTGTCATTATCTTCTCGTAGTTGTTTTTCAAATTGAATTCTTAAACCTTCTTCTCTTTGTACTTGTCTTTCCACCTCAATAAATTTTTGCAATGCTTCTTCCCTCAATCTAACTTCTTTACTCAGTAATTTGTCACTCATTTCTTCAACAGCTTCCTAAATTAAAAGATTTAACATGAAAATCAGTTCGAACAGACATTAAGACTTATTTCCATTAGCATGAAAAATGAAGGTTTGGCATGAGAACACTCAAAACATGGTTACATTACCACAATTTACATTCAGGTTACGATGTAAGAACCGACCTTTATTCTTCCTTGTAGTTTCATTCTTTCGTTTTCCTCGACATGCCCTTGTTCTTGCCTATTTCTTTCCAATGCTTGAATATCTTCTTGTCTTTTATGTGATTGGTCGTTTATGGAAGATTGAAGTTCGTTCAGTTTGGCGCTTGTCTGAATGATAGTTATTTTAAATATTGAACATGATAGAAAAATTGATATTGTGACTGAAAATGGCATGTTAGCGTATTTGTTTTAGATTTGAAATTTCACGAGAAACAAGACTTTTGAATATAGCAAGTAGTATGTAATTGGTGTTGTGAAGTAGCCTTTAATACTAATCTTGCCTACCTTAAAATAAGTGCTCAACTGAAAAAAGGGAGGGGGGTGAGTAGTATATATATGGATTTACAACACTAATCAAAAAATGGTCGACAGGAGTCTAGTTTCTGTCTAAATCAAACTGAATACAAACTATTACATGTTGTGAACTAGAGTGAGCTTCTGCTTCGGCTCTTCCAACTCGATTTCGCAATTCAGCAATGACGTCACGAAGCTCGTTGATACGTACTTCGAAGAATTGTCTGAAAATTAAAAAAACGTTCAGCCGGGTAATAATAATCAGACAGATAATTCCAAATATATACCAGTCTGATAGTTTGTTGAGGGACTGACTCACAAAGGCATATATTGGCAAAACACAATCGGAATTGCATATAGTTGGATTGAACATATCCTAATGGAAATCACTTAACACCGAATTCAAGAGCACAAAAGTTAGCTCCATGTCTTTAATAAACTAATTCATATCTAAGCCTTAGCAAGAAATTACGCGGCTGCTTTCTCGGGTAAACAAGCTGAATTACCAATTATAGAAAAAAAAATTGGATTCCAGTGGATGTGGATATTGGAAATTATTTCAAATTTATATAGTACCTTGTTTGAAGGCTATTTTGCTCTGCTTGACTGTTGTTGTCTTTTTGAAATCGAGCTTCCAACATGGCTTGTTTCGTGTCTTCTTCCAATCGTTTTGATCGCTGTCGCAATTCAGTTTGTAAATGTGTAAAATCCATTGCCTGGAATGAAAATTGAACCGATATGACAAATATAACAAGCTAACAAGGTAAAACTTTAAATAACAAATTGAATAGAAAAGTTGGCACTGGTTAATGGGAATATTTTCAGGTTTATTTTGTACTTGTTATAAATATCATTCGGTATAGTTGTATTTCTCAGACATTTTGTGAATGAAACATAGGTGCAGGATAGACTACTTTAAAACCGGCTTTTCGATGAATGCAAAACGATGACAAACGCCAGCAAGGATAGTATTTTGACCCCCAATTTAAATGGTTTATCATGCTACGACGACTATAACATTGTCGAAGCCCACCTGTATTTCTAATTTCGTTTTCATTTGTCTGAATTCATCAACCAAAGTAGATGAAGTTCTTTCACTTCTGTCGTATTTTCTGTTTAAGTCATCATAATGATGACGTAATTCGCCAATTTGTGCTTTTTGCTTCTCTCTCTGTGAAGTGGATTCTTGTTGTGTATTCAGTAGGGCCTGTGAGCACGCAAAAAAGAAGATCAATAACTCGATTAAGGATCATTCTTGTTGCCACTATGAAACAGCTGCTGGAATGGTTATAAAAAGATTAACCTGATTTGTATATGAAGGATACGTTTAAGTTTGAGATAATTAATACACGGGATAAGACAAGCCATTTAGGTATCGCTGCTCGATGACCTAACAAGGTCCCAGCGAATCCTGTGGCACAACTAACATCATTATTACATTTATTTCCTGTACCAATTTTTTGTGCATTTGTTGTTTTTTGTGACAACGAATAAATGATTGATTGATTGATTCAAAAACGTGTATTTTACCTGCTCGAATTGTTTTGTTTGTGCTAGCATATTTTTTCTTGTTTCTTTGTCAATGTGTAATTTTTCTTCCGCTCGTCTCATTCGTGACGTCAGCTCACTGACGACGTCATTGCTTGCTCTTATAGTCTGCATTAATTCGTGTTGCATCTTTCTCTCTTCTGTTTTATCTCCTTTCTTTTCCAATTGAGTCGCCCGGACAGAAGTTTGCAGCCTATAAACCTGAAAAAAAGAAAGATTTAAAACATGCTCATGATTTTGATAGACTTCAATATTTCATATTTGCAGTGCTTATTTTGCCTTGTAATGCAGGTTTTTGGGAAGGCATCAACTCATTTTCTCATAGTTTAAATTACCAAAATTTACATTTACCAATGAGTGACAGCTGAATGCAAATTTTAACCTAATTCGTGAACAAACCTGGTAATTTTCCGTAAGCTCATTCTAGTTCAAAACTTCCGAATGTAGGCTACTTCTATTGTGCATATACGGTACCTTCTAATGGTTGTGCCAATCAACGAACGAAATAATCAAAAATATGAGGATATATCACTATCTTATTGTTGGTGGTCTATCAGTGGGACCGCCAAATGTAATTAATCTCTGAATAAGCATGCTTTCATTTTTTGCCTGTTCATAGTTGTAATAAAATTGGATGTCGAATCATGCTTGGTTGGTGTTAAATAAGCATTCTAAATTTAGTCAGTACAACCTTCATTAAATAAAATGACCCTGTTTCCACCCGCCGCGCGTCAAAACTTTTCATAAGTATTATTTGATTTGAAGGTACAACTTACTTCTTCTAATATTGCTTTGTTTGCTTCCTCTATAACGGAAATTTTATTGACGACATTTCTCAGTTCAGACATTGTAAATCCATCTTTGCCGCTTGATCTGCGAAAGAACATGACAAATCACACCTATATCAAACTTTGAAACACTTGCGACCTTAGAAAAATACACAATTATTTTCGGCTCATACCGAAAGTCATAAATCACATTGTATTCCAATAATTGGACATGTTAAAGTAGTTGTGATCGCGGATTAGTAATCAAAAAGGGCGGAGCGGTTAAATCAAACATTAGTGAAACGAGATAAAAAAAATAGTCCAAGTCACATGATCTATATTTTTTCTTTCATCAAGTTTTTTATTGAAATATGCATAAACGTTTTAGAATATGTATAAAAGTATATAAATAGAAAAACACAATTAACCTGCATAAACTAATATTATATAATTTGCAAATAATTTTCCTAATACAAATAATAGTTTTAAACATTCACATAAAAAATCGTCTTCGAAACGCATAGCATATCGAAGCATACGCCTCATTCCATCAATATTATACTCCCCAAAATTAAAACTGCTCCTGTGCATTTATACTTCAAATAAATTATATTATTTTTAATAGTCGGCCCATCCTGTTAAATTTGGTCCACGATCTGCCGATAAATTAGCTTTGTGGATAACGTAACTCACCTAAATTCTGATACCGCTGATCCATTCCATGTTGTCAAATTTTTAGAGTTAAGAGGTACGAGTTGATTATTATGGTTTGCTTCGAGCTGCGGTAATGGAGACCGAAGTCCCTCCCCACCATAATTTGCCGAACTAGATGCAGTACCAGGAAGACCTGGCAAAACTCCTACGCGGTGACGCTGATTTCCTCCACCAACCATAACGCCACTGGTTAGCATTAGTAAATTTCCAAAATGTGGGATAATGGCAAAGTGAATTAGTGTAAACTCGTGATCTATATTTGTGAATATAAAATGAAGACCGTTGTTAATAAAATATATATGAGTATTTTTATTGCTAGCTTTTTAAAATTGCCAGAATTGCAGCACATGTTACTATTACTGTTGAATTATAATAAATTCAACTGTGCGATCATTGAACAATTACGCACTAAAAGATTATATATATTTAATTATCGAGATAATAAAAACTATATATTCATTAATATATTAACAAAATTCCTCACATGCATACAACCCATTTTTTATACTAAAATTGAACATAAAATGCATTAAACATATTATGAGATGAATTATTCAGCAGATAAGATCACTCTGGCTGGCATCACCCCCGCACTTAGAACTATATAGGCACACTCTGTCTTTGCTTACAATTAGAAAAAACGAGGATCTACTGAGTTAGACAAGCTCATCAGTCCAATACAAACTTACAAATAGCAGATCAGTACAATCATGGTTGCCCATAGCAATGGTTCAAAATAAAATATTATCATCATCTAACAACTATCATTTAAACAGCTAATGATTCCTCTGACGTTCAATAAATATTACAAAGACTACTTGGTCCAGCGACTTTTCGAGTACAATTAAGCCTATATGTGTCCACTATATTACAACAAGTAAGGACAGCTTATGTCAGACTGGAAAGTGTTGTTTTTTATAGTGAATTCATGCTTGACAAGATGGTACAAATAGTTTAAATTCGTGAATTATTTGTCGTAGCTGATGGCCCTTCTGAAAAGTGAATGAACAATTCAAGTATCGTCAAAATGAACGTTTGTGAAAATGTGCACGGCCACAAAAGATATGATGCGAATTATCTAAATTTTAATAGCATAACGAGTTTTTAAAAATTTCTTTTGACAGACTCTTATATAACTTATCTACGACTTTCAACTGTATTAACTTGAATCAAGTCAATCTAAATGAAAAAAAAACAGCAATTTATAACAATCGTCTAATTAGGATTTGTTGTTGTTGTTTAATGTTTTATGGCGCTTATAACATGATTGTTCAATCCCCATTGAGCCTAGATACCACTCCAATTTAAATATTAAGGACTCGCCCTGAAAAAGCATTCTCCCACTAAAACCAAGTCGAACGACCGTTCATTCATAGATTATGATAACTTGAAAATCGTCGCCAAGCTTTCCTCTTTTCATAAATTTTCATAAATTTCATCTTCAACTTTTGTAGACTATAACCAGACATTAAACCTTGTGCTGTTGTTTGTTCCTTGCATAGAAACCTATCGATCTGCCATTTTTTCGATTAGCTGTTGGTTTTTATACCAAGATATCAACAGGAACAAATTTCCTGTACGAATTTCTCGATTAAATTCGCTTCTGTTGAAATCCACACCGCAAGGAATTAAAATGTTCCAAGTCTTGTAACGGACAATCTTAGTTGTGACTACAAAAGTAGTATTTTCGCTCTCCAGACAGAACTTTTGACAATGCTTTGAACGACAAACTCTTGTTGTTCTGTCGTGATAGAAACACAAGCCTAACACAAAGTAACGTAATTAAAATCGCCAACTAATGTAAAACTGACTACAACTACATTTCGCGTAAATAGTCCACCAATCGTTATCTTTGTCGATATCCTTCAACCTCATTAAAAATTCATATATTCCGACTCGTAGAAAATACTTCAATCATTTATCATCAGTCTTCTATCAAACAACAAGGCAATATTTTTTGGTCAGTTGGTCAGTTTAGAATAAATGTCACAAATAACTTATTCATAATATTATATACGACTGAAATAAAAGTGGGATAGAACCCGTCCACATTCAAGAAAACTCAGTGGTTACTCATATACGTACGGTACATTCGTGGTATATATAACAAAAACAGTATAGTGGAAGAAAAATGTACATTACGTATAACGCCGGCAAGTGCGATTTAAAAATAATATTGCTGACATAGTAAGCATATATCTATCACAAATGAGTAGTGCGTATAGAACAGTAAGTGATTTCGTGTATGGCTCAAAACTCTTCAATCTTGTTGGCAAATTGAGTCTTACTGCAAGCGGATATTATGTCCTTTACCTTACTCACTTAGTGGTAACTGGAAAAGACTTTACATTGATGCGACACTGGTAAAATTTTTCGCTTCACTATTATACCAGAGAAGTTAGAACTGAAAATCTGTACTTGCATTCAATCCCCACACCTGCCGTAACCATTTCAAAAAGATCGGTTTGAAACGAATCATATGAACTGATTGTTGTAATGCGATATCTTGTTTACAATAAACTAGTCTCATTGAATTTGCGAAACCATGGATGATTGAATTGTTTCAAGTTGCCATAATCTCTATAAGAATTTTGAATTGAAATATCGGATACCTGTGTTAAGCCACTTCTATCCACCTCGGACATTATTGCCTAGCAAATAGACAAACTTTTATTAGTTCATCAATATTTGCGGGACGCAGACTGCGAATAACTTGTAAGACGTCATGTACAAACAAATGTTCTTTTGTCACCAGTTGACTACCAAACAAAACAATAAATCTACCGACATCTCAAAGTAAACGATTCAACTAAACATGTATCTTTTGGTACAGCAAAAATTCTGAAGAAGACCGTTTCGTAATAGCATAAAGATGCGGTGACATTGCCGACAAAGGCGATTGTGTTGGGAATCATATTCAACAGAAAAACCATCCCTTTGCAATATTTGTAAATGAACAGTATTTTCGCGATTGGACAATAAAACATGTAGTATGTGGCTTAGTCATTATATTGTCTCCATCGACATACCAGACACAATTACATATTACAGGTATAAATAGCCGTTGTTGCTATACAAATGGACAGCTATGTTATAGTTTAACTGAATAATATTGGATATTGATGCATTCATAAGTTTGTAATTTTCCCGCTTTGAAAAATTTATTCATGTTAGAGACCTGTTTTTGTGGTGAAAATGGTATAAAGGAATTCGACTGCAATAAATATTATATTAAATAAACGGATCAAACTGTTTAGTCAATGTGTAATTATTGATACAAAATGTTAGATGGTATATTCGAGTCTCCGTGCTTAGGAGATATAAAGTGCCAGTCCTAAAGTTCGTAGAATTTACATTCTTTGACCAAATTCTAAAAGAATAATAGTCTGAAACTTCTGACTTGAATGTTTGGTGACAACGTTTGCTAAAAACCCCAAAAAATCGTTAAAAAAAGAGAAAAGTAATTGCGTACAATCCATGTAAGCTACGATAAGACTTCTTGGCCTACCTAGTTAACGAGAAACACTACAAGATTTCTGCACCAATTGGATCGATGAAAGTAGCATCCTAACGCTAGCTATGTTACTATTTACACCATTTTGATTCCTGGTACAGAATGTGGTCAAACTGTGGCAAACCTAGCCAAGCACCTTGAAAAGAGTGCTTGTGATACAAGCATACCAAATCATAAAATTCTTAGTCCACCCGTCAATTATTTCTTCATCTGCAAAATCTACCTTAAACTGCTGAGCCTAAGCAGGTTTCCAACATCTAACATTAGCTGATAATGCAAGATAGGCTACTCAAAGAATTTTGCCCCACAGACACCGCCCGCTTTGGCGAGTAAACATATTGTGATAGCATAATTTGGTGTATGCTCGGTCACACAGCACTGGCCTCTTTTAGACAGTCGATATACAGTTCCCAACCGCAGGCCACCAAAGAGATTGTTTACCTACTATGCTCAAAAAGTATGTCCGCATGAGAAAAGTGCCGGAGATTCTGACCAAGTTTGGAATATTACGTCACAGTTATCGTATTGCTGATAAGCCATTGTTACGGATACAACCAAGAAAACCAGTGACATCCACTTACGTTTGATTACCGTAAGATGAAGGCCACATGCTTGTACTAACTAAAATTTTCCTTCGAAAAAAAAACTAGTAAATTCGGATTTTATATCATGTCAACTTTTTTTAAGATTTTTATGGGGGAATAAGTGCACAAGTTCTTGTTTAACGGTGCGGTGTTTTACAGTAGAACAGTAAAAAATTAAACCATTCGTACCATTTTGATTCAGAAAGACTATGTCAAAAAAAATTCCTGACACTAAAACTTGACATAGAAGACGGAAACTTTCCAAATATATACACATAAGCAAAGTTTTTATGCATTCTCAAATGTCTAAAAACGTTATATAATTCACACACTGAATATAATTTAGAATGCGCAATACATTAAATACAGTGTGAAGCCTCACTATGACCTATGAGCACCAAAGAAATGGTAATATTTTTCCATGTTTGATTACTTTTCAAAGCTCAACGTTCTTCTACGGACATATAGATATTCAAATGTATTTCATAATCATATTTTGTAAATCTCTGTGCCGTAGAATAAAACATTCGTGGCCTCATTTTCCTGTAGCGTCGATCTCTGGTAAAAGCTCTAACGAAATATTCTGATTTTTCTGAAAAAATATTTAATACAGATTATAATTTGTTTTAAATAAAAAAGACGATTAGAATTTTATATATATATATATATATATGTGGGACATAAACTAATAATTATATATATAATTATATATATAATTATATATAATTATATATTATAATTATATATATATACTATGACTTAAACGAATGAAACAAAATATCTCAAATACGTAATTTATTTGATTAATTGTTTATGTGACCCTAGAACAGGGATGGCGAACCTTTTTCAATGAATGGGTCAAAAATTATATTTTTATCGCGGAACAGAAGAGAGTGGGTCACAGATATTTAATCAATGTTAGTATCTACACAAGGAACTTCTGAAACAAATCTTCTAAGCTTCTGTCGGAGTTGGTATAGTTTTGGGCTTTACTTATGCAGCACAAATTATTTCACGGTTCCAAAGAGTTTGGAGGGAATTCCACTTTGATAGAGTTATATTATCTTGTCAGCTTTCAATCACATTAAGGCACTTTTACACTGCCCCATTGTTATTTCAGATTTCTAGGTTTTTATTTCAATGAAAGATTTTGTTTTCTCAATGGAATTATAGGCTAGAAACAAATAAAATGTAATGTAACATCTAGTTCTCGTATAGCCCCTAAAACAGTCTGCAGATGCACATCTGAAAGAGACCGAGAAATGAACAGATCTATTGCATTGTTATGTCATAAACGATGTCAGAGCCAATAGCTGAATAATGGTACACAGCAGTGCAGACATGCGTCCAAGATTAGGGGTTTTGAAAATTACCTGCCCAAAAATTAACAATTTGAATATGAGCGATCGCAGCCCTGACTGTGCAACTGCTGGTACATTATAATAGTTTAGTTATTGTTAGATTAATTCGAAGCCGGTTTTATCAATTTTTATCACTGATATGTTAGCAGTTTTTATTTTATTAGGGCCTTGGCGGGTCACGAATAAAACGCGGTGGGTCACTTTGTGACCCGCGGGTCAGTGGTTCGCCATCCCTGCCCTAGAAAGAACATTTTGCAGTTCTTTTCTTCCATCAAATTTGTAAAAAGAAGTAGCCGAAGTAGGAATTATGTTTTTCATTATTTATTCGCTTGTATATTGTATTTGGGTTGCATTGGGTACCATTAGGACTGATAACTTAATTTCAACAAAAGAGAAAAAAAATATATATAAACCGTATGTATATATATGAAAGAAGTGAAAGAGTGACACTATAAAAGTGCACGTTTCTCGTCCGTTACAAGAATTAGACAATAGAAAAGATTCATATATATACTTACCAACAATTCTAATTAGGTAAATGCCTCATTCGCTTGGGTCATACAACTGTGAGAAACTCTACAAAATACCTATTGGACACTATATATATATTATACCTTTCAAACGATATTTCTCATTAATGCTAAGTTATGTTTTAGTCGCTATTTATACTATTATTCGGACGGTTGTGATGTAGTCGTCCTTGAACACGAGATACGGCATTGCATTATTGCTTTGCCATACGTAAAATATATAATATAGTGAAACTACATTCCAATTCGTGAATTATTTGGACATGGTTTTCATATTTTAATTAAAATACCGGTAACTGCTTTTGATATGAACATCGTTATGTTATCTGTGTATCCAGCATATTGATAGCTGCGTATATGTTTTCTGGTAATAGATAGAAGGGCAGTTTCATGTAACTTATAGGGATCGTTGTAGTTGGTTATTATAATATTCCTCCGGTTTGAACAAGGTATATATAATATAAAAGCCACCATTTAACCATAATCAAGAGATTAAGTTGTAACGGAATATCCCCATAAGATTACCACATAAAGAATGACAAAGCATTTCAGCAGGATTCATTTTCTATTAGAACAGTCGACCACTTCAGACGGTGGTCTCAGTCAAAGATGGTCCTTACATTTATCGATTATTAACTCAACCTTATAGGATCACACTTCTGCTCACAATTATGATCGAGTGTTGAATGGCTTAAACCGCCAGAAGTTCTTTTCATATTGAATACACTTTGCGCACTCTCAAGTTTCAATGTTTATTCTTAGATAGTGTGTGGGCTTAGTTCGCAACATTCTTGTTTTCGTGGCGCGTAGCTTCTTCTTTGTTTAGCGATCAACTGTGATTTAATAAACCTTGGATAAACAGCTTCGCGGTGTTTGTCAAGCAACCTGGTTATAGAGTTAATCTAGATTCAGTTGAGTGAAATATTCTATTCAATCAACTAGGATAGCACCTTGATTGTAGAGGGTTTGGCATTACCAACGCCCCCACTCAAGAAGCGGGTAAAGTGGAACGTCTGTCGACAAAATAAGAGTATATGCCTGGTTGTTGCTTTTCTACGAATCCAAATTATAATGCTGGTATTTAATTTCAATTGGAATCGGGGAGCACTTAGGAAAACCAGAAAATAAAGGACCGCGAGATATATATAGTTAGTAGTTGTGGACAAAGTGTGGGAGAGCATTTAGTAAGAAGATTGTTAGCATGCTGCAAAGTTTGTATACAAAATTACTGAAATAGATTTTACCCCACCTACATCGCTTCTAATAGTCTATATTGAACTGAACAATATATATATATATCGAGCAAAACTAATCTCTTCATTACTGCAATTGCAAGATTTTCATCATTGGTCAATTCAATGCATCTGTCATTGTGACGTTACTATCGTTAAATATTTGTAATATTTCACACAATATAGTATTGAGAAGTTTCAAAGAATACTCGTAAAATAGCTACTCGATAAATCTACGATGTCGAGAAATTCAGCACGCAGAAATCCAACTGATCAAAATGTAACGGTATTGAAAAACAGAATCAAAGATTTAGAAGGAGAAGTCGGAACTCTAAAAGCTGTGAGATATATATACGTTATTGGCTACATAGATATTTGTTAGTCTCAATATAATGATGGAGGCCGTAAATGCCATTTTACACGATTTAAAGTGCACAATGTGACTTAGCTAAAATTGACATGTACCTATGAAAGGCACCAGTATATTTATTAGATTTATAAACAAGTTATAGGTATACTTTGAGACCTCATTTTTATTCCCTTTCCTCGGCATGATTTGTATTAGCCTATCTTAAATTGGTCGTGTCTCAGAACAATCGTTTTCTAAAGTGATGTTGATTATACCAGAGTCCAATATGATAAGGTGAACCCAGGATATTTCAAAATATTATAGCGAACAAAACTATGTGAACATTTCTAAATAATTTATTTCTTTAATATGGTTTCAGCGTTTGGATGAACTTCGAAAAGCGAAAAATAATACTATTTTGAAACGAGAAAGAGAAGTCATACATGTGGGAGAACCGACTCTAGGAAGGCCTGCAGGAGTTGAAACGTCTAAATATAAAGAGCTGGAGAAGAAATTATCAGATTCTGAAGCAAGATATGCTGCTTTAAAAAAAGAACTGTCCGATTTTAAAGAGGAATTAAAAAATAAAGATTTAGCAAAACATAAAACAGAAGAACAGAGCGAAATGTGGAAGAAAAAATATCAAGAGTAAAATTCTTTAATTAATAACTCAGAAACGTTCGGATTAACCGCATAAATATTTGATCAAAGTAAAGTCACAAAACCCCCCCAAGAGTGATGGGATCTATGCTAAGAACAAATTTTCAAGTGGCTCCCGTGGTAAATGCTACAAAGAACCTATTAGAATTAGTCGAATGTGTATATTCAGTGTCTTCCTCGAGTTAAATTGATTGTGGGCTAATAGACTAACAAGTTTCTATATAAACTTTTTTTAGGCTAGAAGCTGATGTGAATAGTCTTCAGATGAATCATGAAATTGAACTGGGGAAATGCAAAGCCAAAGTTCGAGAGAAGACAGCAGAGGCTGAAGATTTATCAACCGAACTTGAAAGACTTCGCGAACGATTAGAAATAAAAGCAATGCAAGAAGAACACAAAGGCAGGGAAAATACGTAAGAATGATTTTGTTTGTCTTAGAGTTTGACTTCCAAATATTTGCCCGTGAAAACTTGGTATTGAATCAACAATTTTGGGGTATTTCATGTACTAATAATGCCAATACCGAACGGCGGGCGAGGCTAGTTTTGACGCCCGGTCTGCTAACGACAAGACACCTTTTTGACATGACATGAATGCCAACAATACCACAAATCTTATCTTCTTGATCACCGATTTATTCAGAGATCGAGAAGGGCATATTACAAAATTGACAAACGAAAACGCATTTCTTCGTGAAAAGATTGAAACTTTATACCTGGAGTTAAGTGTTAAAGAAGCGCAATGGACGGAAAGAGAAGAAAAATACAAAGTAGAAGTAAGACCTATTACATTTCAAAGTTTTATCGCGACTATGGATACGAACGAGGCTATTTTATCACAGTCATTTTGCCCAATTTTGTCATCTTTGGTGAGGTGGGACAGCAGCATGTAAAATCTAGATAGATAATATTCAGCAAAATATTATCAATATCCCATCGCACCTATTTAAGTGTATTTATTATGTACTATTGGGCTAAATATGCACACGCATCGGTAATTAGGCTACTACAGTACAAACGCCGTACAACGGGTGTCTCAAAAATGTCCCAAGTGTCTCACTTGCCCCACGTATCCCACTTTTCCTACTCGTTCTACTTATCTCACTTGTCCACCTACTCTACGTGTTCCACTTGCTCCACGTGACCTAGGCTACTTGTTCCAAAGTTGTGAAAATTGGTGTATGAGTGATTCCATTACAATAGTATTGAATTAATTAATTTAAATGAAAGTGGGACACATGGGACAAGTAGGACATGACTTTTTCGAGACTCCGAAAAAATTGTAGTTGCGGGCGCAATTGACTCGACGTCCCCAGCTTGCTAACCGCTGGTATAAAGCAAATGCCGTTGTTAGCTGATAGCGCCATTTCCTTAATCAACACACAACACATACTCAATTACTGTGAATAGCCTACGAAATTATAGTAAAAAATTTCATTTTCCTGTTTTTAACAGATAAAAAAGGAATGGGGAGAAAAGTACGGAGTTTGGATGGCTGCCACTGAAAAACGACTCAAAGAACTACACGAGGCAAATGAAATGTTAAAAAGTTGTTTGTATAAAGGGGAAAGAAAACATAAAGATAATCTGAAAGGATTTGATGAAGATGATGAAAAAGATGGCGAAAGTGGAAGTTCGTCTGCAACATGACATTTAACCCCGCGACACTCATAAACATAATAATATATTTATGGTATAGCGGTGTTGGTCAAATTTTCCCGTATATATATGATTGTTGTAATGTTACGAAAGTCAACATAAAACCTCTCAGTTTCAAATATATATGATATATACGGTAACTTCATTTGCTTCTCAGGAACATATTTCTTTGTCAAGTCAAGCGCCAGTCATTATATTTTAGCATGAAATCTGAAAGACATCAAATATAAATATTACCACCTGAGTCAGTCGTAGACTATTGATATATCGTAAGGAACAAAACATTATTCTCAGTTCGGCGTTTCGGAGTGGGTCTACACACGGTGGTACAAAGTAAATATCGTTGTAGAGAATTTATTATTTGATGGACAATTTTATTTGTCGATAAAGGAAATTTATTGTTTCGACTAAGCTCGATTGGTATCCTTTTTGGTTTGTGTGGTTTAAGCAAAATGAATATTGTATGTTTCAATAGAACACTAGTACTATGAACAAAGTTAGACAGCCTTACTCAATGCATCATTATCTTCAAGCAATGTTTTCGTTTTACTTTTTTATCTCGTTGCCATAATCTTAATAAATTTCTCTTTTCTCATGTGATCATGGTTTACTCTGTCACCGTTGTAGGTCATGTCGCGCTCTCCGTGTCCGGGTTTAGGTTTGTATTGGCATGACCTGGTTCTGTGTTCCAACATATGTCATAAATATAATTATTTACTAATAAAGTTACGATGCAATAACATTACGAAATGATTAGGTTGCTTACCTGCACTTGTTGCCTACATGGAACTCAAAACCCAGTGGAATATTGGGCGGAATAAATTCTTGATCGAAACTTAAAATAATTTTACAGTCATGAAAACTGCCTTTATTAGTTCCTTTTAATCAAATTGACGGTGTTACATGTCACGAATTAATCAAATTCATGGTTAGACTCTCATGCATGCCTTTAACAGTATCCCACTCAAGCATGCAACGCCTTTGACAATAGGTTTTTGATCTATTCGCTATACCTGGGTTTTTGATCTATCAATGGCTATACCTGGCCCAAAAAGTTTGATCTACTGGGGATAAACATTAACCCTTTTTTTCGCAAAATTAAAATCAGCGTGATTGTAACATAATTTGAATAATTGACCGTCTTTCTTCATCATGACATTTATATAATATAGTATTTACGTATATATATCTAGGAGATCAGTAAAATATCTGTTTTTCTTTGTGTAGTAATTTAATATAAAATACCAACGGATCTTCAACATATTACAACAGATGGTTTGCTAGTAATTCAGCTAGTTTCGTAGCCCAACATTCTTAAAGGCAGTATATATCTGACCCGACTGTAGTATCAATTCAACAAAATTTTAAAAATATATGAATAAATTTATTTTGACATCAACAAATCTGTAACATGCTTTTTTGTTGTTTGTAATACCATAAATAAACAAAATATTGTGTAAAAAAAGCCTTGAATCTGCAAATTAACGTACAAAAGCTTCAAATAGCGATTTATATATATTCAGTTCAGCTCTTAAAGCACAAAGACAGCGCAGCTCACATTTGCATCAAATAATGTTGAAGAATTGCATTCTAACTAGCATGGCTGTATAATATATCTCTATTTTTACTACTGAAGATGTAAAGTTTTGTGCGATTATCATACATGTTCCAAAGATAAAGTGAATTAACAGCACAGATTTGTGTAGAAAAAAAATCAAAAAAATTTAACGTCTGGTATAAAAAATATTTACAACTAAAGCACGAGTATTGTCATTTATAAAAAAAAAAGGCAAAAAATATGTACATCAAAAAAAAATGTTGAAAATGGGAAAGGCTATACAAAAATGTGACTATGAACGAAGTATGACATAGGGCATTACTCAATAAATATACAGGTGGTGTCAAAACGAAAAACTAATACAAATTCTCTTAGTTATCATAGTTTGAACTTAAGCAAGCATACAAGATAGATTGAATTCGCAAAGGCTATATTACACAATGTTCATCATAATACATATATAAACAATCTTATATACACACCTACATATCAGCAGTAAATATAATGTCTTTGAAGCTTAATATTTATAATATTAATAGTAATTTGCCACAGCTACAATGTACTACAAGTTACAAAAATCTGCAGAAGCTGTAGAGAAGTACTAGTACCAGCCATTCAGAAAAATATAGTGTTTTAAAGAAAGTATATATATTTTGTTATAACAATAAACATGCTGCAGTATATGGTAAATTTGGAAATTTTATTTCAGAATTTATAGGAATTCAAATAAATGAGGATTTTCGTATTTGCATCCCAGGAAAAAGTCAACTAAGTGGCAAGCCAGTGTGACTGAATCAGATCACGCAATAATGAAGACCATTACAACCATTCAATACTCCTATAATCGCTTATTGTATGACGGACATTGGACAATTTTTTTCCCATAACAAGATGATTGTCTCATAGCAGATCATCTAACAGCACTATGATCCTATGTTGCAAGTTAGGAACCTCAACTTATCACAAATGCTATCTTGAATAAATAATAGATCATTTCAATCTCTGCAGTTGAAAGATTGATGGATCTATCTCTGATAGCGATGAGGATTTTGTTCTAATCTGTGATGTAGATTCTCCAATTTCTGAATATATTCATTCAAGGATGGATCAGACTCTCCAGGTTGTGTTCTGAAATTAAAAAATCGGTACAAATTGACTTATACAATATCTATTCCTGAACCCTGCTTGAAATGAATATGATTTCTAATATTATTAATACACCTCTTGCACAGCAGAATAATAATAATGTCAAATTTACCCAAAATGTACAGAGCCACAGTGTTTTTCTATACAAGGCAGCCCAATAGTCCCCACTAGAATATTTATATAAGGAAACCACTTTTCCTAAAAAACAGTTCAGCATGTTTCAGGCATTTGACATCTTTTCCTTTATGTCTGTTAATTTAATTTTTTAAAATTGTATTGTTTTCCCATATAGCTAAGCATAAGCAGTTGTGTGTGATGTCATCAGCTATGGATGAATGACCACGATGAGCCACTATGAAGAACGAGTGGGACACAGGGTTTCTTGATTTGGGTGTTCGAAGTAAAAGCATAAGACAAAATTTCCATATTTATCCCATGGGCCGACTGAAGCCGATAAAACGGTTTATGTCTGGTATGGGAATTGTTAACTAATTATTTTTTTAGACGCTCACTTCTGTTCGTGTTTTATGGGAGTAACTATATACTTTGTATATAAACATTTGTGAAATATTTAGGAATATTTATTTATATCAATTTAACAAAATTCACTGCAGTCTCTTTTCCTAAAAAACTCACCTTGAATAGGACATTGCTGACAAATCTGGAGTTCTATAGTCAGTGTGGTAAGATCTAGGTCTGGGTCTAGTACCAGGTCTACCGCTTCCATTAAGATATCGTAATGCTGTTGCAGATGGTTGATCACCGTATGAATTAAGATAGGGTGACGTGGTGGATCGAGTATATGCATTCCTTGGCCGTGCACCAGACGATGATGATGCACCGTAAGCACCAACAGGGGATAAAGGTGATTCTGAAAGTTTTGTTGGAGTTGTATCCATGTGTTGAGCAGCGGCTCTCAGAGTTTGCTGAAAAATGAAATTTAAACAAATATTAGAAAACCTAATTTGCTTAATGTAACATAAATAATATGATATTAATATGTCTCATCTACACCACTGTACGTGCTCAGTTTAAAACCCCGATCAAACAGTTATCATATTTTTTCACTCCTATTCTATGTCCTAAGGTCAGATTGCCAATGTAGTACTTTTAAATTTGGTGTTTTAAACCTCATTTGAAGTTTTGGCAAATTTCCTGAATTCTGTCCTCTGTGTTAGTCTTGTATCTTGTAATTTACTATATTCTAAATAGAAACTAGTTTTAAGTTTCTCACCTCAGATAACAAACAGTAAATCTCATTGATTGTATTAAACTACTATTCAATAATGAATGCAATAATTTTTTTCATTCTTGGAGTTAATGTTGTTACTGAGAGGAGCAGTGCATTCTTCAAATTTAAATCTGTAAGTCTTGACCTCGCTTTGCTTTTAATTAGTTTCATGGCAGAAAATGTTTGTTCGAATCTATATGTCGTTCCGAAACGACATATAAAACCCTGGGCAAATTTTCTCAGTTTTGGAAAATTTTCACGGGGTAACGATTGCCAGAACTTAATAAAGCTGTTTTTAACAACGAAGAGAAAAAGGTACGATTAAGAAGTAAAGTTAGGCGTAATATTGTGACAACAGGCCTTTAGTATCAATATCTACTCTACTCTACCCTCGATTCTAATTGGCCTTTGCTAATCAGCTGTTTGGCCTAGCGTCGCGTGATTTTACTCCAGGCTTCTTCGTGATTAGTACTTGCGTCACAGCAAGCGATTTTACGCTTCGCTTTTGTTGACAACGGTCATTTGAAGTTTGGATGAAAAAGGTGGTATTTAGGGGTCATTTTCAGCATGTTGTGGGTTGATTTATAATAAATTTTTTAGGCTTGGGCAATTCAACTGTTTGTTCAATGGTTATTGGGAGATATTTGGGAAGTCTGGACAATGGAAAATCCATGTTTCAAGCTGATAAATAACGATTTTCTATTTTTCCAGAAGTTCTGAACTTTTTACTTCAGTAGGGAAAAAATAGTAAATTTTACTAATTTTTGCTAAAAGTCTAGAATGAATGTCATAAAGTCCGTCCAAAAGCTAACGTCGATAATCGCCTGTTGTTCCTAATGCCAACAAGCCGTAAGTGGGCGACGTGGAGTAAGGAGAATAGATTTTAGGTACAATCAAAAGTCACCATGTAAATCGCAAAAAACGGCTTGGCGTGGAGAAGCCAAGTGCAATTAACAATTTTGGCATGAAAAGAGTTAAAGATGCAATGCGCCACCTCTAATCATGCAATGCCCCACGTTTGGCGCATGCGCCATGGGTTGGCCACCCCTGTTTTAACATATCATAGACTATCATAATAAAACAAGACAGACACTCGGTCCAGTATTTTATCTCAGAAGCTGGCTAGTTATCTCTCAATCCAATGCATACATCTTATCCAAACTTACTCTGTATGGTTCATATGATGGTACATGAGTGTCGTAGCTTTCGCCTCTATATCTAGGTAATGGAGTAGGACTAGGTGACTTTTCACCCAATGTGTGGGCTGAGGTAGATGACATAGGACGAAGATGATGAGGTGATGTAGAACGACTAGGTCGTCTATGTGAAGAAGAGTGAGGAGCATGGTGTCCTGGAAATATTGAATAAAATATTAGTTGATAGTTAAAATTAAGACATTACAACATTTGTTTGGCATTTCAGGAGGTTCTGATAATTATCTGGCCTGAGACTGAGAGCATTATAATACAATGGAATCATTTTTAAATTACTAGTTAATTGAGAAAACACCAGAAGGATGTTTCATTTATGATGTTGCTTTTGGCTATATATAAAGTCTCCAACTTGTAATGGTACAACTGTCTGAAACCAGACTTTGTGATGCATTGTGTCAAAAATACATCTTGTTCGTAAAAAGATTTAAAAAATGTAAGAAGATTGATATGCGGATTAAATATGAAGAATGCAAACAACATATAAATATACATTCCAATAATTATATAACAAACAAGATCTGATGACTGTATATATATACACACATTATGATGATTGTGGATTAGAAACCTGAATCCCCAGATCAGTTACTGATCTGACAAATAAACTAATCAATAGGAGTTTATTGTGAAAATATATAGCAATTCCAACATTACCAGTATTTTAGATGGTATGATTGGAATGCGCAACTGAGATAATCACATATGAATACTGCACAATTAATCATTCTCCATACTATTATTAGCATTAGAATATATGTGATCAAAATTTGAACCACCTATAACTAGAAAATAAATTCTTCCCAAAATCCATAAAAAATTCCAGTTAAATGTTTAAATTATAATAAACTTACCATTTGTAATTGGACCAGTTCCATGTTTTTCTTGAATTGAAGCAGAAATCGAACTGCTGGTACGACTCCATTTTCGAACCAAGAATTTCAATCTAAAAATTACATTGATACAAATGAGCTAGGGCACATATGTGTGTAAGCACCTTAGTCAACAATGCAAGTATCATTATTGATAATTTTACACAAAGACCTATCGCCCGACCTCCAATATCATGTTTATGATGCATTTAATACTAATTCAAGAGTGTTATACTGATAAGACAATGCTTCTCATCGAATACAACAATAATCAACAAATTTGACAGAAACAAATGGTTTCTTGTAGATATTACTATGTACAATGGTCAGGACAGCTGTCACCAAATATCACACAAATCTCTGGTCAAAGGGGGCAGATATTTTTTTTAATTCAGCCTACTCAATTTATATCAGATTGATCAGAGATTGTAATTATTCGCCACATGACAAGGGACTCGAGCCCTTGATCCCAAACCTAACTTTACAGATGAACTATCGAGCTGATGTGCCACCCAATTACTACACAATGGTTAATTGCATACCTAGATACAGCCATAATAACGCGAGCAGCAGATCTGAATCTTTTGAAAGCTGTGGATCTATGTGAAGGACGATGGTCTGAATCATCATTAGGATAAGCTCCCATTCTTGCCACCAATGCAAGAGTGGCTTCTTCACATTCCTGGAATAAAAAGAAGCACTTTACACTGTATAATAAATTAATTAGTTAAGAATTAGTATAAGAATTAGTTGTTAAATACCAATCTAATTAAAAATTCTGGCATATATAGACTTTGTTACTAATTGATTTAAAGGTCAATATTTCGAACATAGATATTTTCTAATGAAAAAAAAAACTAGTCAAACTAAATGCAATCAAGAATGATTCACTGATGAGGCATGCCATCAGTACAACTGGATTCATGTTCGAAGAAGTTTTCTATGGTGATTTCTATAAAATATTACCTGGAATCCTCCAATTAGTAGCAGAAGATATTTCTTTTGGTAGACAAGTGCTTTTCTGAAACTTTCAGCTCTTAAATATCTGACATAGAGACGATGCATTCTGCTTGCCATCTCTTGTACTTGCTGTTGATGTTGCTTCTATTTTCCAAAAACAAACAGTTTAATACACTCATTTAAGGTGAAACTAATTATATAGGCTATTTAAAACCGAAAAATTTCTATTATTCCAAATGTTAGTAGCAACATTTTTAAAATGCTGCGTACTGCGTCTCGTCAGAAGTGTTATGAAAACATTTTGTAAAAATTAATGCAAATATTAGATTAAAGTATTTTAAAATGTCTAAAATTGTGTCTTGGATTGGCACAGGAAATTGTGAGGATTGTATGAGTATATGTATGATCGAACATTAAATAATTCTTAATTATTTTGTTTCACTTATTATTCGAAATTATTCATTCCCGATAAGCTGAAATTTTACGATGCAAAATAAGTTAATTAATATTTTTAATTATTATAAATACATTTGGATATTTTAATGACTGTTAAATATTTCATTTGTTTTATTTTCTCTCTTGATCTCACGATACATTCATATAGGTAACTTCTATTTTAACAAGTGAAAATGATGAAAAATGTACCGTGTCATCAGCATTTCTACTGTTATCTTCAGAGCTAACTCTTGCTTTCCAAACTTCTTCTTCCAATCTTCTTAAAGCATCTCTCAATGCTATTTTCTCATCTGTATGCTTGGTATTTAACATAACTAATTCTGCATTTTGGTCCATCAATCTATCATTGAATGGAGAGGAATCTGAAAGAATTCCAGATTTTTCCTAGAAAAAATGAAAATTGAGTCAACCTCCGCCAGAAAAACAGATAAAAACATGGCAATGACATCATAGTCAAAATTTAGGTGGATAGGCTTTATTCAACTAATGTTATATTCACTTACAAAATGTTCTCACAATGATGATATTATGCTGATATGCAACAAAGTCATGATTATATATCAGATAGTACAGAAAAAGAATAGCAACTATATACAATGAATGCATATGACTAACGGAACAAGGTTGAGGCATCGTACCTCTGATTACTCTGCACGAGTTTATATGGTTGAATTATGTGTGAAAGGATTCCTGGAATTCTAGTCATCATGGGTAATTGATGTACAGGTGGTAAATTACCCATCAACTTTTCCATTATGCGAAATGAATACCGGGTTAACTATTTGACGTGACCCTATGACGAGAGGCCATGCTTTACAATAGGCTTAAGCTGTCTTAGTCTCACTCCCCCAAGACAAATTTGAAAATCCTATTTTACTTACTCTTTGTGGCACGGATAATGTTGAATACATTTCTCTTAATTCTTGTTGCATTTCAGCAAGTGATCGTTTCACTGAATCAACTTGTTCAATTTCAGATGCAAGTTCACGAGCTGCTTCATCAGGTTGATTGAAACTATCAGTAGGCAGGGTGACAGGAAGTCGTTGCGCTGTTTTTGACATTAAATCCTGCAAGAAAACCATGAGAATTAAGCTAATTTGGAATGTGATATATAAAGTTTACTACATTACGTGTAGTGCAGTCGTTTGCATCAGTTTTTTTAATCTATTTGTTTGGACACGTTGAATAATAACAAAATGTGGCCACATGGAAATTTTGAGTATAAAAGCAGACAAAATTGATATTGTAAGATTTTATTACTAGGCTGATATTTTCAATTGCTTCCACTGCCAGTAAAATTAAGTAAAGTTAAAATCAAAATATAGTTTGTATATTTGAGTGATTCATCAAAATTTCATTATAAATCTAGGATGAAACTATAAATGTACCTGTAATTTAGTTGATTCCATCTGTAATCTTTGTCTTAAAGATTCAAGTTGTCTCCTATTTGCCATCAAGCCATCATTGGTAGTTGAAGATGCAGGTACTCCAGCATTTGTGATGAGATTCTCCAGATTCTGTCTTCTCATTTGATCTTCCATATTGTGTAATTTCATCAAAGCATCTTGCTTTTGTTCCTGTTTGAAATGAATGATTGTAGATAATAGCTCAGATATAAAAAAAAAATTCACATTGTCTCAAATTTTTTATTTGATACTCAACTAAATCTGTGAAGATCAAAAGATAACTGTGCAAGTTAAAAGATATAAGAGCTGAGGGAAGTTCAATGAAGCAAAAAATACAACCATGATATATAATGTAATAATTATGATTCTGTAGTAGAGTAATAGTAGAACACATCTAATTTGCAACAATGAATTTATACATTTAAATAGTGACCCGAAAAACAGAACTCTAGAGAGATTTAACTAAGAGATATTCGAGAGAGAACTTTTGTACAAAGTATTCTTAGATTACTAAAACTTTTGGTTATACATACACATTCAGAAATTTAAGTGGCAAATAAATATTCTACATTTTCATATAAGCAAATTAAGAAATTTATGGGATATGTTTTTTATGTGACCCTGTATCTAAAACTCTGCTGTCTAGGATATATTTGGCACATCTGAGGCAAGTTTCTCCACTCTTACCTCGGAAACTTTCCCAATTTCAGGAAATACGGAAAGCTATATTTAAAACTGAATATATTACTTATAATATGTATATTACTTGTATATTATCGAGGGCTGATTGTAATTGGTCTCTGACAGCTCTTTCAGCTTCTATTGCATCATGATGTATAGCTTGAGCGTCTTCTAATTGTTGTTTTGCAACTCTTGCTTCTCTTTCTGAAATATCGATTTTCCTCTGTAATTTTTCTGTTTCAGTTTTCGCATCATCTGTAATAATAAAGGAAAAGAAGAATGTAGAGAAATACTGTCAAGTAAGTAGATGCAGTAGTGAGGCAAGATCCTTAGATTTCTTAAAATTAATCCAAATGTCAAGTCAAATATACAAATGATTTTAAAAGAATGTGTATTTGAAAATCTAATATACCTTGATGAATCACATCATTTCAAAGAGAAGGAAATACATCTCATTGATAAAACAGAGAATATTTAATTTTTTCAACAAATGATTTTGAACAAGCGCTTGCAAGAAAATACTAGGTAAGGGTACTACTAGTGTACCGATTGGGCCATCTCGGCTCATCCTGTATGACCAAAATTATCAATTTCCAAATGATCCAATCACTCATCGTTGGATGAGCTAAATCAAGGGTTCTCAAACCTCTAGAGGTGATGGAAAAAAATTTCCAGCGGTACTCAAATGGCAGACCATGTCTGTCTAACACAGCTCCCAAATTGCAAATATCATTGGCAACAAACAGACGCAATCTTTACTCATGTTCAGTTGACTGAGTGTTAATATAATACCACCTGATTTGGTTTCAGCCTGCTGAGGGTTCAGGTAAATTTTTTTTAAATCCAGGGTTATTTGATGGAAGATAGATTAAGAATCTCCAAGCTAAATAGATCCAATTTAACCAATGAATGAATCATTATTTTATTCAATAACTGGTAAATTTCACTAAAAAACAATAGTTACTAAAGTTATTGGTAATATTAATAAAAGTTAGACTCAATCGCATATGAAAATATTAAGTCCGCATTGTTAGACAATAAACAATAAGTATGTAATACCTGAGGTTAATTTACCTAATATTCTTTGCAAATCATTGACAGTGTCACGATCATGTTGTCTGCCTTCATTAGCCAATGATCTCTCTTCTTCTATTGTTCCTCTCAATCTCTCACTTGTCTCTTGTTCTCTCTGGAGAGCTGCATTCAAATCATCGCATTTTCGTTTTTCAGCAACAACTGTGTCTTCCATATCAGCCAATCTAATGATGAAATACAAAATAAATTTCTGTGGGTGTGATAGCTATTGCTTAGAGCTAACTATATAGGCACTGCAAGTTACAAATTTAGGCTTCAGACCCTTAGGTACGTAATTAACACATAAAGCTTTCCCAAAATTCTTTAATTCTTGTAGCTTCAGTGGTTGTATGTAAATTATGTCAGAGATCAATTTCCAAGTGAGTGAGACTGGCCTCATTTTGACAAAATTTTCTTTATAAAGAAAAAGAATAAAACTAAGAGCCATATTCAAAATAAATTCATCCACAACCAAAAATGACAGCTACATATACTACATATCAAAAGATGCTTTATTGCGATCCTTATTTTAAGCAGGTATACTTGTTTTAGGAGAAGTTGTCTGAATAATCCAAATTTATGTTATTTTATTTTTACCTGATTTTTCCAGTTTCAATCTCTTGGTGGGAATCAGCACGCAATGTTGCTAATTCCTCATGTAGTTGTGCGACATTATTTCTCTCCGCCTCCAACGATTTTGCCAAGTTTCCGCGTTTATTTTCTTCCGCAATCAATGCATGTTTGAGATCTTGTATCGTTCTAGCATCTTGAGATCTGTTTTTGTCATGGTCATGCTTCACTTGTCCCGCTTCTTCTTCTGCTTCCGTTAATTTTTCACGAGCTTCGGAAAGTTTATTTTGCAAATCTTCTAAATGTCCTCGATTATCATCAAGCTCGACCCTGAAAAGTTAGTTTTGAAATTTTAAAAAAGTGCATATTGAACAAACAAAAAACACCACCTGGTGGTCTACTTACTGTAAGGCTTCTGTTCGAGCTCTAGTAGCTTCAGCATCTTCTGCTAATTTTCTTTGTAAACGCCCGATTTCATTATCTAATTCGACGGAACGATCTCGTTCTCTCTGTAAGGCAGGCAGATGATCAGTGGCTCGTACTCTCTCGGCTTCAAGTGATGATCTCACATCAGCTGCTAACGCTCTTTCTTGTTGGAGTTTATATTCAAGTCGCTCAACTGTAAAAATATGATGATAGACAATAAAACTCGAATCCATACACATGCAACACCTGATTTGGGCTGGCTATTGACCTGTGGTTCGCTGTATGAATTAGCAGTCATGTCAGCTTTTCGTTCACCCAGGATAAATATATAATCATATCCTCATTTTGTTACGCTTGCATGTTCGATAATTTGGAAACCTTATTGCTTAAAATCAAGAAAATACTGAAGATCACGTTGTTTTCTTCTATTTAAAATCTAAAACGGCAGTTAATTTTTCAATTACAGTAATCCTTATGTTACAATGGCAATGCATATGTAATCACAATTAGATGACATTCAAAAAATCTTCAGTGAACCACGATGGTATATCTGAGTAACTCTTTAAATTAGTAACTGTTCAGTGAATCTCACAAATTGAAATATAAATATCTTACTTTGACTTTGCAGCATTTGAACATTCTGAGAATTAGAGTTTCCATTATTACTTAGTTGAGATTCTAGATGATGTATTCTTTCTTCAGCCTGTTAAAAGCATCAACACAATCAATATAATATATCTGCAATTGGGATTTTTCCCATCTGTAAAAACTTATCAAAAATGATAGAATCAGAGGCTTTCATATGATTGGTATTTTGGCGCTCCAGAAGTGTGTGTACCAATATGGAGGTAACTACCTAATTTTGTTCGCCTACTTTACATCGAGTTGTGAAAAGGGACTGTAGCCTATGGACAGGCGGTATTTTCACTTGGCTAACACAGACAGTCCCCGAACTCGTAATAGAACTAAAACAAGAAAAATCGGAATAGATTTATGGCCTAACCCCAACCTGGTACACACACTACGGGAGTACCGGTATTTTTAATTAAAGTTAAGTGCCAACTTTCAATTTGACAAAATCGTTTGAAAGCATTCAAAATTAAGGAAAAATTATCTACCTGTTTTAAATTTTGTTTTCTATCGTTCCTCAAATCTTTAATTTCATTTATTAATGAATCTCTCTCAACAGTCAATAATCTTTGAATTGCATCAGTATGTTGTTCACCCTGAAAACAAATAAGAAAAATCAGAAAATTCAATTTAAATACCAATGTAGCGCATCCACATTGCACATGTATTCACTAGAAACCAACATTTTTGTTTTTACACCAATGAAATAACAAGCAACTGGTAAAGCAAAATACAGGCAAGCAACTGATGTGAGGGGGAGGGGGGACAGGCTAGAAGAGGGGTGGGCAAGGTTCTTGGACCAGGGGCCAAAAATATAGCCCCCCCCCCCCCCCCCCTTAATTGTGACGTAAAAGTTACATTTCATGAACAATATTTACAGTTTTACAAAAACAAAAGTGGAAAACGATAAGCCTCGTGCCAAAACTAAATTAAATCGCAATCTCAACAAATTTGTTTAGCTATTTTTCAGTTGAAACATCAAAATTTGGTTTTAGTTTGGTTGTGGCAGCATCAGGCGGGCCAGATTGAATTACCAAACGGCCAGATTTGACCAGGAGCCGTAGTTTGCCAATGTTAGGTCTAGTTCAAAGTGATAACAAGTTAATATCATTATAAAATCCCACATGATATACATCATCTGCAATACACATGCTGCTTCATTCTCCAAAAACAAAATTTTAACGAATTTTTTACAACGATTTCGATACAACATTTCTACAACATTGATGATCAACAAACCATCCTAATATTGCTCGAAATAACAGAAGCGAGATGACGTAAATCATATCTTAACAATTCAAAATCCAATCTCATCTTCATATCATCTTCACATGAGCGACATCCTGTCATCTTTACAATGACAATATAATAAAGTGGAAAATGTTTTATTGATGTTTGAAATGGCTATTCTTTGTGTCTATGGTTATTGGGTATTCATAAATAATGTTCCCATGATTGCACAATTAGCTCTCAATGCTGTGCTATTATAGAAACAAATCGAGATTGCTGAGAACTCTATCCCAAATTTGATATTTCAAAATACTCTTCTTAGGTATTTATAAATGATGTCTCCCAGTTCGCAAACAGTTAGGTAGTTTTCTGAATCTATACCAAATTTTATATCAAACTTTTAAAACAAGTCATAAAGTGAATTAAATAGCAAAATGTATTTAAAAACAGTAAACTTCAATAGCTAAACTTTTTTACATGACGCTTATTCACATCGTTCGCTCCAAATGTGGCCCAGTACAAGCTTTCACTGATATCTAACGATATGTACGGAGCAATTATTTTCGGGAAAACAGGAGTCTTTTCCGATTCTGCCTGGCCGATTCTAATCCCTGGGTATGGAATTTGAACCCGAGACATGTAACTAGTGTTCTCATATAACGGAATCCCAGTTCTGCATTGGCTACTTAAATTATTAAACCCTGGGTGAGGAGTGGGTGAAAGATGTGTAACTTGCATGTCAAAACAGCTAAGTCTAATGCTTACACCCAGGCTATAGCACCCACTAAATTGTCAAAAAACAATTAAATTCATTGTACAAACCAACCTGTTGTTTTATCCTCTCTTCCAATTCCTGTAATTTTTCTTTTGCAACATTAATTTCTTGTTCATCGAAACCAGGACTCTTTCTTGCATTCTGTTGTTGAGCTTCCAAAACACTTGTTTGTAATTCAGCAATAAGAGCGTCACGTTCTTTCTCAAATACATCGGAAACTGCATGAATCAGATCTCCTCGAGGATCTTCAGTTTCAGGCAATGGCTCATTCTAAATAACATAAACAAAGTAGCATGAAAGGAGGGAAAAATAATCTGGTATGTTTGATGTACAAATATAGATCTAAAGCCTAAGAGGTAACCAATTATTGTTAGTCAGGCATTTAATATAGGAACACTAACTTTTCCACAAGATCAAAATCAGGTAGAATATAGAGGCAGTTTATGATTACTTACTGAATTATCAGCATTTGTTTGCATACATAATTCTTTCAATGCCTGAATTGCATTTAATAAAGCAAGTTTTTCATTCTCCCATGATTTCCTTAGTTGATTCATGTCTTCTTCTAATCTCATGGAGGTCTGAAAAAAAATTGACACCTTTTAGTCTCATATAGTCGATAATCATGATAAGTTGGCCTACACCACCTCTTTGTTATAATATATAAAGAGAGCAATATGATAATTGGACACGTTTAGTGGCCATAACGATCGTTTCAAAATTTTGTTGTTATTGTTATTGTTATTTGTCTCCGTCTCCATTTTTAAAAAATCGCTTTTCTCTTCGAATACTGGACCAATTGCTTTGAAATTTTCAGTGGTTAAAGATGAAATTTTTCTCCAGAAGGCTATTACTTTTTTTTTCGCTATGACGTCATCAAAATTATTGCCATTGGGTGGCGATACGTGTCCATATATTTGAGCATAGCTCTCTTGTTCTTCAAATGTAACATTGTTAAAGAATCAAATCAAAATTTCAATTGAACTAAAATTTCAAATTTTTCGAACCATGAATGCCTGATGTTCAATTGTATTGCTTCATAATTGTTGTAATTATAACAATTTTTCTCAGTCACATAAACCTTCCTAGAATACCCACTGAACATTACCAAAACGAGTAATCGAACCTGTTGGGCTTCTTCCACAGTAGCAGGAATAGGTGGTGGTGTTGTACTGCTTGTTCTTGTTGTTGGTTGATGTTGTTGATGATATTTCAGAAATTGAAGTTCTGATAAAGATAAAACCTGAACTCCCTCATTATGGATACGATCGAGAAGACCCTGAAATAAAAAATAACTCAAATAAAACCAATAAATGATTTTAATAAACAATAAAAACGGGGGTATATGGAACTGCCTGACTGAAAAATTATGACTTTGTTCAGATCTAGCATTGCAGAATAAAATTTGTGAAAGTATGATAGATATTTGAACTATTCAATAAAAAGCAGAAAATCAATTTTTGTCATTCCTTCCGGTAATTCAAAAATTAAACTTCACTTGAGGTTTTAAACTCTGACCATACTGCCCCACATCAAAACCAAGTAAATTCAAAAAATTAAATTAAGAAAATTAATTAGAGCAACAAAAATTAGGAAGTATTGATATTAAACAAAGAAGTTTTCAAAGTTGAGATAACTCAAACTACTTCTTTTGCTGAATTTATTATTGGAATAATTTTTTCGTATATACTTTGATCTATTTAAGATATATCATTCAAGATTAAAATCAAATGTAAAGCGACATTTTAGAATGAAAAGCTGTTGGAAGACGAGATAGACTTAGATACATTACAGTAGATGTTCACATCAACTTACTTAACAGAGAATGAGACAATGACAAAACACATTGGAATAATTTTTTTTGTTCATACTTTTTTCCAGTTTGGATATGGAGAGAGACTTTAGAATGCAAAAGTGTACAAAATAGAAGTTTCTAGATACATTACAGCCATATTTTACACCAACTTTCTTAACAGCAGAAAATGATGTAACGAACAATACATTATAAATGAGCAACACATGACCATTCTTCTTTGTAAATTTCTGTCACTTCTTCTTTAAAACACTGCTATTTTTCCGATTTTACCTTTATATTTGATTTCACCTGCAATTTAGTAGAGATATCAACGTCATCATCTTCATTATCGTCCACTCCTCCAGAAGCCAGATGACCCATCAAATTTTGATCAAGTTGATCGGCCAAATCTAACTCTTCTCTCAATTTCTTTGCCAATTCACTTTCACCTTGAAATAAAAAATTGTCAATTCCATATTAGTTTAAAAAAATTGAAAACTTTCAAAGCCATGTTCAAATTTGGTATAAACATCATGAGACTGCTTTCAAAAAACGCATGATCATCAAAACGGCTGTGGCAATTTTCACACAGATTCAGATAATTTATAGACTCAAAACAAGTATAAAAACAGACAATTTACCATTAAATGATTCTGATAAAATTCCCGTAATTTCCTTCTTGTGTTTATTTTGCATCTCACTCATCTGCTTCTCATGTTCCTCCTCAAGTTGCTTTCTTGTTTCCTCAACAACTCGAGTGAGAGCTTGAGAATACTTATTCTAAAAGAGCAAGATATACTTATTTAGGGATGCTCAAATTGTCGTCAAAGAAAAGTTTTGAAAAAAGGTACAGCAAAACAACATACCTTCAAACTCTCCATCTCAGCTTCATGAGTCTTTGTCATCTCTTCTATAGAAAGACTTGAATCCACCTGCTTCAATTCTTCCTCATCAGATGATGAAGATGAGTTGGATGCATCTTCCTCCTGGTTGCATGAAAAAGATAGGATTTTTTGTAAAATACTGGTAAAGCTGTTTTAGAAGCTTATTTCAATTTAATAAAAAAGTTATGTATTTCAGTTCAAACCATGTGCCTACCACTTGGTGTATGATAAATTGAGTAGGTTATACACAAACTAAAAAGATTCTTGTCAATACAAAAATAGCATAGTAGCTGTGTAGAAATCAATTGCAGATGGCATACACCTTTTATAGAAGAATACATGTGAACAATGAATAACACTAACTAACACAATAGTGACTATTTAGGTTCAAAAATGCTATACCTCAAGGGAACCCTCTTCAAATAGCATTGCAGATTGAGGTTCAATAAATCTTTCTTTTTTGATGGTGTCAAGTTCTTTTTCTTTATTTTCTATTTCCTGATAAGATAGATTAAAATTTCAGGAAGACCGAATTGAAAAAATTGATATAAAAGCATTCCGAATAGTAGAATTATAAAGTTACCAACAAATCATAAAAATTATACCAAAGTCATATCCAGAAAAATTTAGTTGACAAATTTTTTAATCAGATATTACACACAATCTAGAATACATAAAATATACTTCCATACTCTCAGCAATCTGGGCTTTCTAGCATTCTTCTAAACAATATTTTTAGTTCTTATTACCCTAGATTAAACTAGATGTAAAACAAAACTACATAATTTTCCCAAAAGTGAATAAATTATCTATCAAATCCCCATTCTTACCTTTTCTTTTTCAGAAACCATATTTTCTAATTCTTCTACTTTAGCTTTGAGTTGTTCAGTTTCTTGCTGAACTTTCTCGTTTTCAGAATTTAAAATTTGTTGTTCATTTTGCAACAATTCAATTTCATCTTCATGGGCCTGAGAAGGGAAAACAAAAGAACACAAAATGAAAATATAGAATTCCCATCTCGAATAGCATACAGTATTCAATTCTCAATTGTGGAGCTGAAATTTAATCACTTTATCTTCGCATTAGGCATTAATAATGATTTCATGAGGCAAGATGTTGATATCATTCCCTGAGTGCAACTTGCCTAATATTTTGACCCAAAGCATAACAGATTAGATGCAGGAAAGATTTCTCTTTTTAAAACTATTCTCCTGTCTACATTGAAATTAACCTCCTCATAATTATAAGGACTTTTCATTTAAAAGGACAAATGGGTACGGTACGGTAGACACAATGGCCTAGAGTTTAAAATCGTGGGACTGCAAATATTTTTGCAATGGAGGTTGAAAATCACTGGCGTACACATATTTTTCTAGGAAATAATTTGATTAAAAATTCGAAGCTTCCTCCATCATCAAGTCCATGCTTTCGAAAACAATTAACTAGATAACAACCAATCCCATACTCGACATGGTCTGGTAATTGGACGAGAGGCCGTGGTTCGCCATATGATTAAGCTATCTTATCGACTTTCCTCTCCACAGGTTAAATATATATAAATCCTATCTTATCCTATTCCACATAATGACAATCTTCAATATAACCCTTTCCGTGCGGTGGGCACGTATACGTACCAACGACAAAACTCGCTAGATTGCGGCGGGTACGTTGATGTACTCCACTGTTTTATTTAGCAATCGGTCGCAAACTGTTGATCTAGTTTTTCTGGGTTTTAGTTTATTGATAAGAAGTCTTCTTCGAGATTAACATAAGCTACGGTAAACCTCGCTTTCGTTTACGACTGGAATTTTATTTGCGGCAGAACGAGGGAGTGTTTTTGAAATTTATGCAAATTTCGGTGTTTTTGGGTGGTAATAGAAGACATATTATCCCTTCCATCTACCAAAGTATTTTGAGTTAAATCACGAAATTGCTACAGCAATATTATGCTATTGTTTGCCAACCACAAAGCGGTAACAGTAAAGGATTTAGCAAATATTTCTATTTTTATCACGGTTTGAAGTTTCAACTCCCAAGAAAAAAAAATGCCTTTTTTCTATCCGGTTTGTGACTCAGACCACCACTTTTAAAAAAACTTTTTTTTTTAATCGCCAATTGCAAGCTCTTTAAATAAGCTTTACAACGAGCCGTCAGTGGGCAGCAGAGGATCATTAGTTTTTCGTTAGTCGATCGATTAGTTGTGGGGGTACAAATGCATAAAATCGGCGTAGCAAATACGATTATTTAATAAAAAATAAAAATCGCATGGAAAGGGATAAACATCAGTCAGCTTAACCAATGAAATGAGATTCTGAAGTTATTTGATTTAAATTTAATCACCTTTGATTGTTGGTTTGAATTTTCAATTTGTTGTTCCAGAGTTTCAACAGTTTCTTCTTTTTGTTGTAATTCTTGTAATAATCTATTATATTCTGATAATTTCCTCTGCAATGTTTGCTCTAACTCTTCAATTTTTCCATCCTGAGAACAAATTGTATTAAAATTAGTCTATATATATATATGGTCATGTTAGACAGTATTTTCTGCACTTTAATTTTAACAGTAAATTTTTTTAAAAACTTCCATGTTAGAAGCTTCAAAAAAAATTAGCTGTAGCGTCTTTCTTACATCTTTATATACTATGTAAGCCTATTAATAACAAATTGACATTTGCCATAAAATGCAATTGTCCCTATCTTTTCAGTTCACCACAGCCTATCAAAGTTATTACACTTTGACACCGACTGACAACAAAGAGCTTGAGACTAAGAACTATTGCTTGTTAGATCACTTGTAATGATCATATAAAAAAACTATTTCAAAGGCTCAATATAATTTCATTGCTCTATAAATAGTAACATGAATACCGACTTTTCCCTTGACAAAATCATCACAGAAATCATAAAACAATAACAGTAAGAAAGAGCTAATTTTCCTGATTCAATATTCACATTTGTAATATTAATGTGGGAGTGGCAGCATAGTTGTTAGAGCATTGGAATCATCTATGTCAGATTCGAAGGTCAAATATCTTGGTTTCAAACCCAATACCCAGATTGTATTAAATTGATTAGACAATTCCAAACTAAAAAATTCTAATTTTCTTTTTACATAATAGCTTCCCATATACCAGTGGATCTTTTACATTGCCTTGTTTAGGTGTGCAAATCCCTCATAAAAATCCTGCCAACTTATTAATACCTCAAAACCTAAAACCTTTTTGGCTGATATAACATTGATAACTAAGTTCTCTAGTCTTTTATCGAACTCCATAAAGCGAACCGTCTCATAGTATCAATATTAATCATAACATGAAGCACTTCACAATACTTCAACAAAACTGAAGCACACATAAATAAGCCAATTGTGAATAAAATAAAAACTTTAAACTATTTCAGAAAAATTTGAAATCTAGTACAAGCAAGCATGGCCATGGGAATAACAAACATCCTAAAAACTGTATCACCATCCCAAGTTTGGTAAATTAAACCAGATGGTTAAAAACTTCAAAAAAGTTAATTAATAACTCAATTCAGTGACCGTTGGGATTTTGGGATTTATAAGCTGTTAATATTATGACAGGTTTATGACAAAAACGTTTCTCTTCCCAATAACATTAAAAATAGTAAACACAGAATAGTTAAATAAAAATTTAATTTGCCATAAATTTAACATTTTTTTTTGAAGTACGAAATAAAAAACCTTTGATATGTGTTTAGTGTTCCCAAGGAACGCCAGTAAAATTGAGAATGATATTGACAGAGATTAAAGTTGTTTAAATAATAAAGCTGACCATGGCCTGGCATTTCCAAACCTGCCAAACCAAGTATTCGAATTCATAATTCATTTCAGATCAGTGGTTTTCAAACGGTGGGACGCGCCCCACAGGAAGGGCGTACACAATTTTTTGAGGGCCTTGAAACTAATTAAAACTTAATTAAAATATTTATTAGATTTGATATTGCCTGAGTTATTTGTTTTTACAACTTTTCATCTATTGAATAAAACATACTTCCACCTTACTATCAGTTATTTATAGCTTATTTTTAGCTAGTTATTTTTGAGGTGGAGCTCGAGACTTGACATATTCTAAAAAGGATGCGCGACTTAAAAAGTTTGAAAACCACTGTTTTAGATAATTAAAAGAAAGTCTTGAACTCACAAAGGCTTTTACTTGGTTTCAAAAATGAGCACTCCGACCTATTCCCGCTAGCTTATCCAAATATTATATTTCTTAACTGGGTCACCTTCTTGTGATGTCACATGGTAACTTGAAAAATCTATTAAAAGGCTCCATGTTCAAACCCTGGTGAGCCCATTGTTAATACCAAAGATACCTACTATGTTATCTAAAGAGTATATGTAATATATATGCCATACAAGAAAGATACAATCCTTCATACTCAGTAGGTCTTTTAAGTGTACCTAACGGCTTATACCGAGCCTTACAAAGAGAGAAAAAGCACGAAAGACCAAAAAAACTCATGGTACAAATTATTATTATCTTATCAGAATTAATCAGTTGTCAAAGCAAGTAGAAAAGTCTAATCTTACCTTATCTGTATCCGGATCTTGTTGCTTAAGGATTTCAACATCCTGCATCAGTTGATGAGTTTGTTTTTGTAATTCATCATATTCTTGTTGTGCCTGTTGTAATTCTGATTCTCGTTCCGCTACGAGTCCTTCTAGATCTTTGATTTTATCCTACAATTTAAAATTAAACATAAAAGAAGATTCCAAAGAATCTAAATCAATATTTCATAGTAAACATAATGTATAATACTTGGTATAATAATTGTGTATATGGGATGTATTACAGCGTAAAACTTGGCAGCTGCTGTTTTGATTTACGGCAGTAAAGCCACACTACAATTTCAAAAACTTTCCCACTTTAAGGTAATTTTTGAGAAAATGGTTGTTTAATATCAGTCAGTTGATTTTGTGAGTATATAAGGCATAAGCATTTCCATACAGCATAGTATCTGAGCATATCCTTGGGTTGCAAGTTTTTAAAAAAAATTTCTGATTATCGGTCGCTTGAAACAAAAGGTTAGGAACCACTGACTCGGTCAATATAGAAATTGGTCACTTCTCCTACCTGTAACACATTCTGATTTTCCTGCATCATTTGAACATCTTTACTTTCATTCAGAAGAGCCATATATTCTCGCTGTACATCGCCAAGTTCAGAAACAAGCCTTTCTTTTTCCTACAAAAACGATCGCAACATGTTAGTCACAGAGAATTGATTTTTATTCCCATTGTCCAATAAATACTTATCATTAAGAACGAACATTATATGGTCACAGATAGCGTAATTGGGCAATTGCTTACGGCAAAGTTACTACATTTGCCAGACTTATGACACATTTTTTATAGGAAAAATAAATCAAAATGCAGTGGGGAAAAAATTTTGATTTTATCAATGATAAATTAGTAAGAGTAAAAGTTTGCTTTTGTGCACATTGGTAAATACACAGCTTTGCTCAAAGAGTTATGAAATAAATCATAATAATCAAATTTCTGTAATATATACCGGTACTATGTCAAAACAACAGAAGTGGGATGGGATCTTACTTCTTTTGATGAAGCTATTTCATGTTCAGTTGTCTTCAAAGCTTTTTCTAAATCTTCAGTTGCTTTATTTAAAGCCTCTTGTACTGCAGGTAAATTTAGAATATCCTCTTCTGTCATTTCAGCAAGTGATGAAATCCCAGGTTCACTTTGTGATTCACTTACTCTTTAAAACAAAACGATTTAAAATAATGCATTTCTAACAACTTATCCCCAAAAGAAAAAAAATTTAAAACAGACATATAAAATAATTTTCTGGAAATTAAATAGATCAGATGTTCACAAGGTGCTGCGTATGAAGCCCCAAGGCTCTGTGAGAGAAACCTAGGGGCTCCGCAAGCTATTCGTTTACTTTTTAAAATGTTAGCTTGGCTAATTTTGTAACTTTCCAAAGAAGCAATAACGGCATTTGTAAAATTTAACAAGCAGCAAATACATCGGGGTCATTAAATAACGTAATTTTAATTTACTCAGGAACATTAATCAATAAGTAACAATGTGTTTTTTGTTTTCATTTTTATAAATTTATTTCGGGGCTCCGTAAATAATAGTCAACCTCCTCACGGGCTCCATTTCATGAAACGTTTGGGAACCCCTGAAATAGATCGCCAACAAATCTTTAAAAATAAATACAGGAAAATTTTAGCAGCAATTCTTGATTAACATTAGAGTCTAAGTTACCTTTGTTCAATTTCATCTTGTAATTCCTTGCATGTTTTCTCCATTACAGCAATCGTATCAAGTAGATCTGAGCATTCCCTGAAAATTGATTATAATGCATTAAGACAATTGAAATCATTAATTACATAGAATTGTCTTATCTGGCAATGAATTTTGAAAAAAAAAGAGAGGCGAATAAGGAAATGAGAGTGAATGACATGAAAAACACAGTAATTTCACCAAACATATCATTCTTTCTTATTAGGCCATGAATGTCTGAGAAAACACATTCACATATAGAGCACATGACGCAAAAAGAAGAAATTCAACAAACATTAGATTTGAGCTTTCAATACCCTCATCCCTAGAATGGATTTGACAACAAGAATTAAAATAAAAAATTATAGCAATTATCTTACTGTTGCTTGTCTGCAAGTAATTTTGTATGATTCTCCAACAATTCATCTTTATGTATGAGATCTTTCTCCTGCTGATCGACAAGAATTTTCAATTCTTCTGGAGATTTATCATCGCTTTCTACTTGCACTTTTTCCTGTGGAGCATCATGAACATCTTGATCTGTGATCGATGTCTCCTGATCAAGAGATGAAACTGAAGAATCTTCATCTGATGATGATGCAGCTGATGACCGAGAATCCTAAAGAATATTTATATGCAAAGAATTAGGAAATGCTTATATTGAAGAACCAGATAAACACGAAGAAGACAAAATAATACCAAATTACCAGATAAGTTTACCATTTGCAACCAATTTGCATCAAGTCTCAGCAAACAGTTACAAAAATAGTTTAATTACAGTGTCTGAAAATTATACAATGTTGCTATTCTACATATACCATTTTGGTTCTATCCTATTTGTCCATTGCAATAAAACATTGAAAATATAGCGCGCAGAATTATTTAAATTTAGTCACATGTTTCTATATGCCCTAGGGCTGTCTGTGTTTACTGAAGCGTAACAAAAATTGTGCTGCAGCCTAGCGGTATAGTATAGTTTGTGTGCCAATGCCGCAGGCAATATATCTTATATCACGAATACCTATTTCAATATGTTGATATAAAGCGTTCCCAAATTCTTGGATCTAACATTCAATCAATTTTGTAAATCATAGCAACAGAATACAAAAAAATATCATAATATTAATGATAGTTATATTTAATAAAAGGATAATAAAAAAACAGTGAAAATAATCATGGTATTCATATAAAGTAGGTTGAATATTAAAATTTTTTTATGGAACAATATGTATTGTTTTGTATGGGAATGATATATCTGTTCTGGGTTTAATTGGCAATGTTGTATTCGGGCCAAAGAAGAATATAGAGTATAGAAAAAAAAGATTGATCAAAAAGTTTATTTATTTCTATAAGAGTCACAGTGATCAGAATTAGAGGAGAAGATATGTAAAGACATGTATAGGGTGCTCATTTATTGATTTTTTTTTCATTTTTTCATGATCTTTCTCCTCTTGTGTTGAGATCAGAAATAAATAGCGACTTTATTGCATCTGACAGTGCAAGCAGTTTTCGTGACGACTGGCGTTCCTCGAATAATCTTCACACGCTTAACAACTGTAGATATTTCCTTGATATTTTCTGGTCTCACCTTTTCAATATCAATATCTTTTTGTTCTCCTTCCTTTCCTTTCGAAGTCTTTCCTTTCGATTTCATTCGTACTTTGACGTCTGGTTTCAAAGAATTCTCCTCCAAGTTTGAAATCTAGAATTTAAGTACTATTAGTAAGAATACAATCAAAAAGGCATCACAATGGTCTAGCTGCTAAGCGTTAGACTTATTAAGGTTGACATGCAAGAATGCGTATCTCGGGTTCAAATCCCATACCCCTCACCTTGCCCAGTGGCTGCCATACAGGGCCTTGTTCAGAGTAAAAGGTGTAAATAGGCGTTGTATACAAAAACATACTTTGTCTTGTAGTTTAGTAACGTTATCTTTTTGTTCCGACATTTCATCTTCTGCTTTTTTGATTTTAGAATCTTGTTTTTGTATTTTGTCATCCTTTTCTGCTAATATCCTTCCAAGAATACTGTTAGGCTGAGATTTTAGTTCATTTTCAAGTTCATGAAGTTTTTCTGCAAAATGTATACTATTATGAAAATTTGACAATATTATGTAAGGAAAGCAGGATTTAAAATTACCATTACTATGCTGACATAGACGATTGGATATTTCCAATTTGATCCTGATGAGTTCATTGTTCGGCTATTCCCCTCGATGGTGTAAAAAAGTAGGTAAACTGAATGGCATGTATTATGAATGCATGTATTTATAAGCGACCTAGTACAGAACTATGTTTGGAGCAGTGAAAACAATTTTTACTCCACGCATACAAACCTTGAATAATTTCCGAATGTTTTGGTTTTCCGTCAGATACAGATTCAACTAAACTTGATTCTGATTCTGATGTTCCTTTTTCTTCTTGTGTTTCAGGTTTTTCTTCCATCAACAATTCCTCTAAATGATGAATCTTTTCTTTGGTTTCTGGGGATACTCCAAGAAGAGATACGTTGGATTCTGTTACTTTCTTCATCTCCTGTACCTCATTCTTCAATTTCTCATTTTCTTGTTTTAATTGTTCCAATTCTTCTTCCATAGCAGGATGAGATTCCTCTACATCCTTATCTGGATCCATCTTCTGTTGTAAAACTTCATCCTCCATTTTCTCTGAGGATTCTTTCGTTTCCAGCTTTTTCTCTGATTCATCTAGTTTAGATCTTAGATGAAGATTCTCTTCTTTCAGTTTCTGCATTGAATCATCCTAAATGGAAACGATCAAAATATTGAAAATCTTTTTTTTTTTTTATAAATCATCACTATATAGAATCGTACCTCTTTTTCATCATCAGAAGAAGATTCTGAAGAAGAATCATCATCTTTCTCTGCTTTTATTTCAAGCATTTTGACTTTATTTTCTAATTCATCAATTTCTGCATTTTTCTCATCCAGGAGTTGGCGTGAGAGAGCTTCAAGTTCCTCGGCACGAGAAGGTTCAACAGCAGAGGATTCCGCAGCTTCTTTAACTCTCAGCTCCTCCTGTAAAATCACAATACAATTTAATTTTCAGTGATGGTGAAATATTCTTTGCGGCAATCATTGTGGAAATGTGTTATATAAAAAAACAATGTATAAAAGTCCATTTTTATTCTCTAGACTAGTTTCAATCTATTTGTGATACAGGCTTGATATATTTACTTTATATAACATTTCCAAAATCCTACTTTTAATTTAATATTTTCAGCTTCTAATTCTTTGTAAGTTTCAATCTCATGTAGCAAGCGTTCTACTTCATCTTCTTTTTCGATGATTTCTGCTCTCAACTGTGCATGAACTCCAACTAAATGTTCAATCTGGACAAAAAACACGATAAATATAACGAACGTTAATAACACATATAAATTTGCACATAAGATCAAGTATACTATACAAAGAGTGTGGACACTTAATTCAGTTGAACCAAAACAATCTGTATAATCATGAAGAAGGTAGCTCCTTCTATCAAGATATAAGAGCCTGATAGGATGGAAAACAAGGCAGACAAAACTGTCAAAGATAACATTTTACCTCATTGTCTTTTGACTCGTGAGCTTCTCTTTCTTGATCCAAGTTCATTCTAAGTCTTTCAACCTGACTTTGATCTCCAGCACCACCACCTGGCATGTCACCATTATGCTTGTATTGGTCAAGTTTAGCTTCAAGAGCAGAAACCTAGTCAAAAAATTATTTCGAATCAGACGTTTTGGCCATTTGAAAACCCAAATGATTAACATTACATAATACAAAGAATTATCGAGCTTGAGACTCGACCTCAAGAAGGAAATCTAAATTTGCTGATGCCTGGACAATATCTTCCACAGGTTTATATGTGCACGTGTGTTATATGTGCATGGGTGTGTGTGTTATATGGCATGTGTGCGTGTTATATGTGCATTTGTGTGTGTGTGTTATATGTGTATGTGTATGATTACAATTGGCTAATTGAACCAGAATCAGGTGTGTTATATGTGCATGTGTGTGTGTGTTATATGTACATGTGTGTGTGTGATATTTGCATTTGTGTGTGTGTGTGTGTTATGTGCATGTGTATTGAACTGGACTAAGTGAACCACAATCAGGCTTTTTAAACTTGAGTTTCTTCTTGACATAATATTTGAACAGAGCCGTGGTGTGAAAATAACGCTCAGAATCAGCAAATTCTTGTCTGACGTATGAGACAGTAGCTGGATTTACCTTTAGAAGATTATCATACAGTTCCTGTTGGATAACTTCTCTTTCCGCTGTCATATCTTGCAGTTGAGCTTTCACTACATCAATCTAAAAAATAAACAGTATTAAACAAGTGTTCAACCTAATAAAACTTGAGAACAATCAATGATTAAACATGCCTCGGATTGCTCAGAACCTCCTCTCAATTCCTGTAAATTTTCCTCATATTCCTGGATTGTCTTCTTCATTTTTTCTTCCTCTTCTTGCATTTTAGAAATTTGCTCCTGATGAGCAAGTTCCCTTGCCTCCATCTCTTCTTCAAGGCGAGAAACCTGAAACGTTATTTGTTAAATTTAACACATTGATCAATATTAATCAGAAAGTAGATCCCAAGGTATCCAAAAACAGGTATCCGGCCAGTGCGCTGTTTGAAATGAAGACCGTATTAAAAATCACATGTCTTAATTGCAATTACCATGTGGTAATATATGGAAAATAGCACATATTCAATAGCACACACATTTGCACTTTAAGTAGTGGAATTTTGCTCACCATAACTTCAATGACTAATTTATTGCGGGTTCGTGAGAAAATTGAACGTTATAAAATTTGATTTTAACTTCATCATAATTATATTGTACTATATTAGATAGCATATTTGCTAAAGTAGCTCATAGGCGTGAAGATTATAATTCTCAGGCATTATTCAAAAATTATGAAATGAGTAATAATATTCTTCTGAACCAATACATGATTTGAATCCTACACATAAATTTCCATATCTAATTATTTTAATTTTTTATTGGTTATCCAATTTATGATTTTATAAAATAAAGCTAGTCAAGAGTTATTGAGATGATTAGAACGGCAAATTTCATAGTAATTTATTATCCTAGAGAGTTAATTTGCTATTTTTTTTTTCAAATTGAGATTGTCAGTAAGACTGACTCATTATTTACTACTCTGTGTGAATCACTCATGAAAAAACACATATTCATATTAATTTAAAGCGATTTGAAAAAGTATTAAATTTCGTTTTGACTTTGATATTCTGGCCTTTTTATGTTTAATATACATAAATAGGAAACCAGAAATGCCCCATACCCGAACTAGCAATATCATCACAAAAGTACATTTTTAAATCTAAGGTTAAATTCCAGCTAACTAAATTATTGTAAAAAATCCTATATTGTTTACAATTAGTTAGGATTGCAGAATTAGTAATCTAATCTTGTTATAAACTTACAGCATTCAACATAGAACATGCTCCCAGGCCTACTTGACCACTTGTTCCTGTCCTTGACAATTTATATATCCCAACAGGAGTGCTAGACTTCACTGCAGCAGGAGTAAAACAAAGACCTTCACCCAGACCTTCTGTTTCTTTCGATAATTTCTCATATCGCTCAAGTATTTTAGACATTTCTGCACTCTTCAAAATAAATAAAAATTGATGAAAATAAGACTGTCTTAACGGTTTGTCTGTAAAACCATCTATCGCCTGTACTATACTCACTTCAAACAAACGTAAAAATATCTGAGACTGAAAGTTATGCAATTTTGAAAACAGTTACCTTAAGCAAATACCGATTCTACATAAAACACAATGTTTAAATCCTTTGTAAAATAAATTCTCTGTTTTTTAATCTCTATAAATTTAACAATTTCCAACGAAAAATTTCACAAATGTATTTAGCAACAGCAAACCTGTATTAAACTAAGATACAATACTACAATCAATCAACTACTAACATACAATGCATAAGAAATATCAGCACCCCGGCACTGATAAGTTGACGTCAAATATTTAACTTTTCAATCACGTCAAGCAAACTTAAAGAACTTTTTAAATCCCTCTCATCAAAACCACATTATACTCATATTTACTAAAGTCAACAACACTCCACTATACTCAAATATGTCAACTTTAGGCAGCCTTACTAAAGCTATGTCTGGGTAATTATATTCTATTATCATCTATGGGCCAAACTTAATGAATAAATTCAGCTTCAGATCAAAGATGATCAATCATAAAAACTATTATAACTGTATCACACTTCATATGAAAAAGAAACCTTTCTTGCCTTACTCTGTATTATATAGATAAAATATCTTCAGAAGTGCTAACTGAAAAGAGAATCATTCTGCACTCTGCCATAATTTCACACATTTTATAAAAGGTATGCTATTGTTTTCTCTCAGCAGTTGTTTTCCTTTTAGCACTTTTGTTAGCACTTGGTTTTTTTTCTCTTACAATCAAAGCAAGACTTCGAATCTTCCTAATTTTGTGACCTATGACTCTTGGATTGGAATTTGTCTTTTTGAGAAACTTACATATACATAAGTTAGAGTGTTAAATGCAATATTCAGTTGAATATTGCCAATTTTGTTCAACTTACGATTTGAACAAAGTTTAGTTATTCATAATTTTTGGCGTTAGTGTTTATAAAGGTAAATAATATTAGAAATATTATTATAAAAATAAATACAGTAGAATTATCACTAAAATATTAGGCATCAAGCATGGAAGAGTCAATCATTATTGAAAAATCAAAATATTGACTGAATAATTGAAAAATGGTCGTGTCTGTTATTAAAGAATTACAGTAAGCATGCGAAATTGTCGAAATTAGGCGTTTCTTCGTTTAAGATGTGGTCTTTTGTGAGATGTGTATATCATTTGGTTAATTTTATGAAGGGGCATACATCAATTTGACTCAAACACATTATCTTTTGTTGATGACTTAATAAAAGTGAAACAGTATTTGATCCGATATACTATTATCAATTACTAAATTTTAAGTTTTCATCTTCAAATACAACATGCACTGAATTAAATATGTTACATTATGCATGTTGGTACTATTGCTTGTCATGCATTTCAGAACATCAGACAGGCTATAATATGAACTGTATATGTGTATGTATGCAAAAGGCATGACGTATATGAAAAATGTCTGCTGAAATCTTCTAAACTTTGCGCAATCAAGAAGGCTATTTTGCATCAGATATGACAAACAAATGACATAACATGCAATGGTTTTCTTTACTGTATAAGAATTAGCTAGTTAATAGCTAAAAAATCTATTGCTTATAGCAAATTACATCATGACTAATTGAGTGGTGAATTTTGCATTTGCACTCTGACAATGTTACCTGTGATGCACCAGATTCGGAAACAGTGGTAGAACTGTCACTGCTTTTGTCACCAGGCTAATAAAGTAAAATTATATACCGGATGAAAATCTGAGCAGATTTTAGCAGCACGAAGACATCAGCCAGCAGGGAATTATGGTATTGCAAAAAAGAGATATTTTAAGAGACATAATCGCAACACTCGTACCATAGCCCAAAAGCGTTACAAGATTACATCATTGCATTGCCATTTGCATGATTCAATTAATATAAAACAATTGGAGATAAATTTCCTTTTTTAGGTAGAGAAAAATTGGTGGTTGAAATAATATACCATAATGAAGGTATCCAAGCAAATGCCACAGACTACTTTAGAAATCCAGCTTCCAATTCCATTCTTTAATTATTCTTATACTTACCAAAGTTATATCTGGTCCTCTTACATTATTGAACTTACCAAAGCATTCAAATGAATATGATAATAAATTGAAATGCTATTCCCACAATTAAAAAGATCCTTGTAACATGTAATACAACAATCATTACACAGGATGAGCCTTCCACATTTTAAATAATTTTATATTTTACTTGTGCCATTGTTCCCAACCCCAAACGGGAGTTATGTCGGTGGCACGCGGCCAGAGTGGAAAACAAAAAAGTGGTACGCAATCAGTAAAAGGTTGAGAACCACTGCTATAGATCATATACTGTAGATAGAAATCATTTGGTGACTAATCAGATGAAAATTGCTTGAGCTAATCTGGTTGCTCAATACAGACCTCTTCAGTTAATTTAGAATCAGATCGATGTAAATCATGCTTTTTATTCAATTCTTCTTGAAGGTTATCAATCTCCTGCTGAAACTGTTCTCGTTCAATTTCTCTTTCATTTGTTTGTTCTGCAGAAAACTTGGAATTTGACGATACATGTTTCTGAAGTGCTTCAATCTTGAAAAAAGAAATAATATTAGCTAAAACCTACGATATTGAATAAAAAAGGTAATCATGGTTAACAATCAATAACAGTTTAGAATAGATCCCGTTTTTTGATCAGGTATTTTTACTTAATGGCCCCTTAATCTGCAACGTCACCATAATCAAGTCCAATACGCCTACCGTCACAGTAATGCCTGAATAATTTAAAACGAGGATACTAATTCCATTCTCAATGTTTCTCACTTGAGTAGTGAGATCATCTACTTCCATCTTAAGCTCATTCTCTTTCTCCTCCATTTTCTTTGTTTCTGTTTCAAAAACAGCCTCAAGTTGTTGAGCTTGTTTTTCAAAATGTATTCTTGATGCTTCATATTGATCAGAAATAGCTTGTTTCTCAGCTCCAAGCTCTTCAGTAAGCTTAATAAGACCTGAAAATGAGAAGAAATTTGCTGAATTACTGGACTCCCTACATAACCACTGGTGGAATCGGGCTTCTTCCACCATCAAGTCCATGCATGCGAAAGGAATAACCGATTTACCATTCCCATACCCAACATGGACTAGTAACCGGATAGGAGGATGTGGTTTATCATATGATTATGCATGGGGTGTCTCAAAAATGTTGTGTCCTACATGACCACCTTTTCCATGACAAGTAAAGACACATGAAACACCTAGAGAACAAGTGGGACACCTTAGACACATGAAACAAGGGGAACATGTGGGACAAATCGACCGAGTGGGACACATGGGGCAGGTGGGACATGACATTTTCAAGATACCGATTACGTATATGCATCCATCGTGTCAAAAGCATCAAAGATAAGCAAGACAAGTTGGTCTCACAGAAATTCAATTGATCATTGCATCAGACAGGGCGTCTCCTCATATAGAAAGATAACAAAGAAAAAAAAAATTTATCGGTCAAACAAGATCTTCCATCCTCAATATCACATACTCAATTCTGCTTCGTCTCCTTCTTTCATGAATGCTTCTTTCTGTTTTTGCAATAAATTGAGTTCTTCTTGTAGTTTATGATTCTGTGTTCTTAAGTTATCGAGTTCAGATTTAAGATTTTCAGTTTCTTTTTCTTGTTCCTGAATCCTGTTCTCTAAATCGATCTGTTGATTCATGTAGTCGGCCAGGACAGCTGGTAAAAAGTTAAACGAAAAAAGGGAAATATGATAAATATTTCAAAATGATTCTAATTGGAAGTTTAAATCAAGGCTGGAATTATTTCCAACTGATGATAATTGCCAGAAAAATATTGAAACATTTTTTCATGATTTAGGTCGAATTTTAAATTAAAATTTTGACCCGAGTAAGAATTTTGATGACATATTCCATAAATCCTCTCTGAATAAGGTCACCCAAAACTGCCCAATTTTTGAAGCCTAGAACAGTTGAAACGAGACATACACACTACACAGTAATTGATATTTGTTTTTATACAGTGTATCATGCAATCATATCGAACCAGATAGAAATTATTATGTAAAATGCTACTATTTTTGGGAAAACAGGATAAAAAATCTTATAATCTTCATCTGTTTTACTTTCCACATTTCTTGCATCTCCAGATTCTGATGTTTTACTTGAAGAATCGTCATCACTTTCATCGTCTTCAACTTCTTTTTTCTTCTTCTGAGATTTTTTATCCTGGTCAAAATCTTCTCCAAGAAGAAGTTGCGCTTGTTGTGTTCCATTCAACTGAAAAAGAAAGCAATATTTAAAACGAAAAAATTCAAAAAAACTAAAAAAAAATTATAGATTTTCAATAATAACTATTTTGCACATAACAAAGCTTGTATATTGAGTAAATACTTTAAAAACAACAAAATCTATATTTAAAATCCCAATCTCCATTCTCAAATTACAGTTCAATACATTTGATTTGTTAATTTATAGGAACAACTCTTTTTTATAATTTCCTCATTTCCATAATTTGTCTTCCAACCTTTTGAACAAATTCTGTGATCCAGTCTCCATTAGCATGCCAGTAAACAGAATTCATTGAACCTTCAGCTCGAACTTTAACTTCATAATTTTTATCAGAAAAACACATGAAATCCATGACTCAACTAGAAGCTAAACTATTTTAATGCGAAGAAACAGTTTCAGTTTTCAAATTGACAAAGCTTTTGGAGCTAACTTTTTGAAAAAAAATTAATATTCATAGTTATGTCCAAATTGCAATAGAAGCCTAGTCTTGATCTAAAAACACTTTTAAACAACAACCTGCATGTATAAGAATGCAAATAGCTAAAATACTTAACAGATGATGAAAACCAATTACAATACTCAGCGTCGCAGCAAATACCTAAATAGCTATTTTCGCTTGCGCAACATATTATTAACGGAAGCATGTCCATTTCAGATATATAATTTCGAATTTGATATAAGATACCTCATGCCGCGAAAATTCGAGATAATTTGGCTGTTAAATTTGAAGTTCGAGAAGCTTTCTAATATAACGTAAGAAGCCTTAGGCTATTTATTTAACCAAAGAAACGCACGCGCAAATGCCAAGATCATCGTGTCAATCTAGTTCAAAAAGGTGTTCCCAAATAAAAATTACCTAACACTAATTTATAGCATTATTATTCTTATAGCTTTAATATCATTATAAAATAGGATTTTAATATATTTATTATCAATTGTTAACCCTAGGATGTCAAGTCAATTAGAAAAAATATCCTGGGGAACACTTTTTAAATGAGAAAATAGTAGAATCACACATATTTGGACAACCGATTTGAAATATTTCCAGTGACGCAAAATGTGGGAAGGAGAGAGGATTAATGTATTATGAAATCATAACCTGCTCAAACAACAATTTCTAGAATAAGATAGAAAACAATAAACAATACGGAATAGGATTGACAAACACCCCATTAATATCACAAGAGGCACTCATTTTTGTTTTCAAAGGTTTTAATTATTTATTATTTTGCATTATTCTAATTTACACATATATTGGCATAAGAGTAATTAATTGTGAGTACCAATATTGCGAAAAAGCAAAGGTAGCACAATCTGCCTGATAAAGAATCTACTTAACTTAGACATACCCTAAATGCATTCATGTGTTTTTATACCTTTCCTTGTCAAAACTTCCACATTTCGAAAGACTGAATATTATTTTTAAAAAACAGGCTTTGTCTGCAATCAACACCCTAATATTTGGCTCAATATCCTATAGATACATGTGATATAGAAATTGCGGGAATGAAGTTTTACTTCTAAATACCAATCATGTTTTTTGGTTATTATTTTCAAACTGTTCTCAAATAAATCTTTATGAGAATAGCTTCTAGAATACTTACTTTCTGTTATCATATAGTTTTAAAGTTTATCAAGTGTTCATACCAGAAGTTCTAAAGCGATGGGATGCAAAAGCTGGAGAACCACTGCTTTAAACATTTTAAAAATAAAGTTACCTGCTCAATATTAGGTTGAAGAGCATCAATTAACTTCTCTACAGCTTGAGTCAATCTTGTTCCTGATCCAACTGCAACATCCCTTGCTGAAGTATCGAGCTCGGGACCGGCAAACATTGATTCAGCTAATCTTTGCGATAAATCAAGCCCTTCGTCAACAAAACTGCCTGTGCCCGTACTCACTTCTAGTTTAGGTGAAGATGGTGTAGTAGATGGATCAGACTCTGAATAAAGAAATAATAGGAAATTGGGCGCTCCAGAAGTATGTGTACCAATATGGAGGTAATTAATTTTGTTAGCCTACTTTACATCAAGTTGTGTAGGGGGTATATCCACTTGGCTAACCCAGACAATCCCCGAAATCGTATAGGAACTGAAAAATGGGAAAAATCGGAATAAAATTATGGCCTAACATTAACCTGGTACACACACTGCGAGAGTACCAGAAATTGCATACAGTAATAAAGACAAATACAACTACCGTTAGCATATATGCTGTTGATAGTACGAAATATTTCATGAGATATTTTTCACAGGTTCACCCTGAACAAGGCTCCGTATAAGTAATCACTGATATGTTAAATAGCTGCTATTTTGGCAGGAACGGAATCCTTCTATTGGGCATAGCTTTTCTTGTTCGTTATACCCTCAGTGAGGTTGACCTATGGTCAGAATCTAAGATACTTTAATTCATGATCTCGATATATCGTGTAGGATACTAAATTTATGAAAAAATTACAAATCTAAAATGTTAGCCAATTAACACAAATTGCACAAACTGCACTATCAACACAGACAGTAAGAAAATAGAGATGTAATGCAATAAAAAACTAAAAACATCATCTGAAGTAATAAAGGAAATGTACCAATGAGCAGCAGTCAATGAGCAAGCAGCCAATGAGCAGCAGTCAGTAAAAACTCCTATAACTAAATAGTGAGTAACATTTTCAGATTGAAATTGGCAAACTCAAAAGTTAACTCACCACTAGAGGACGAGGATTCCTCTTTTCTTTCGGTTACATCCTTCGATTTCAGATCAGAGCGAGAAAGCTTCGTGGAGTCTCTACTACGATCCCCAGGCAATGACTAAAAAATCGGAAAAATATTTTCAAAATACATGCAGGCATATAATTAGATTGTCATAACTTGTTCTATATTTTATCTTTTTTATCTAAATGATCGTTCAAAATGGTTCCATTACATTTGAACCCACGACAATTGCACCTGTATACTATTGCACCTATGGAATTTTTTTTTGTTTCACGGATATTTGAACCCATACTAATCCTAACCCATGGGTTTTAGCACCCGCATATAGATTGAACCCGCGAATATACACATGGGTTCAAATGTACGTGGGTTCAAATGTACAGTCACCATTCAAAATATCACATTAGTTTTGCTCAATAATAAAGAAACAGAAACAGTTTAAAATCATTCTTTAAATGTTGAAGCCAAATTCACTACTTCAACAATCAAAAATGTTGTTGGGGCAGCGTGTGAGCGTTCGGAAACACTTATCATTATACTGGTGATTACCCTGAGTTGAATCCTGTGGAGAATAATTATAGGCAATATTGTTCAAGAATATTGAAATCCACACCGTCACAGGTGGCTACATGTTGTCTATGTTAGAGCTGCCTCTGCCACCATAATCTATGAGTACAGCACAATTAGGTTTACCTATACCCATACCCTGCCTGGTCTGGAAACCGGATGAGAGGCTAATGATCGCTACATCATTGAGTCATCATATTGGCTTTCAACTCCTTCAAGATAATCTTAATCAGGTCAGTGATGGAAAATGAACATTTGTTTTGAAAATAGTAACATATTACAAATCACAATACAAGTGAATAAAATAAGTACCTGTAATCGTTTTGTTATTATATCTTCGCATTTATGATTTGCTTGAACTAATTCAGTGATAGTTGAAAGCAGTTGTTGATTCGCATTGCTCAGTTGGTCCCTTAAAAAATTGGACAGCATTAAAACAAATAGCGTTAAAGTTAAAACAAACAATATTTATACAATTTTCCAAACTTTCCACACTCATAGTGCATATACTTTTTGTAATACATATCACAACAAATTTTTAAAAAATTTCTATTTAGTAACATTAAATTGAGAGAATGAAAAATTTTAAAATTTATTCATATTTTATCAATGAGATATGTGAGCTTGTTTTTGTGTACATAAACTATCATAGTACAGCTGGATCTAGATGTATATTGGACTGCGAGTCTACGATATCTCTTAACATCAATAAACGTAACATATTTAATCATTTTTTTAAATGGGCAGACAAGAGGTATTTTCTCGGGAACTGAATTGATATTGAGCTGCAAACTCTGAATAATTTGCCACATAAGAGTAGAATTTGTTAATTTTTTAAGCAACGCTTATTCACACCTCTCGCTCCGGACAAAGCCCTACACAAGCAGCCACCACAATCTAACAATGTATAATGAGCTCCATTATCTGGAAAGGCGGAATCTTCTTGGTTCAGATTTGGCTACCCAATTTATTACACCATTATTGGATTTGAACCAGAGATATGAAATCCACATTGCCAACACAGATAAAATTTAACTGCCAGGCTATCACAACAATAACGTTTTTTTCTATTTTCAAAATTTTACTTTACCTTTCTTCGTTAATTCTATCCAGATCATCTCTCAACATATGAATTAAATTATCTTCTTCTTTTCCTTCTCTATCTCTTCTTGAAGTTATTGTTTCAAATTTTTCATTCATTTTTTCAATAGCATTTTTGTTCTTTGATAATTCACTTTCCAATTCCTGTGATTGGAAGATTTAAATGAATTTTTAAAAAAGGCTGTTGCACTAAAGTATAATGAAAATAGAATATGAAAGCTGAAATTAAAGCAAGGAGTCTCTATTGAAAATAGGATTTTGTACAAAGTGATATAATTGGAAAGATTTGCATATTTAAGATATTTCTCAATTAAGTAGATATGGAGTGTAGGCTACTATGTTTCATTTTGCTAAATCGATGTTGTTGTTATTGTTGGTGTGCATGTTGGGAATATGAAATACCGCTTTTCCCTTAAACTAATGGACCAATCCATTTCAAATTTTCAGCATTCAAAGACGAAAGAATTTTTACTAAAATTTTTTCGAATTTTCTCTGAGCCTGAACACACCCCACTGTCTCACCCCAGATGAAAATTTTTTATGCGTCCCACATGAATCGATATTTCATCGTTAATTTTGCTGTTTTTTTCCATATTCCATAAGCACACCTTTATATGGCATCAGGCATGGAGCTTTATTAGACATTGGGTAGAAAATTTGCTGCTGTAGTTGCTGTAGGTATTAGACAATTGAGAATATGAGTCTGAGCATTGCTTTATTTATATGTAATTTTCCCAAGCAATAAGCCTTTAGCCAAAGTATTCTATTCTTTATTTATATTTACACAATGGAATGTTTTTAATAGAAATGACTCATTCCACGGTAAATCACCTTAACATTATCTTCTTTATTCCTTAATTCATCTTGCAATTGATCAATCTCCGATTCATATTCAGCTCGTTCAAACTCAATCTTTGAATTCATTGAATCGATTTCTTCTTTGGATTTGTCAAGTTCTTTTGTAAGCTGATGACCAAAATAAATTATCAATAAATAAAATGTAAATTATATGATAAAGAATTTTTTGAACAATACTGACAATCTAGATATATCGTGTTTCACTGAAAATAAGACCTAGTGTTAGAAAATTGAAATAGGACCCTGTCTTTGATTTGGGGAAAACACGATATATAGGCCCTACAATCTTATTTTGCCTGATTTGGTATTGTATATTTGGCTTGAATAACTATTATTTACTGAATATATAGTAAATTTTATCAAAAAATCCACAAATTTACAATACTGTTAGTTCAAAATACCAAATAAGAGTCAAAAATTTCAACAACATCGTGTGCTCAAATTACAATTGCCGTCAGCATATATTCATTTTGAGGATATAGACGAAATAATTCAACTTGCCACCTTTTCAAAAATCATTAGAACATGATATGGTAAAAAAAATAAAATTCTCCATAAAATTATGCCCTGATGAAATTTTTCTGAACAGAAATGTGAAGTTTCCAAAGTCTTTACCATATCCAGAAATGGTTATTTTCGTTATATACTCGATCTACTTGGTGACCAAGAAAAAATAGAACCCAGATCCTTTGAAACATATTCTAGAGAGAGCATAATCTTTGTGTGAAGTTTCTCAGATTATTGATGAACTATTGAAGACAAACATACACAAACAGCAGAAGTTTAGGTATTCTAATAAAAGTAGGATGCAAACCTCTTTAAGCTGAATTTCATATGCTTCTAGGTTTTCTGAGATATTTTGTTGTAAAGAAGCTTCAGCTTCAATATTTTCAGTTTCTGACTTTGCAGCTTTGAGATCTTCCTGAAGATTTGTAGCTTTTTCTAATCTATTCTCAAGCTCTTTTACTTTTCCTTCCAACAACTGTAATGATTAAAATTGATGTTTAGGATGTGCAAAAGCTCAGTTAAAATAATATTTGCTATTAGGAAGAACAACTTGTTGAAAAGTTTACTTACAGGCCAATGCCGCCAAAAATTTCACAGCCCCCTTTTTCTTAACTTTTAACAAAGTTTTCGGATTGTAATTTGTTTATACCAACTTAACAAGTTTTAAAATGGCCATGGATGATAAAGTTAATTCCATCTTATATTCATGAATATGACATAGAATTGTTACAGTTCATGATACACTGCAATTTATCACCATAAAACTTTTCTTATGGATCTTCCCACTAACAGTTTTGTATTCTTTACCCTTCCCCATCATCTGGCCAATGATTTGCATTCTAGCCCTCTAATGTATGTACACATGACAATACTATATGCCTCTCATTCTTAGTTCTGTCCGATGTCTATCAAAATAGGTGTACAGCGCAAATTTGTGTTATAGAGTATGATTATACAGTATGATCTTGTACATGTATACTTTCCCCAATATTGATAAATACTAGCTAAAATAAAATACTAGCTAGATGGAACAACATAAATTTCTACATCACTGAAACACATTTCCTATTATAAGAAAAAAGGGGGCTCCCGAAGTATGCGAACCAAGATAGCAGACATCGGAATGTAATATGTGTACTAGGTTAGGGTTAGGCCATAGTTTTAGGTATAGATACTACGGGAGGCTCTTGGCTAGTCTTCGAACTGATAATATGACTAAAATAAGGAAAATTGGAAAAAAATTATCGCCTAACCCTAACCTGTTACACATATTACATTCCGATGTCCGCCATCTTGGTTCGCATACTTCGGGAGTCCCGAAAAAAGTCTATTTTGCATTCCATATGTAGCCTACCAGAAAAAGAATTCAACTTACTTCGACCTGTTGTTGTCCTTCTGCTTTTGTTGCATTCAATGCAACGTCGAATTGTTGTTGTAATTCACCAAGTTTAATTGCTTGTGATTGTAAGATATTATTGAGTGCTTCTTTGTGATTCATATTCTGTGTTGCAACTTCCTGATATAGATAATAAGCAATCGTATGAATAAATTTCAAAGAATTAGGTAAAGGATAACGGTAGTTCAGATATTTACAAGTTCTCATAGAAAAATGACCTTCTTGGATATGAGAAATCCTATATTCGACTTTTGAAATGAGGTTAACGAAAATTTTCAAAAGATTTGTCAGTGTTATTAAACATGGAAATGAAGTAATAATGTAAAATTTATTTGTGTCCAGGTTACAATCTCCAAGCAAACATAGTAAGTAATGAAATTCAAAATGTGGAAATAAAGATCTGAAATAACATGTGAACAAATATAGATATTCGCTGCTAAATTATTTCCGAGCGACCACCTGTGTGGATGACTGCTTGCTTCATAAAAATCTTTGAGGGTACAAATAAAATAAAAAAAGGATTTTAGTAGATGTTAACTGGAAAGCACTTCAGTTACTTAGGACATTGATATTTACTATAACCACAATGTCGCCACATTTTTATAAGTATCCATTCATGATTGTATCAGGATAGACATGACATAGAAATGCAGTTGGACATAACGAGTTATCGACAAATCGGTCAAGACCTTTAAACTCGAAGGATGAAAAAGTAATGAATGAGAAATCACAACATAGCCAAAAAACAAAAACAATAAAAAATAAATTATAAAATAATAGTTTAATTTCCCAATACCTCTTCAATCAACCTGAGCTGAGCATCATGTTCTTCTTGAATTGCAAGCATTTGAGCTTCATGAGCTTCTCTCATTGATGTAATGGCTGAACCATGTTCAATCTTTTCTTCTTCTAATTTCTCTCTGTATTCCATCTCAAGATTCTGAACAGAAGATTCTTTGTCTTCTTTCAAAGACGAGATGCTGGATTTATATTCTTCCTCCAGATCTTTCATCTTCTGAATAAGATCTTCTGCAACCTTTTTATATTGATCAGTCTCTTTCTCATGATCTTGTCGTAATTTTTCCATTTCTTCCAAATGATGTTGATCAAGTTCAGTAATAGCAGCCTGATAGAAATATGAAGAAAAATACTTAATTCATATTAAGATGCAAATGTAAAAATCCTTAATTGAAACTGCCGAGATTGCTGAGATTTTGGGCATTAACTTTTTATATAATTTTTCTATACGCCTTTCACCGCAAATTCTTTGTACAAGCATCGACTGCTAAAATAGGAGCTAACTATAGTTTGAATGAATCGTATCGTTATGGTTCACCATTGTTCTCCCCACTGATGACACCCTCGATGAGGTGGTGAGTATCAGATTTGAACCCGAAATTTTTAGCATGCAATACCGACATAGTTCATTTAATTTCTACATGAAAGATTACAAGGATTGTGGAATACCAATCTTTGAAGATTTATTCATTTTCAGTGAAACAGGAATTTTAATTCTATTCCCAGTTTAAAGCAACCAATAATAAAAGTAGAGAAATAGGACATGACTGTTTCTAACTTAATTACAATCATTTCCTGTTCACAGATGAACATTACAAATATACTTTCAGTTTCCTAAAACCAACTCACCCTTAAAATCAAAATTGATTATAACTTGTATACAAACTATTGTATGGCTTACAACCTAAAAAGCACAGTTCAAGTTTCTCTAAATAAATATATTTCACATCCTCCTAATATATATCCTTTCTCCATCTCTCCCCCGAATATAATTATAGAATTCTGAATTATAATAATACTTTTTGCCATACCTGAAATTTTTCCATATGATGAGCTATCAGAGCTGCCTTCAATTCAGCTTGTGCTTGTTCGTGTTCTGATTCAATATGTTGTAATTGAGATTGCAGTTGATCTCTCAGTGATAATAATTCATCTCTTTCTTCTTTAATTTCCACAAGTTTAGTTGCAACTACTTTCAACTGCAGAAAAATATCAATTAGATATCCCAGTTGATGAAATGATCTATGCATTTAAATTGATTGAGCAATACTAGCATTCAGAGTTACAATGAACAATTTAAGGATTTAAGTTTAATTTCGATAGACGAATTTTTTTATACAACGTTTTTGAAAGCTTTTCAGTCTGAACAAAGATCAGGACAGGCATGCACGGATAGGTAGAAAGATCCTATAGTTTGGAGGAACCAGTAATATTTGCCTACCCAATTTATCAAACCCTTCAAAAACATTTCCAAATACATTAAAAGAAAACTTAATACTGCCAAATATACTACAGTCTACAGAATTTACTAACTTTCAATTATTGAATCTATCCCATCATTTCTGCACTCTGCATAACCTAGCACCAAAAGTGTAGCCAGCCCAAAATTTGAGGGGCAAATTTGATTTTGTATAATGAGGTAATACGACGCTCATTCGTGCCTTTTGTTTTGAACAAAGCCAGATAAAAGTAGCCACTGATATCTAACACTATCTTGAAGGATCGCTTTACAGACGTACTTCGCTGTTGAAGTTATCCAAGGCGTGAATTTTCATCCATATTGTTTGGTTCATTTGGTGAAAGGATTACTGATAGCAAGCCAGAAAACGTTCAGTTTTCAGTAAATGCTAAGCTACATCTAGCACTAAATGTTATCTGAACATTCATTAGAAACACAATGAATCAAACCTCTTCATTAAACTCTTCTTTCAACTTATTTTTTTCTTCTTCAAATTTGTCTTCAATTTCAGATTGCTCTGACAATTTTCCTTCCTCTAATTTCAGTTGAAGATTTTTGATTTCTTCTTTATATTTGTGATCAAGTTCATCTAATTCCTTTTGTTTTGCTTCCTCCACTCGGCGAATGTCTTCTTCTCTCTCATTTACAAATTTATCTATTTGTTGTTGATGTTGTTTGACATATTCTGATTGTGACTGAAAAGAATTTGAAATATAAATAGAGTTACACTACACCACTGAAAAACAATCAATTTTTATCAAGGAATGTTAAGAAAGCAAATGTAGGGCAATACCTAAAAACTGGGCAAACTACTAAATTAAATAATAAGTATTAATTTACCAATTAATTAAATATTGTTCATCATGTCATGTATTTGAACGTAGGAAGGTTTCTGTAAAAAGTTTTTCTAGTAAAATCAAAAGCTGTTATATTAAAAAATTTGGTACTCCCGTAGTGTGTGTACCAGGTTAGGGTTAGGCCAACATTTTATTTCAATTTTCCTTATTTCGGTTAATCAGTTCTATTACGAGTTCGGGGACTGTCTGTGTTAGCCAAGTGAATATATTCTCTGCTCATAGGTTTCAGTTCGTTTACACAACTTGATTTAAGTAGGCGATTAAAATTAGTTCCCTCCATAATGGTGCACCACTTCTGGAGCACCAAAAATTTTAATTGCGGAATTAAAAATTAATAACAATATCGAGGCAAAGCGAACCAATTTAAATTCCAATTTTAAACTACCGGTAAGTATAACAATGCTTATCCAAGAGAAAAAGTTACAAAATTCTGATCACATTCTATGTTATCTACACATGAATTCACAATTCCAAACATTGAACCTCAAATAAGACCCAAATTTAAAATTGTAGCGAATTGAAAAGAGCATAGTTTTAAATTGTTTTCCATTCCAATTAGCAGAAATCTAGATTGCATATTTGCACAAACTGACAGGTGTACATACAAAATAATGAGAAATCCGAGAATTTACTATAGAAGACCTCTAGTTTATTGAATTAGTTTACTTTTCTTAGCAAACATTAGAACAAGCAGACCCCGGCTAACAGCTCAGATTATAATACATGAATACCATGCCTGAATACAAATGAGAATGATTTATGACTAACCATAAAAAATGAGAAATTCTCAACAAATTATGAAAACAAATAAGTGGCAATTTACAATGCCAACAGAAGCCATTTTTGATTGTCCGTAACGTGACCTCTTAAATTATCATCAACAAATATTTATAAAAAACAATGAAGCAAAAATTACAAGAATGGATGGAATTCTACTTGAATGAAAATACAGAGATAAGTCATCAATCACAATTTTTATGCAATTCTGGGATGAAGATAGATGATTAGAATTCAAAAATTGAGTTTAATCCTCAGAAATATACATCAAACCACAATTAAACTAAAATTATAGTCCACGCATGAACAGAAAACAGTTATCTATATCCCCCACCCCCATAAGCCATAACAAAAGACCACAATTCAGGTTCACCATGTTAATATTATTATTAGATCAAAATTCCTTTTCTCAGAGATTAATAAGAAAATCATATTCAAATATTTGTCAAGTAGCAACTAAGAGCATTGCACGTGAAAAATGATCTTTAAGTTAAATAGTCTATTTTTGCAATGCATTACTAGATATATATGGATATATAAAGAGCCATAGATACAATGTATTCAACTACCAATACCTCATACTCAATTATATTTGATTTAATAAACAATCTTCAACTTTTCACCATAACAAATTTTACCCTGTAGCAAACTTATGACAAAATAACCTTTCTGCTCAAATTTCAAAATATTCAAAAAATAACAGACATGAAACAAGTCTATTATTGTCTATGTACCAAGCACTCATAAAATAATATACTAGCACAAGCACTCACTAACAACACAGAACAGACCGTTAGACGAATAGAAGGGTTATAAAACGGTTTAGTGGCAGACAATCAAATTCTTATGTCAACAAAGTTGAGTGTATTATTGTGGATTCTAACTTGATCATTAAAAGGCAGTTGATAAAACTGACAATTTTGAAGAATATAAAATTAGATACTCTGGCACATGGAAGATATCACGAAAAGTAACAAAACAATACAAAGGTCTTGAATAAATTCTAAATCCAGGAGTATACAGAATAAATTATGCTTCTTACATACACAAACAGATGATATTTGAAGCCATATAGTAAAAGTGATTCATTAGTCTTGTTCTACACTAACACAAATATTTTTCTCTAACGTTTCATTCAGACAAAGCAAGACTTTTTCTAGACAAACCTCACTCAACTAAGATAGTAAAATTGACATTTTTCAACTCGTTATTTTAATAGTAAATAAAATCATGATTTACATCAAATATTATGGAATAAAATTTGATAAATACCAAGATTCTTCACTGAAATTGGGTCATTGAGTTTTTAAATTAGAAATTAGTAGTGTAATTCTAAGAGAACAATTTTATATTATATTAGTATTTTTGATATCTTTAGTTGAAATGAAAATTAACATTCAAGCAATACAAGGTACAAGTAATACTTATAATAGGAGATGGCCAAAATCGAATAAATTATAAATCCATATACTGTTTGATATATTATTTTCAGTATAATATTTCTACCTTGTTCTATTATTTGAAAATTGGCCATTTTCAACAGATAAATTAACAGAAAAAATTGTTTTCAACAAATGATTTCTACTATTTTTTGAATTTGAAAGATCTAATTTCTGCAGTGAAATGAAAAGTTATTTAAAAACCTAACCTGTTCAAATTCTTCTGCTTGCTTTCTCAATTTGATTTCATTTTCCTCTGCAAGTAGCTTTTTTATTTTTTCGATTTCATTTTTGTGTTGATCTTCAATCATTCTGCAAAATTTAAGTACCGGTAAATGAAAATCATTCCAAAAAAATAATAGATGTTGAAAACAAAAAGGAGTAGACATACTTGATATGATCATTGTCACCATCTTCTAAACTACCTAGCAATTTCTGATATTCTTGTTTAGCATTCTGTATATCAGCATTCAATCTAGAAATTCAAAATATATACAAATGACATTATAATAAGAAATTGAGTGAGGTAAAAATACTTCATATATTAATATAAAAACATAAATTCTAGGAAAGAAGCTGATATTATCCATCTATTTTGATTCTTGTACTAATAAGAGAACAAAGGATATAAAGATAAAACTCAATGCCTATTTATTGCTAATGAGTCTTTTTACATCCTTCAAACAATAATAATATTTGTTTATATAACTTTGCATGTCTTAAGTTCAACCGTCTGTTTCCTTTTTAAACTAGCAAATGAATCATTTTAAAAAAATAACTATTCCAGCAAATTATTCAGCCAACAATGTAACTTCAGCAATATTGTATTTAAAAAAATTATTCATGACTCATTTTTCATGACTTATTTTTGTTCAAAAAATAAACTATTTCCAGGCTGGGATATCTGAATTTTTTAAAACTCTTTTCATGGCACAATTTTCAATTCATTCAAGGACATCCTTAACCTTAGCCTAATCACCACCAAGCAATACTGTGATTGAAAGACATTTGATTACAGACCCCAAGTTAGCACATAATTGTTTATAAGCTGAAGTATATAACTAATCAGGATGTCATTTAAGATAAGACCATATTAAATAATCATTGCTTCTCGTTTTGGTAAAGGGCAAATGACAAATACAAACAACTTGAACAGTGAACAAACAACTTGAACATGTACACATAATAGGATTCTATATCAATGAAATTTAACCCCAATCATTAAAATCTAGTCACAACAACAACTTTCAGTATAGAATGTATTGAAATGGGAATAAGAGCAGAATTTGATTAAAGGTTTTTTATGAATATTAATTATATAATTGTGAGGTGTATTAAACAAGATTATAGATTTATTCCATGCTAAGTTAATAGTATGAGTGTAAGTAAGTGTACAGGGGTTGATAGACGGCAGATTAGCCATTGAAGCGTTAGACTTAATGCGTCGACATCACAAATTACAAATTACAAACATCTGAGGTTCAAATTCCACCTCACTCAGGGCAGGGGGTAATAAATGTACTATGCAATGCCAAATCAAAGGACACTGATTCTTCCAAAATAATAGTACCTCCTCACTCACATAGGTATCAGTGGCTGCCAGTATTAGGGCCTTGATGGATATAAAAGACGTTTATAGGAGTCTCATGAAAAATGGAGACTAAAAACCTTAAGTTAATTTTTTCTTGGTCAAATCCAAATTACTGAGTCCAGTTCTTGGTAGTGGTCAATTGGGATTTCTTTTTGAAGTTTTATTTTCTTCCGAGTTTATTAAATGTATTTAATATAAGTTTAAGAATTAAATTAACACATTGACAACAACTAAATGTACCTCTCAATCTCCTTCTGATGGTTTTCAGTTCTCTCTTCAGTTAACTTATCATTTTCATTTTGAATTTTTTTCAATTCATCTTGATGTTGATCAGAAAGCTTCTGTAAACTTTCCTGCTTTTGTTCATACAATTCAGACATGAGAACGGATATTTTTTCTTGCATGCTGCTCGAGTGTTCTTCAGAGAGTTTTGACAAAGCTGAATTTTCAGAAAGGACATGAAGGTTAAATACTTAATAATATGGGATTGCATTGTAAGCAACATTCCAGTCAAATATTAGAAAAATTGTATCAAATGTCATAAGGAGGTAAAATACAAAAACCAACAAAATTTGGTGTGAAACATCAGGTTCAGAAAAAATATAAAAATAAAACGTACTGGAATTGAAGGTAATGGAACAACGACAATTTACCAAATGGCTCATAGGTCCACTTTGTGTTCAAAAATAAAAATAAAAAGAGTAAAACTATATTTAAATAACAGCAAAAACGACTTATGGAATGTTGGAATACTAACTATTGAAAATAACAGACCTTTCTGAAATGAAAGTTATTAAATACCATACCATCTTCTTTTTCACCATCTTTTTCCTGAATTTTTTCATTCATCTGAGTTTCCATTGCTAACTTCAAACTTTCAATCTCATTTTTGTGAAAATTCTCGAGTTCATTTCTAAGTTTGTTGAGTTCATCATCAACCTGAAAAAATAGTGAATAGTCTCGAAAATACTTTATAAAGTCACAATTACCAAATGAATGCAAAATAATACGATGGAAATTTGTTGGTGTGTCAAACAAAACATTTTATATGGCTTAGGGATATTTTACATTGAAAACACTCGAAAAAAATTTGCCATTCGAAGGATTCCATTTCAATCTGTTAATTTTACAAATATTATGACAAAAACAAATAAGTATTAAATAATAAATAAAGTAAGTAGCAGGAAACACGAAAAGAATTCTGTAAATTTCGTAAAAATCTCTGTTCACTACACTATCCATGTTCGATCAATTAAAATTTAATTCGATTCAATTAAAGCTATAGACAATCACGCACATGAATGCTCAAATTGGAAAGACCAGCATTTTACTTCTTCGACTTAAAGCATACAATAAGAAAGGTGAAAATGAAAACTGTTTTAATTACCTGACTTGCAGTTTCAGAAGCACATTTCAATCTCAATTGCATTATTTCATTTTCATGTTGCTCTTGTGAAGTTTTAATCTCATTTGCATGTGTTTGCAGAAGATCTTCTTTTTCTAATTGATCACAAAATATGTAGCATGAAAGCGACCAAGAAGGGTCAAAATCCAATAATACAATATTCCAAATATATTCAAAAACACAATATCCGAATATTAAATATCAAATATGTCTGTATGTATATCTGTATGCATTATATATATGTATACGCGTATTCAATGAGTTTGAATTTAAAAAAAAAAAAAATTGATATAAACACTGATTTGATTGGGGTGTATAGTTTTCAGATATTATATGAAGCCATCCTCGGTCATACTCTTAGACTTCAATTTCTTACAATAATGAGTTTTGAAAATGAAGCTATTCTAGATTATTCCTAAAATAAAGATTTTAAGAAACTTAAAAAACTTCACAATAAATGAATTACCAGTACGTCTGAAACCCTAAAGTGGCATTTTAATTTCGTATAGAGATTTATGTAAAAGAAATATATTCAGATGGTCAAAACTAATAACTTGAAAATATCATACATCGAATATATTTTGAAATGAGCTTAAAATTCAGAAAACCAATGTGAAATAATAAATATAAATGTCAGTCTGATTTGCAATTTTTTGAATATTAGTAAAAAATGAAGATTATTTTCAGTCTCCACATTGAATTTCAAATTCCCAAAACTGTAGAATTTTTATATAAAACAATTTTAAATTATTCCTAAAATTTTCCAATACAGCAAATGCATTTGAATGTTCGATATGTATTTTATACAATGTACTTGCCTCTCACTCTGAACAAGGCTTTGTACAAGCAACCACTGTTAAGTAAGGAGCCACTAAAGTTTGGAAAGACTAGAATCCCTCTAGTTAGACATTGTCTACCCAATTTATTACACCCTGAATGGGGGGGAGGTTGACAGGGGATTTGAACCCAAGATTTTTAATCAGCAATGCCAGCATAGTTGAGTCTAATGCTTTAACCATGAGATCGTACTCAGTATTTTAATCTTTTAATTTACGGACACAATATTACTGCAACCATTTAGTTATTCCTCCTATTTACCTGCAATATATTGATCTTCTATTTCTTTCAAAGCTTGATTTTTGCTTTCTTCAAATTCTGTGTCTTTATTTTGTAATTGTGTTTCATAATTTTGCATCAATTCTTGCATTTCTGATTTATGAGAATCCGTCATTCTGAAATAGGAAATAGATATCATAAAAGATGAAAATAATCGAAAACAGGATGTGGGACGTTAAGGAAGTACTTATTGGATTGTCTCTTTTCAGTTCTACAGTTCAAAACCAGCAATAAACAAAACATAATCGCTATTAAAACAGGTTATTATGGACCGGGGCCTACCTAGACTGGCGGGCCATGTAAGTGTGACATAAAATTTACAACAATATTTAGTTGGATTTGGTTGTAGTTTGCCCACGTCTGCTATAGAGCAATGACCAGATATTAGATATGAAAGAAAAATGACAACCACAATGTTAACAAAAATCCGTACAAAAAATTCGAAGTCTAAAGGTTGAAGAAAATGAATTTTTGTACACTTTGGGTCCAAAAATCATGTTTAAGCAATGATATATTCTACTCACTGAAGCAACTCATTCTGCAATTCCTCTACTTTTGATGTTAAAATCTCAATTTCATTTCCAATATCAACACTCTCACTGAGTTGTTGTGAATCTTGCAGTTGAGCAACTACCTCTTCTTTCTCCTCGTGAACAGAATCCTCATCTGATGAAGAAGAAGATGATGACGATGACTCATCTTCATCCTTCTCCTGCTCTGTTACTTGACTCTCCTTGCTCTCAATCAGATCTCCTTCTTCTAGAGTAGGAAGTTCTCCCTCTTCCAACATCTCCTCATCTTCGGTTGTCATATGAAGAACACCTTCCTCGAGTTCGTCACCAATCCCAGAAACATCAGAAATGTGAGTGATAGTCAAAGCACTAATGGAAAAGCAAGGTCGCAATCAACATCAAGAATTTTTATACCATGATTTATTGTGACTTTTACTCCAAACAAGGCCATGTAAAAGCAATCTATACAGAGTTATTATTTTGGAAGGATCAACATTTTTCCAGTTTGTGTAGATGATTGTGTACTATAGCTATAGGGTTGCTGGACTCCTCGCCGTCATAGAGTGATTCGGGTAACCGCTGGTCGGGTACGGTATCCTACATCATGAAGCCTGCATATCTGTAACAAATTAACTAACAAACTATTAACTATTCCCATACCCGACATAGACTGGTAACCAAACAAGAGGCCGTGGTTCACCATTTTGGCTTTCCTCTCCTTCAGAATGATACGCTCAAATTGAGATTTCATGCAAAAAAATATTTTACCAATCGTTGAATAGTTTATGTAAACACTGATGATAAATTTTCATACTTTCTTATATCTTTTTTCATTGCAGAAATATTAGCAGGATCATAATCAGAAGCAGATGACATTGGTCTCATGGGTGATGATGCTGATATTGATGCAAGATTCGCTTGTGCAGCAGCAAGTTTTTCTTTGTATTCAATCAATTCTTTCTCTAGATCACTTCTATATTGTTCGTAATCACCAGATGCAGAAGGCAGATTCGCTTCGAGTTGGTTTCTAATTAAAAGCAAGAATTTTCAAAATTGCAGTTGAATTGAATTTTAAAAAATGTTTTATAATTTTGTATATATTTCTTATAATAGTAATTTGGTTTTTCAAAGAACAGGAATTTTAAGAAAAATATCTGTTCTTGAAGTAGTGTTGTTTTTTGAGTAACAGTTAGGTTACAATTTTTTCATTGAAATTACAGATACACGAAATTATATAAGAAATATAGTTACGACTCTAAGAAAAAGTAAATTTTCGTTTATATTTTGACGATTTTCAGTAAGCACCTCAAATGAATAGGTCCCAATACTTAAAATATTGCAGTGCATAATGTTATTCATTTGGCATGATTACATACCTAATTTATGCAATAAAAATCCAGTCACAATCAAGTCAGAAATGTCCAAAAATGTACTTTTATGTCCATTTTGAAATGTGTATTTGCAAAACATGCTAAATGTATAAAAAAAAATTCAAACATGCTACAAGCATGATTTTATTTTATAGTTTAATGATTTAATATTTTCAAACGCAAAAAAAAAATATTTTTTCAAACCTCATGCTTGATAATTCTGCTTCATGTTCTTCTTTTAAATTTTCAACAAGCTGTTCATGTTGCGACAACAAAACTTTTTCTTTTTCGTTGAATTCTGATTTCAGTAATTCCACTTGCTCAACAGTAGCATTTCGAGCAACTAGTTCTTCCTTCAGTTCCTAAAAATTTGAAAGAATCGATGATTTGGCTTGCCGGTTCGCGCAAAGTACTAAATTTTAAGAATACAATTGCATTATCGATGATGATTACCATGCATTGTAATTTCACAGGTTCAAATCTCATCAAGAATAAGTATGTATGAGAGCATTGCTGAGCAGGTAACTGCTGGTAGGTTACGACATTATCAACCATCTGAGTCTATGTATCGATGCATTAGACTTGTATACCATACTATTCCCATATTCGTTCTGGACTGGTAATCAAACATGAGAACGTCTAATTGCCTTTCCTCTCAAGATGAATGTGAAAAACACGTATTCATAGTTAAAGAGTTGGTATAAAAACTACAAACGATATATATATAAATATTATACACAATTTAATATATCACCAACTGTTTCACATAATATAACAGCAATAAGAAATGAAGTACCTTGAAAAATAGAAATAGAACTTGAATTTTATGGTTTTTAAATTTATCAAGACTTTCTGTTAACTGATAATTTCATTTCAACCATAGTTTTGAGAATGTAAGGCTCAGGGCAAGCAACCGCAACGCATACAGAGTTAGTGAGAAGAAACAGCATCTAACAACCTTGGCATAGAACGCAATTTTTTAAACGCTGGGTGTGAGTTGAGATTGAAATATGAAATTATATATAAGTAGAGAATAGTATAAGTAGATGTAATATCTCATTAAATGGGTAAAAAAACAAATAGTCAAAATAGAGATACCACAAAAATTCAAATTAAAATACCTGTAACTGAGATCTAGAAGTACGACTGGATTCCATTTCAACTTGCATTCGTTTTAACTTTTCTTTATGTTCATGCACATGAGTTTCTAATTGTTCTCTCAATTCTAACATTTCTTCATGATGAAGCGATTCCAATCTTTTTCTACTTTCTAAAGGTAAACATCAACAAAATAATGCTGATTTAATTTCATTTAGAAACCATTGTCTATAAATTTAAAAGAGAATCATAATTCAAATAAATTATTCAAGTAACAGAGCTTCATAATTACTTAGCATTAGATGTTTAATCGAAACATATTTAAGAGAAACTGTATTTAAAGTAATTCTTTCATTAAAATAACCAGGGCAAAAAGAGCCGCATGAAACCGGGGCAAGAGCCGCAGGTTGGCCACCCCTGCTCTGGGCCAAATGCAGTATCCTCATTCAATCTTTAGAATACTAATAGTTACCTTCAGCTTGATTTATTATTTCCTCTCTTTCTTTGTTGATTTCATTCACGGTTTCTTTTAATCTGTGACATTCTTCTTCCAATTTTAGTTTTTCGTCTTTATGTTCTGATTCCAAGGCAGATAATTTTTCACTATATTCTTCTTCTAATTTAACAGTTGCTTCTGTTAATTGAAGTTGTAGAGCTTCCATCTAAATGAATAAAAATATATTTATACAATATAAAAATTTGTAACATGCTCGAACAAAATAATAAAAATGAATTAATACTATTAAGCTTACAGTAAAATAACAATACTATTGGAAGATAGAAAAACAAACAATATGGAAGCAGAATTCTAAACTCCTATTTCAGTTTTAAACAGTTGGGTACAGATTACTAATTACATTGACGAAGACAACTACAACTGGAAATCAAATAGCATATTGCATCTATCTCAAGGGAGAGGGGTCTGTAGAAGAAAAAGATTTTATTACGAGGGCAAACCAGAAGTTTGGAGTCAAAAACATATCACATCTGAATATGACCATTCACCAAGAGCCATACAAACAAGTGACTCTGATTTTTACTTGACCCCTAATGGAACAAAAATTCTTAATAAAATTTAAAAAATCTGAATCAACTTTCAATATGAATGGTAAAACTCAGAAGAGACTTCTAACTGACCAGCTCATTCTGTTGAAAAGTGTCAATTGGTAGGTATAGAATTTTATAGTCAATTAAATATTAATTTAGAGAATTTTTTCAATTACCTGCTCTGCAACTTGTTTTTCATTCTGTTCCCGAGCAAAACCTTCATCTTTAATCAACTGTATTGCCGACTCTTGTTCTTCTCTCTGTTCCTGTAGTAATTTTTTCATTTCCTCTTCTCTCGCTTCCAATCTTGTTTTATGCTCGTTCTGCAAACGTTTATATATTAGAATTTTTAATTCATTTGACAAAATGGGACAAACTATCTTGTGGTTAGCTTGTAGGCCTATCTCAGAAAGCATTTTCACTAAAGTGTTTATATCTTATAGAAATTTAATATTTATCACCTAGGAGAGGAAAGCCGTCCGGTTACCAGTTCATGTTGAATAAAGATATAGTTGACCAGTTATTTGTTTCAGACGCATGGACCTAATAGTGGAGGAAACCGTAACCAACCAGCGGATAGGTGAACCACCTAACTACTTACTATGAGGAGAACAACAATCCTCTTGCACAGGGGTGGGCAACATACGGCCCACGGGCCAAGGTCCGGCCTGCGACGAGATTTTGACCGGCCCGTTGACTGTACATCAGTACATTATTATATTATATTATTATACTTTTAGTACATTATGATAAATTCATTATGTGTTTTTGGTCTCTATTTTTTTGTAGTTTAAACTTTACTTTAAACGCGATTTATAATTTTCTTTCTTGCATTAGCGAATAAATATGTGATTAAAATATTACCGTAAATACTATTCATGTTATAATCCGGTCCGCCGAGAACTTCATTTTACCACATCTGGCCCGCCGACTAGAGAAGTTGCCCACCCCTGCTCTCGCACATAATTATCCTCAGTGGGATTTGAACCAAACAGGGTAATCAGGGTAATGACTAATTCAATATTCTATAAATCTGCATCAGCTGCAACTGATTTCAATTTCCAAATATTAAACCAGACCAATTTTGCAGTAAAACAATAATATATGATATTTAAATTTTAACAACAAATTTTTTGAAAATAGGATTATGACTAAATTTTATTTGAATTGAATGCTTTTTATATTCCTGGATCTTCGGTTTAAAATATATAATTCAAGCTAATTTAATATTGAACCTGTCATCTTCAAAATCAGAGATTAGCTTTTCTGCATGACGCATTTTCGTATCTTCACTTAAAACAAGGCTATATAAAAGCGGCGCCACTGATTCGCATTACGTTCCTATTTTTGTAAAGATTAGAATCCTTCTAAATAGGCATTCCCCAGTATTTAATTTATATTCAATATTTAATTTATTATACTCTGGGTAAAGTACAACAAGTTTTAATAGCAGTTTGGTTAAGTCCAACATTCTTACTACTAGGCTATTACTATACAGTGCCTTTATCGGAGCAAAGTTACTGACGATCTTATGGAAAAAAATAATTGTCATGTCTTTATGCTTAAGGAGAATTGCTTTTTTAAATCACAATAATTGAAAGATTAAAAAGCACCTCAAGTTCAGTTAATTTTGATTGATGTTCTTCTTGTAATAGATTCCTACTCTGCTCATGTTCTTTTGTTAAATTTTCCAATGCCTCCTTATGTTCTTCTGCTTGTTCCCTTATTTTAGTTTCCCACATTTCATTTTGTTTCAGTAGAACATCATCTTCCGACTCTAAAAAAAATCATGAAATTTTTTTTGAGCTTTTATGTTCTAACAGAGCAAACTTAATTTTGTTTGTGAAAATAAAACTGCGAAGATTTATTTTTAACATTAGAAAAGCACAAGTTGACTTCAAACCCACTTTAAAATACTCTATACCTGGCTCAAATTAACCCAGTTGAGTGAAAAATTACCTTATATAGGGTGTTCAACCAACACATTCCGACATTCGTTTCATAAAAACACCCTGGATGAGCAAAAAATATAAATGGCTCGATTCGAAATGCTTTTGGAAACTAGCCCTTTGTATAACTACACCTCAAACGACTAAAATTGGCTCAGTTTCTACCACAGAGACTAGGCACATGAAGTGAAAAACTGTGTCAAACCAGAATTTTTTCACGGATTGCACAGACCTTTTCAGCTACATCATGGTAATGGAAATATAGAATTTTCTAAACATTAGACACATAAAACATACATCTATATAAATAATAGACGGCACATAAAATATATTTCACTGTACCTTTAGTTCTTGATGAATGTATTTTCTCCAACTGATTTATTTCTTCTGCATGTTTTTCTTGCAAATCAAGTTTTATGCTGTCGATGTCTTTTTCTTTCTGTTGCTCATTTTCTTCGTGCAGCTGCTGCATCTTGGAGGCAAAATCTTCCTATAAAAAGATGGTAAAAACAAGGAACAATAAAAACGTATACAACAATTAAAAGTCAATAATAATCAGAGTATTAATCTAACTACTGTGAAAATCATGTACATACGAGCCTTCTTTAGTTAATATTTAGTGAATCTTGTTTTCAAAAATACTCAACAGTATGACTACTACTTGATTGGCCAACAAATAACTTTTTAAATATTGGAAATATACCTCAGCATTTCCACCTTAATTTGTTTAATTTTTTTTTAGAAAATTTTGCCTTCGATTTTCGCCAATGAATTTCTGAGATTCTGACTTGGATTCGTGATTCAAGGGAGTTCGAAAAATCAACTCTGACTCCAACTCAAGAGGAGACATGAAAAACTCAGACTCATGACTGATACACAAACTCCGTAGCATTGCTTGATTCAATCAATAAACTTGAAAATCCAAACCTCCATTTCTCTGCGAATTCTGTTTCCTTCCAGTATTTTCTCTTCATTGAAACGTTCTTTAAATTGTTTCAATACTTTTCCATGTTCCTGATTCAAAGACTCAATTGCTGTTTCATGATCTTGTTGCATTCTCGCAATCTCTTCTTCATGAGCTTGTTTGATTTGATCAAACTCTCTTTCCCGAGTTCTCTCATGAACCTGAAAATAAATAAATAAAAATTCACAGTCAGTATTTGAAATAATATAAAATTTTGACAACTAAAGTAGGACAACTGAAAGAATAAGCACACTGAACTGTAACAATTACACTTCCATACATTAACAAACTAAAGTATCCAAAGCCAAGTTAAACCTTTGATAATTATGAGCTCAAAAGATATGAGTGCAATGCACAAATATATAACAAAAACATATTTGCATAGTTGGACTTCCTTAAACCACCTTTTCAATGTACCATAAATAGCAACTTGAACTCTGCTAAAACTGTAGATGTAATGTAAAGCAAACATGGAAATGAATTATTCAAAATAATGATTACGGTTGGATTTTGTTATCTACCCAATCTTTAACAAAACAAAATCGAACTAAAAAACCACACATACATCTTTCACTGTTCCCATTTGACTTTTCTTTTCCTGTTCGAGAGTATCCTTAACAGCTTGTAGTTTGTTTTCCATTTCTTTCTTAAATTCATCCATCTGAAAGATATAATTCAACCTGATCATCAGTATATCAAATAAGGATGTACAAACCCAAACAGATATTTAATCCAAATTTTTCTATACATTTTGCATAATCTTCGACAATATCAAATTGATTATACAGTAAATAAAAGTATCATAAAACCTCATCAATACAATTGAAATTTGACCTATATTAAATTAAGTAGAAATAAATAAAAACAGTTGCCACAACTATACTACGTATTGAATATTTCCTAAAATTCCCGAGCAGAAATAAACCAAATAATAAAAGTCCAAACATTTCTTTCTGCATATGAACGTTTTTTTATTCAGAATAGTCAATCATTTAATGATTGAACTAATTCTTTTAACCGAGTTGACTACAATTCTAACATGAATATAAACAACGTAGTCAATTGATAGACCCAACAAATATGATAGCTTAGCAGTTCTATAACAAATGATATAACACCTACTTTTCCAAGAAATATTCTGCATGTTTTTCTACATCTTTTACAACTACTGCTATTACTATCAGATGATTTTGAATTTGAGGAATTTGTGACTTCTTTAACAACTATATGTCCATGACAAATACAACTACCAGTGCTACCGTCACATGACGAAATAGAAGACACTGGACTCGGAGCGTAAGGAGTTGAAAGATCACTAGGTTTTTGAGTCTCCGTTTCACACATAGTTCCATATTTAACCAGTTGTAATTCACTTTTATAAGTTCGAGAAACTACTTTGTAACAACCGCATAATGTACAATGATGAACTGATGTTGAAACCTCACTTGAGCGATCAGTCTCAAGAAATGATGAAACTAACTGAGAAGTATCCATCTCTGTTGACTGCATAATACCTGCTTCTAGACAAACCAAACTATTTTTGATTTAAAGACCAATAAAATAATAAAATTCATATTAAAATTCATTCCATTATGCATTTTCAGCAAACATGAGGCAAAACTCAAACTTTAACACCTGTTGCTTATCATTTCTAAGCCATGGATGGCCAAAAGTATGAAATATTGACTTTGCATGTGGAAATATAGGAAAGACAACATAAACAGTGATTACAAGTTTTCCCTTTTTCATACTCATGCATCCTAATTTTTTTTTTTTTTTTTTTCAATTTGAAAATTTTGAAAAGTTTGAAACTATTCAAGATGTTCTGGAAGTAAAAAATCGAATAAAAATAATTTTATATCAATTGAAATATTCGAATTGATTCCTAAATCCCTGTCACTCAACTTTTGAAAATCTCAAATCTATATTAAGAATAACATGTTTCGGAAATATTGTTTTAACTGCTGTATTGCACAAAACTACAAATTTTTCTGTGTTCTCAATATTGAAATTAACAAAAAAAGATTGAAACATTGTCTAAACTAAGTAGTTGTTGTGAGTAGCTGGAGCTTGTTAAATACAAACAGAAAATATCCCTTTGACAATCCACTTTAACTCTCACTAAAGTCTCCATACCCAGAAGTAAATCAGTAAATAGTGGAACTTATAATCTAAAGTAAAAAACCTTCAACCACAATCCCATCCCCCCTAATAAAAACTTTCAAAATCTAGCTACATCCTAATACACAACAGCTTTAAATTGACTAGAACTAAATGAAAGTCTAAAGCGCAAACTGTTATTGGGAATTCTTCAAAATTAGCCTGCATAATATATTTGCAAGGCATAATCAATTATTCAACGCAAGGTGGCTTAAGAAATTGTGACTGCATGTAAAGATCATGAATATTGTATTTTTAATAAAAAATTAACGTAATTGGAATTCAATGAAAACGGAAATGAAAATGAAATTACATGAAATTTGAAATATTGTTGAAAGCTTTATTTTGAGAATAAAGGCAATTGAAATTACATTTTCATGTAAAATGAAGCACATAAAATAACTTATTTTTATATCTTGAAAGTAGACTTTAGATGAGAAATATTCAAAAATGAAAAAAAAGGTTAAAAAAAATTCAGACCACCAAACTCATTGTATCTGGGAATCTCCAACGACAACAAAAAGACATCTAACTTTTTTTTTACAGAGGATTTTGACTAAGGACCTAAAATGATCAGACACTAACAGAGCAGCTATTTTGCTAATGAGATGGTTATTTTACTTTGCAAACCCACGGAAGAGAAATTTAGTATTCGAATATTTCATATAAAATGGTAACCCGACCTCAGCTGAAAAAAAATGATAATGGAATAATATTAGACTGATTACCCAGTGTGGGCTCGCAAGTCGAATCGCATGGGGGAAAAATCACCGCCATAGGAGGGTTCAGTAAATCGTTGTTAATGCATTTCTATCCCACATTAAATGCATTCATCACTTTGTTTATATACAATAAACCAGATAAAACTAATTTGTTATTCCTGACTTTTTCTAATAATTATTTCCTCAAGTTCAAATATTGGAATGCAGCACATTATGGTTGCTGCTATATTACTAACAGACCTTCCAACCTTACATTTATGTATACTTTTATAACTCGTCTAAAGCAAATCCTAATGCGAACAAAGATGCCACAGTGAAGAAACTGTGATGTAAACTAAATTTTTCTCAGACAACTGCAGTACTCAGTCATTAAGCCTAAGCTTTCTAACTACCTAAGCGTCAAAAAGTGCTCAGGGTCTTCATAGATAAAAGTAATTGTAAGCAAAAGGGCTATATATTGGAGATATTGTGTTCCAATCCAGATAACTTCAAATAGAACATACATCAACTCTTACCAAGATGTAATCATTGCCCCTCAAAATACAAAATCTATAAAAAATATACCAAACTATTTAGATGATATTTATCTACCAACCTGGCTATGATTTTGATTCTGAACAGCTTTTAATTCATTTGAATGATCATCTTTTATTTCTTGAATTTTTTCCTCCATTTCTTTTCTCACTTCATCTTTTGCGATTAGAATGTCTTCATCGGCCTGTTGACTCGAATCCTGAAGAACTTCCTCGATATTACGTCGATGTTGTTCTTCTAAAGACTCAATATCTGATGCATGCTAAAGTGAATGAAAGCTTTGTAAGGTGAATGTACAATGAAAGATAATAAAATATACACACTTGAAAATGTACAGAAAAAAAATTGCTATCAATTAGTGGTATTAAAAATGTTCTCAAAAATTCTAAAAATAAATCAAATCAACCTTTAAATTGTACATTTACTTGATAAATCCATTGAAATAGTAAAATAAGACGTATATTATAATTTCACTGCGAATAAAGTCCTTTGATTAACCTTAACTAGAAAAGAAAACCAAATCCAATTCAGGCATCTCTGTCAATGGTAACAATAAAAAAATGGCTAAAACCGCCTATCTGCTAGTCGATGTAAATTACCAAAACTACATTCCTCAACTCGTCAACTGTGAACATTTAATTTCAATAAACATTGGCATAAATTATTCAGAACAGAAGTGGAATACAATAATAAATTTATCCTAAGCGAGTGGACACAAATTATGAAGTCATAATTGCAGCATGAAAATTTCAAACCTTTTGCACTTTTATTGGCAGCATAGCATGTTGAATAACACAAAAAATGATTTAATTTTTTAACAATATGTTCTAAAATACAACTAACTTTTTGAATCAAAATATTATATTCCTCTTCTTGTTCTCTGACTTTATCTTTGACTTCTGAAATTTCTTCTTTCATGTTTGTAATTTCTGCAACAAGTCTTTTGGTTTCTTTCTCCTGCATGAAAAATTTGTACTCATTTAAATATATTTTTGCAGAGTTTCTATAATCTACCATAATTTTACACTGTTGTTCATAATGTATTGTTCAACAATGGCTAGGCGATTGGCGAATGATTATTATTAGGAATACAAACAGATGTACCATATTTATTACTGTACTAAAATTCATCATGATTTTTTTAGAAAATTATTTCAAAAAATTAATCTTATGATATATTACAAGCCAAACTTTTTTTGACTGTGACCAACAAAAATGTTTTAAAATAGCTCGCAATTGACTGTTCGGTAATAAGGTGATACACAAAAACGATTGAATGCTGAATATGCAGATAACTAAACACACGCACACAAAAATTCCATTGCCGCTAATAATCTCGGTTCTGTGGGCACAACTCTTAACCCTTTCCATGCGATTTTTATTTTTTATTAAATAATCGTATTTGCTACGCCGATTTTATGCATTTGTACCCCCACAACTAATCGATCGACTAACGAAAAACTAATGATCCTCTGCTGCCCACTGACGGCTCGTTGGAAAGCTTATTCAAAGAGCTTGCAATTGGCGATTAAAAAAAAACTTTAAAAAAGTGGTGGTCTGAGTCACAAACCGGATAGAAAAAAAGGCATTTTTTTTTTCTTGGGAGTTGAAACTTCAAACCGTGATAAAAAATAGAAATATTAGCTAAATCCTTTACTGTTACCGCTTCGTGGTTGGCAAACAATAGCATAATATTGCTGTAGCAATTTCGTGATCTAACTCAAAATACTTTGGTAGATGGAAGGGATAATATGTCTTCTATTACCACCCAAAAAACACCGAAATTTGCATAAATTTCAAAAACACTCCCTCGTTCCACCGCAACTAAAATTCCCGTCATAAACGAAAGCGAGATTTACCGTCGCTTATGTTAATCTCGAAGAAGACTTCTTATCAATAAACTAAAACCCGGAAAAACTAGACCAACAGTTTGCGACCGATTGCTAAATAAAACAGTGGAGTACATCAACGTACCCGCCGCAATCTAGCGACTTTTGTCGTTGGTACGTATACGTGCCCACCGCATGGAAAGGGTTAAGTGAATATAAAAAATTTGTATTTTTTATGTTACATTTAATTTGATAGCATATGTATAGCACCCAGAGTAAATTTAAATTCACATAACATCAAACGCGATCGACTACCCGAGAAGCGGGCGATCGACGTGTTGATTTATGGAATTAATAATACAGCGAAATGCCAGAGCCCAGAATCTAGTTCAACTTTGATGACTTTTACCAAATTATATTACAGCAAACAGTGTTCAAAGTAATATTTCACTAATTTCTATGACTACCACTGGCATGTTGAGACAAGATATTTAATGATTAATCGAAGAGTTATAATCATTCCATAGGAAATATTAGCAACGCTCACAAACAACAATGAATCTTTATCCACAAACAAACACAAGCAAACTCTTTATTATTTACATTGTGTGTGAATTATAATCAATAATAAAGATAAATGGCAAATCCTAATAACAATGATGCTACTGTTGTTGTCAGAATAGCAAAGTGAGAATGAAAGAATTAATAGAAAACATAAAGAAGGCATTAGGATACAAATAATGATATCTAAAAATTATATATAATTTATAAATATTATAATATAAACACTATAGAATAACAGGCTCAGTGGTGTGGCACATCATGCTAAGCGTTAGGAATACGCTCGTCACAGCACCTCTGATTACCCTGCGTGGGTTCGCAGGTTCGAACCCATGCGGGGTTAATTACGTGCAACAGAATTGCTGGACTCTTCGCCCGGCACAGTTACCTCTTCGCCGCCACTCGTCAGTTACGACTTTCCATCAAGTCCATCGTCTTAAAGAAAATAACTGGCTAACTAATGCCATACCCGACATAGACTGATAACTGGTCGAGAGGCCATGGTTTGCCATATGATCGATCGGATGACGCCATCCGTCTTATGTCTTCCCTCTCAACTTGGATAAATATGAATATTCTATCCCAACAGTCATTTCCATACTCTTTGCATTTCCATACCTTTGGCACCCTCTGTTAAACTTACCAATGTGAAAACTTTTTTAACATTCAAACCAAACAAGATAAAGAACTTTAAAAGAATTCACCTGCTTATGTATTTCATCTTTCCTTCTGTCCAATTCATCTTGTTGTTTTCTGCTTTGTTTATTTCTTTCTTCCAATCTCTTTTCTGTTTCTTCAACCTCAGCCTTGTATGTGGTTAATTGGTCCTCAAGATCCTAAAAAAAGTAAATAATATGAAAGTATAATAAATATCGAAAAATAGCTCAGTGGAGCAGTACTTAAATCTACTAAAATGGGGATTGATTGACTGCTGCAAGGTCATTAAAATTACAGCAAATCTTAAAAAAATTATACAAGATGTAATATGAAAATATGTACCGGATGGCATATGAAGGTGACAACTATAAAAAACAGCAAAATTTGGAGTGAAATATCAGCTCCCCGCAAATGAAAATTTGAAAAAAATATTAAAAGCGCTCTAGCTAGCATCTTCTTTTTTTCCATCTTTAATTAATACCAAATATTACAATAGATTGGCGCATTACCTGCCGGAACAGGCTAATTCTAATAAACCAAACAAGATCATTAAGTAAGGTGATCCGATAAATTGCCTGACTCAAATAATAGCTTACTTCAATTAATTTGGCAGAATTAGCATTTTCTCTCGCAGCACTTTGTGCCTCTCTCAATTGTGATTTGAGTTCATCTCTTTCTTCTTCTAACTGTTGAAGCTGTTTACTGAATGATGACTGAATTTCAGAACTCACTGAAAAGAAAAGTAGAATTGAGCAAAAGTTGATTGCAATCCAAGAAGATTCAATAAAGCATAGGATTGCAGAATATTGCGATTTCATTGACATTACAATAATTGGAAAAAGCAAGAAATAGTCTCATTGGCAGCAGGTATGAGCCAACTTGTTATTTTCGTTCCAAAACGAATAAACATGATTGATTGAGAAAGTTACACCAATTTTCTTGACGAAAAACATCCCCAGATAACTTGGCAAGTCTGGGAGGTGATGATATTAATATAACCAAATAGCACAGCTGCACAGGATTCATAAATCAAGTGTGTTTTAACACAGTGACATGGTCAAGCTGAATTTTCAAAATCTGTTTGAGAAAGCACTTCTCATGAATTGACAATAAAAGTGGGTCACAAACTGAAAAATGTATGAAACGCTGGACTAAGTATAGAAAAAGAAATTTGATATCTAAGACAATTACCAGTGTCAGACATGTCAAGTCTGTTTTCTAATTCAGCAACATTTTCTTTTTCAGCTTGAATTTTGGCTTCATATTCATCTATTGTGCCAATTAATCTCTGATTTAGTTTCACAACCTAAAAACAATGAAACAGATATGAGAAAACCAGCTGAAATAACAATCTGAAACAAACACTATTTGGGTTGTGAAATATTAAACATATTAACCGCTGGACAAAACTTTTTTTTTATTAGATTTTTCATAAATTAACTCTAAACAAGACTCCAGACAAGCAGCCACTGTTACGTGAGAAACTAAAAAATTTTACTGACATTTTTCTAAGATGACCTACATTGTCAGGGCTTTCCCCGCCAAGATCATTACACACCTAAGGTGAGGATTTTGACATGTGAGCTGAGGCCGAGATTTTTTACCCACAATGCCAAAATGTCTGGACCCTCGTCCGTTATCAGGGACATGGCAAATTCCATATTTTACAAAAATATATCCCCTAACTGTTTCAAATATCAAGCCTTGTCTTTAAAGTCTATTAGAACAAGGTATATAATACAATTTATACTAGAAAGTTTAAAATAGTAGCTTACTTCAATATCGTGATCTCGTTTCTGTCTGTCCAACTCTCTGAATGAACCTTCAAGTTGCAAACTCAATTGAGAGAGTTGCTCTTTGAATGCACGAATATCTGATTCATCCATTGTTGATGATGACAAATCGTTATCTTCAAGCAATCTCCTCTCCTGGAAATATTAAGTGTGTTAATAATTTAATAACTACAAAATATTTAAACTACAGAATTATTGGCAACTAATTATGTAGAGGCTTAGGGTGGTTTGTTCCCAAGTAGGCTACAGCAGTACATAGAAGGGGATGTGAAAAATGAATAAACACTTAATTCAATTTATAAAAAATACTTATGTCTATTAATAACAAATATATACAAGAAAATATCTTAATGGTAAAAAATATTCACAAACAAAATACCGGTAGTTTAATAAAAGTCAATGACAGTATGTAAGCAAATCAAAGTATTTAATAACATTATGCTTAAATGTATAGCCTACATGTCCATATTTAATATAGAACAAACTACTACAGATATACCAAACATATTATCACAGCCTACCTTTATCCAGTTCGCACATATCAAAAAAGTCAATAATATTATATTAACAATAAATCTGAAGTAGAAATCGAGTAATACATAAAATTGTATTTTCAAATTGTTATAAACTATAATAATCACTATGCAACTATTAAATAATGAATAATGCACAATTTAAACGCATTTTTTCTAAAATACCAATCTTTATATCGACCATAAAATAACACTTTACAGTATACACTGCAAGTTCCTCTATACCGCATAAATCATAGCTTACGCTTTGCGCTTCAGTAATTTTATAAACTTCCCTATAAATATCTACCTCCAATACTGAAGCCTATTCACTTGATTGAACACAAACAAACTAAACCTTGCGAATCTATAACATTTAATTAAAAATAATAAACTTTCAAATAACATCAACAGGACAACAGCAGTACCAATTTTACAATCAATTCAAAATTCCTTATTCGTTCCAATAGGATAGGTTAATCTTGATACAAAACACGCTTCTCTTTTTCAAATTTACTAGATGCTGTACGCGATACAAACAATAAAACCCAAAACAAAATCCTGCTGTGTTTTTCAAATTTGAATTGTCCGCTTCAGTTGTGAAAATATTAAAAGAATATGAAACTCGATCCAAAAAGAAAAAAGTTTATATTTGAAATGCTTGAGACGTTAACAACAGCTTTAAAGCGTCTATGTGTTTAAGAAGGGAGTTAAACAATAAAGTCTGTTTGAAGACCGGTGATAGTAAAAGTGTGCAAATATCATTATGTTTGCCCTATAAAAACAAACCCCCATTTTATTTCAAACCCAAGTATGGTTCATATATTAGATCATTTAGAAAAAAGACGATATACTCATCCCTCAAGTGTGGCCATAACTAATAAATGCTCGATTTTTTAACAAGTATGACAATATTTAAAGATTTGGAATCCTCAAATATGATTACGCAAAAGAGTTTCAAAATTGTATAAGTGGTGGTCAAGTGGGCTAGACAGTTTAAATCCTTATTTGTGAAGTTGTGAAGAATCCGTTAAAAGCTGAGTGTCCTTATTATAAATTTTGTTCTAGACAGGCATGCGTCGTCGAGTCTTATTGGTATGAATTTGTTCAAGTTAGCTCCCACTTCATATAGATATATATATATAGAGGCCATTATGTATAAAAATTACTACAATAAGAAATATCTAAATACTTGAAATACCAGTTAGAGAATTATAAAACACAAAATAGAAATGAACATGATATTTTGTAGTTTTGGTTTTATATGGTATCAATTTCAACTAGGAAATATGAAGTATTCAATTTAATATTAAAAGCATAGTCATATTATGTATATGTATGTTTTCTGTAAGTTGGGCGAAAAATAAAAGCAAGACTGGTAGGGAAAATTGAATAGGACACTAAGTTTATAATACAGTTGTGACTCTTGTAAGTTAAATACCTTTTCACCATTATTAGAATAACCCGAAAAGTACTTAGAAAACAAAAAGATAGTACAGCGTGATTCGTGACAACCTTGTTTTGATACAGGAGGCAGATCAGTTACCACTGAAGCATAAAAGCCAACGGACATTTTTCAGTTTAAAGGCAATGATTGTATTGTGGTAATAGGACTGTTAAGTATAGAATATCAACAAAATAATAGGTGGGAAAAGATGTATTGTTTATATTATTTACTATGGTCGGTAGAAATTGTTAACCAGAACACTAAAGTAGTGAAAGATTAGAATCCCATTCTGTGCACCAAAAATCAAACTAAGAATGATTGATATAAAATTAATAAATTTGTGTCATCCAAGCCATAAAATCTAAACAGGAATTGAATTCAAATTGTTTTCAGTTTAATATAAATACACTACAATTTTAATTATTTTTACCAATGTTTTCATTTATTCAAAAATTTAATATTTTCTTGTCATTTTTTTTTGAAAATTTCCAGAACTTTTATATCGATTTGAATATTTATGAAATATAATAAATCAGTTTATACTGAGATAGTCATTGCACATTGTAGCAAAAATCTAACACAAACCTCTCTTTCTTGTAGTTCAGTAATCTCTTCACGAGCTTTATCAAGTTCCTTCTTCAACAAAGCAATTTGATGGCCATGTTGTTCTTCTAATTCAGAGCGTAATGCCTGGATAGCATCTTAAAACAAAAATATATTTATTTAACCGATACATGAAAAAATTGATGCAAATGTAATAAATAATATGTTTATACACATGCAATTGTTCAGTTTCAGAATGCTTAATTGCAGTGTTTATTAATGATGAAAAAACTTATATCTGAGGGAAGCGAAAGATACATCCGCAATGTTGTGCCACAATGCTTTATGCTCTTGTTTTACAATAAATTTTGATTAATGGAAATTCTGAATACATAAGCTAAATCTGACCTCACAAATGTGACATAAATTAAAAATTTAGATTTTAATAATTTATGTTAATCTTTGAAATTGCACTTTTTCAAAAATTAATTATTTTGTTAACTTAATTCGTTGGACAGCAATCCCTAATAGTCATTTCATAAAACCGAGAAAAAAAGGATTATAGTAAATAAACAACTTATATTTGCAAATGATCATAATAGCTGTGTGCAGATAAAACCTAACTAAATCGTGTGCGTGTTTACACTATGACAGCAATAACAGTGTGTGATTGGTCGTCATACATGTGATCGCTTGCTTGTTTACGCTATATGATATGATAGGTGTGTACGGCATGTTAAGATTTGTAAGGTCGGCCTATATGCGAATTTCCATAAATTCATCGTTTTAGGGTCATTTTAGTAGCTTATATGCGAAGAGATGCATTTATTTATATATGTATACACTAGAATGAGGTTGTGCAGCTAACCTGACTGGGTATCATCAATGCTGTATGTCTGAGTTGGTCTTGTTTTATCTAATTCAACTTTAAGTGATCTGCATAGTTCATGAGCCTCCTCAGCTTCTATACTTTTTTGTTCAAGTTTGGATGCCATTTGTTTCATTGCTTCTTCTTGGCCATGAATAGCATCAACATAGGTTTTCAGATCTTTTCTGGCTTCCACAAGTTGAGACACAATCTGTTTATTAATGAAAAGGATTTAGTTAAAACATATATTATGAAGTTATACAGTAAAACATATACAGTAAAATCCAACATGTACAGGGTGACTTAAAAAAAATAAAACTGATAAATTTCTTAATTATTTCTAAAAAATTGAAGAAAATATATTCAAATCTTCAACTTCTGTTTGTGTATGATTGCACCAAGAAGTTTCAGTAATCTAGACAGGGAAACACGGTACGTAGCAATTACAAGCTTCAATAAAATACCATGAAGTTGAATTCATCAGCTTCCTATATTGGCAAAAATCGTTTCATAACTAGAACGACCTACCTCGCTTTGGTCACCATCTGAAGCACGTACAGATTCTGTGGCACTGGAAAGATTTTCTTGAAGTTGTTTTACATGAGAAGCAGTTTCTGAAACATTTTTTCTTAATTCTCCAATCACAGAGTCTCTAGCTAATAATGTCTCTTCAAGTTCCCCTAATGAAAAATTGAGTCAGAACACAAATAATAATAAAAAGTTGTTTTCAACCACTGATTTCAGAAGACAATGGTGTACATTTTGATGCAAAACTTATAAGAAAACTTTCAAAGTTGATCAAGCCTACTATTAGGAATAATTCGAAATATTTGCATTTATTATCTTGAGGTAATAATAGATATACCGCTATAAAACTGCTTCACATGGTCCTATTAACTGAATCCCAAACACTGAACTACCAGCCAAAAAAAATGCTATTAACAACATTTTTGCACACTGAAATTTAACCCAAACGAACTCATTTGACAAATTTACCCAAAGAGTATTTCTTATCTAAAAGATATGTCAGATTTGGGGGTAGTTTACTCAGAACATTAATCGCTTCCATAATTAGGTAATAATTTTTAATTTATCGTTCATCAATTTAATGGTATGATTATATCCATTACCTTCTTTATCTCGAAGCTGCTTATTTTCCAATGTTAATTTTTGCAACGCAATTTGCTGATCTGATACAGTAAGTTCAAGTTCTTGAATTCTTTCCCTTGGAGAAAGACCTCCAGCATAACTTGCTTCTTCCTAAAAATAAGTATATTTGTCAAAAACTTTAAGTGCGCAATAGAACTGTTTCGTTTTTTGAGAGATATTGCCCATTTCAGGGTGACCCATAAAGTTCTTGAATCAATCTTATCATGACTTGTTCACTTATTAAATGAAAATGAAAAAAAATTATTTAACACCTGAACTTCTATTTGTGTAATATTTTACCCAATAGTTTCAGTAATATAAAATGTTTTAAGTTACCCAAAAAAGTTTAGTTCTTTCTAGAATATGTTCCATTCCAGGTGACCTGGCTTCTGTTTTTTGGGGTCATCCCATATATACCATATTGTCATTTAATCTTATTGGTTTTAATAGTGGGAATTAGATGCCTGCATTTAATAGGTCTAAAGACTTAAAAATATATGAAAATATCATCACAAATTAGACTATTATTCATTACTGAGGGAAAAAAATATTAATTCAATAAATTTTGAAATTTGCATTCATTTAGGTATATCTTTTGATCATCTTCACAGCATCAAATTGCATTTACAATTAGAAAAGTTGAGATACCAAAGTTTCATCTACCTCTGTTGAAATTTCATCAGCTGTTGTAGATACGTCAGAATCTTCAGATAAGGTTAATCTATGTTCAGTGTTGTCAGATCCAGTCTGCACTGCAATACTATCACCTGCTCCAGCTGATTTCAATGCTTCATCAGTCGCTTTTATTGTGAAAATATATACATATAGGTAAAACAGCACAAAAATGCATCACTCAAGAGGATATTAAGTTTTTGACATATTATTAAAATAGAGTTTGATATACATAAATGGGAATTGCATCACTGATTTCAATACTATTTTGGATACTGATTTTCAATACAATTTTGGTTACTATGCTGTTATTTACCATCACAAATTTTCTTTGATACTAATTAGGTTCCTAGGTTTGGTTAGCATAGCTAAGGATAGATTCAAACCCATGGTTTTTTTTTATCGATACTTATACTTACAGTATTAGAAAAAAGATATGAAATTTAGTGGTGGGCTAATAACAGAAAAAGTTTCAATGTTTTACCGTAATTTTTGTTCAAATAAAAACTGCTATGTTTATATAAATCTGTAGTATAAAAAGGCATGGTAATAAAAGCAATGTTTTCTTGGTGCTTTCACACCGTAGCAAAACCTTCAATTTTAAGCAACTATTCATTTTATAGTTGAAATTATTAATCAATTTATAGAAATGCAATATTCATGAAATGAACCATATCCATACCTGAAGTATCTTTATCTTTGCGTCGTTTGACTCTAGGGGATTTCCCAGTCCTTCTCTTCTTTTGAAAACTTGCAAGCTGAAAAAAAATGTAATAAGACCAAATAAATAGATAAAATCATTTTACAGTGATATACAAATATCCTCACCAACCACATGCCACCACAATACAATGTTCAAAAAATTTATTCCCAAAGCCATATAAATATGGGCCTGTGAATTATAGAATTCAGCTAAATTTGCGGTAAAATATCAGGCCACATGGGACTCGAGGAAAATCTGGGAAAATTGAAAGTAACCTATTAGCATTTCGAAAATTTAACCATTTTGAAAATATTACATCAATAATAAAGAGAAATTTTGCCGTCCAACCTTTGCCTTGCCAGCTTCAAGCTTTCTTTTTCTCTCCTCATCATCCATTATTATCAATTACTTTTTTACAAATTATTCCACAAAATTACGGTATACAATTATGCAACATGCAACTACATATATAAACAATGCATGCTAAAAAAGAGATTTAATTTTAAAAATCTAAATAATATTAGATACAAATCACATTGTTGATAATAAAACAGTACTATCAGAATATTATGACAATAGAGAGATTATTCCAAAAGAAAAGAAATCATTATCATATACAATATGTTCGGTTGCATAATACTATGGTAACTAGGCAGATAGCCTATTTGTATATTTGCAATGAAAAAAACAAAGGTGGATTGATACTACTACCATCGATACTGATCAGCAAACATCATTAAATTTATAGTCTAAATTTTACAGTTTATGGTCCATACTGTAGTACAGTAGTAAGTTGTTTGTTTATATTTTACTCTACCATACAAATAACCTTAAATGCCAGAACATATAAATAGCCTATAATTGCAAATTTATATATTAGGGCCATTCCAAGCAAAAAGTTGAATTCCATGAATTTTTTAAAAAGTGTAGTGAAAGTAATTTTTTTTATTTCTGATATCAAAAGACATTGGAATTTTATTGGACTGCATTCATTTCATCGAACAATTTAAAATTTCACCCAGGTTTTTGATGGTTTATAAAAAATGGCCTGAAATGTAGAAATTTTGGTATAATTGACATATTTCGTGATGATTGCTGACACAAAGTGTTTGATTGTGTGGTACAGTTATTTCATATGCAATTGACGCACTGGATTTGAGTTAATAAAGTTCAAATGTTTGCAGTGCTGTAAGACATTTCTTCACCCATTTAACGATTTAAAACCAGAATTTTAAGAGATGATAGAGGCCGCTATTTCGAAGTGGAAAAATGTCCTGTAGTGTCACGTCCTGTAGTGTCACATACCGGTACAATTTGCACATTATTGGCATAGATTTACAGTTTTACATTAGGTAACTTGAGCAACACATAGAGGGGTAGTTCAGCTACTGCACCAGAAAATATTATGGGCTCCTACTGTACCATCGCAAAAATTTACAGCACAACACAACGTACTGTTAGTGCATGGTGGATTTGCCGTCCTGTAGTGTCACGCTATATTTTACTATATTTTTTTATCTACTAAGTAAGTCTTGGGTGTAACTTTTGTGCAATTTTTTACATATTCAATAAAGCAACTGATTGGACAATGAAAGAAAACATGTAGCTGAAAATGTGAAAATATATTGCATCAAACAACTTGCAAAATTTCTGGAATTGTCCTGTAGTGTCACTTGGAATAGCCCATTATTTAATTTCCTATATGGGTATATCTCTTTCATTAATCTGTATGCCTAAATACAGAAATATCTAAGTCATTTTTGACCCTATTATGCAAATAAAATCTGAAACACGAAATCAGATGTCAGAATGCAAGTCCCATGTCAGCATGTTGCATTTGGTACCTATTATCCAGTACTGCAGTATTCCCAACCTGACAATTACTGATGTAACTTATACGGATATACGGTAAGCAGTTAAACCTATGCTTGGAAACATTTCAGTATTTGGATTCTGCTTTCCGTCCAGTAGGCCTATCATATGCGAGTGACCCAACAACAATACCCAAATTTTACACAGTCAGACAGTGCAGGACTCAAAAGCTTGTTTACAGCCTTGTATAGAGAAATATTGTGAAATTTTCACGATCCTATGAACCTGTTAACTCAAAAGGGTATATCGGAATGTTGTACAAATTAATTCTAATGCATGCTAACCCAGTTCTGTCATTGTCTCACTAATTAGGTAGTTAACCTGTGATACCGCCAGAAAGCAGCTGCAACTGAATTCGATTGTCTAGGGAAATAGCCTAGTCAGCTGATAGAACTAGCACAAGTTTGCGAAGAAACAAAAATTACTCATGCGAAACGGATTCAAAAGAACTCCCGCGTTCCGTGTACGGCAGATTTTAACCACTATACAGATATAATATCATCTATCCGATTTCACTTTTTAGCAACAAGTTTAGCACATAAGTCAATTGAATGAAAATATCAAACCAGTTCCCTTCATAATTCATCTGCGCAATGTTGAAAAAGAAACGTCTGTAACTGATAAGCTCCCCTGGGTAATCCCCTACACACTTCTGATGACGTTTTTGTTGCATGTAATATTTGGGACAATATTTTTAACAAAACGAAAGTCATGGAATACAAAAATAAAATAATATGTTATACTTTACGTTATATTTTGCCATACTAGCTCCACATTCATCCACTTTTTATTGAGTTTGAAAAAATGAACATTTTTGCACACTTTATGTCGTACTTTTTGTGCTTTCATAGGCTTAAATTGCATTATGGTTGAGTTTTAATTTTATTAAATTTACACGTATTTTCTGAAACAACCGAATTGATATAAGTTTCATATTAACCCTAAATACGCATTCGCTAGAACGCAAGTATGCTAGTTATATAAGGAGTAAAAGGAAAAAAGGGAATTTAATTTCTTGTTGATAGACCTCGACAAAATATTAATTGGGGGACATTTCACACATAATAAAAGCCACCAGAAAGATGTGATTCCGTACATGTTTTTCCTATTTTACTCTCATGCTTTGTTTTACTTTGAAATTAATAATGGATCAATCTGTAATATGTTAACATTGTACTAAAAATGATGAAGACACTGTTGGAATATACTAAATGAGATTTAAAATTTATGTATAATTAGAAGCATCCTACTATCTCCGAATCTTACTATTTCCGAGGTATCTTAAGCTTTCTTACAATCTACCACATTTTATCAAGTCCGTCTATGCTTTGCGAAAGAAGCGTTATAATTCTGATCTAAGAGATTTTTACACTGTGGTTTTCATTACAATGCCATGTGTTATCAAATCTTCCAAAGTTCCCCAGTTTTCCGGCGCATTGCCGAACTCGTTCGTATATTTTTGGGCCAATGTTCACCGTCAACGTCCACTTTCAGTTGATATACAGGTAGGCTACATTGTTCCCATTGAGGTAATTAAAATGATACACAGTACTGATTTCTGAAGTTGCTCAACGTTTCTAGTTGTGGGGTCGCTAGTATCTGTGGGCTTTGATTTTAAAAAAATTGGGGTCGCAAAAAAAAAGATTGGGAACCACTGATATAGGGCATAGGCTAAAGTATGTTTTGTGATTTTGGTGCCCCCTATATCCTAATGTCGGTTATCCTTAGCACACATGTATCACGTCATGCGCTCTGGTGGACATCGATGTTAATTATTTATGTTCCGCAGAACGAGGTGCGAGTTCTTTACGACAAACTCGGAAGCTATCGTGCAATCATTGTCGACGAGACGTTGAGGAAAGATATGGGAACGGAATTGCAACCCAAATTTCCAAATTAATTTCATTCTAATTATTATCTTTCGTGACGGTTGTGATCGTCTTTATCGCCACCGTAAAATAATAATAAAAAAGTGAACAATATATTTGCTCCTGGCTCTGGCATTCGTTGTATTTTTTTTATTTGTATTTTTCTAACGTGTCTATGTTATTCTTGCTTTAAATAAAACTTCTGAAATGTCGTCACATTCGTCACTGCGTATCCGTTCTAAAATTTGATAGAATTGACTTGATAGCGTTCTTTCATATTCAAGTTAATAGGTCCATTCGGAAATCTTAGAAACGTTACTTTATTATTATAGGTACCCATATTGATGTTTCGAATTTCACTAAACGGCCCACTAAAAAGTTGTTGAAATTCACGCAACATCGGCGCACATTATGCTCATGTTAAAATGTAAACATGTACATGCAAAAGTCAGAATGTTATCCAAGTATGTCGATTACTGTTTGATAAGGCAAACATAGTCATGTCCGCTACGCATATTATAGATTTATAGTATATATATATATATATATATATAATTGAAATGCAAAGCAGGTAAAGTTTAACTGCCTGTTTAACAATAAATAGTAGTTGCAGGGCCAATAGCAATATTATAACTGTTCCCAATTTTCTGTCGTAGTATATCAACAAGAAGTTCATTTCTCTTGGGGTTCAATATTTATTAGTGTTCGGGCTATCAAAAGTTGAATTCGACTGGACGGTGCGATAACACTCTTTATACATAAAATGATTGGTAAATAAGGAGAGGGCATGAATAGTTCGCTTCCAAGTCTTGAATTATTTGCAATAAACCTAATATTTCCATTATTGTTTCAGCCTAATTTGCGATAACATAGAATAAAAGGTGTTACCACATACACTAAAACAGTTTGAGTCTAATTGACATTTAGGTTAATCATTTGTACATTACAGAAAAATGTCGAGTAAGATGAGAAAAAATTGAAGTAAGAGTGATTGATTCCATCAGTGATTAGATGACTGGGCTAAAGTTAAATGAGGGCGCACATGTCGGGGAATATGGGATTTCTTTTCGTGAGAAGAGGTACGCCGTTCACGTATGTTGTTCCCAAATTGTCAAGCCTATCGGATCCGTCTAGAACAGTGGTTATCAGACGGTGGGGCGCGAGGGGCCTAAAAAGCTAATTAGAAAATGAAAATATTTGTTAGATTAGATCTTGCCCGTCTTATTTTGGATATTTACGTTTCTCTATTTCGGATATTTAAGTTCCATCCACGTATTTTTTTAATAAAACATATTTTCATTACTATACTATTTGTAACATATTATTAGCCAGTTATTTTTGAGGTGGGCGCGAGACTTGACAAACCCAAAAAAGGGGTCGTGGCTTAAAACGTTTGAGAACCAGTTTTAGACTATGGACTTGGAGGACGACGTTACCTACCAGCGAGTTACGCATAATTATCCACCACGGAATTCGAACCCACGAAGGGTATCCATGCTAGCGTATTCCTAACGCTTAGCATGATGCGCCACATCGTAGATCCAGCAGCCCGCAATTGCCGTGCGCGCAGCCCTACCCAGTAACCAAATATTTACTTGATATGTGAATAAACTTGCTTTTTTTTATATATTACGGAAATTCTTACTTGAATCAGAACTTGGTCGAGATTCAAGTTTGGTAAAAACGTTTGCTGCAATTAATGAATTTCCTCATGTGAAAATAGCCCGGGCCTGCCCGATACACACCACCACACCGTATCAGTTTTCTCATATTCACCTCTCTTCTCCGCCGTCATTATCATTTCAACAACAGAAAAATAAATTGGTTAGCAGGAGCATTGCGGTCGATAGTTGGGATTTGGGAAATACCTGCCCACATCGGGTAATGGACCACTATGGAAAGTCGGGCTGGTCAATGGATTGTTCAATTAAAACTTACACACCTGCGCGAGATAATCTCTGATAAATTGATTTCATCTTCACAGGTGCACCGAATTACTTTGCAACCATCTTATACAATGCAATTGTTTTTGGTAATTGAACGTTTTTTCATTCAAGGATTTCAAATGATCAAATAGGCAAAAATACATAAATTGACAATATGGTCAGTTTAATAACTATCTTCTTCAAATTCTTTGATTATTACCGGCACCACTTCTGATAGTGGAAGGGATATACTTTCATTTTTGTTTTGTAATAAGACTTCAACTTTGGAATGTTCATCTAAGATATGCTTGCCAATTATGAGAACTACTGGATACCCAATAAACTTGGCATCATGTAATCTCTTTCCGATTGTGTAATTATCTCTGTCATCAATAATGACATCACCCTCTAAAAGGGGATTTTCTTCCATTTCTTTATAAAGGTCAATATCCATATTCTGAAAGTATTTTTGTTCTTTGCTTCCTTGTTTTGGAGGGATAATGCAAACTTTGAAAGGGGATATTGCATATGGCCACCGAATGCTATCATCATTAGAGAAATGTTCAACACATCCAGCTAGAATCCTTGTTACGCCAAGCCCATAACATCCCATTTGTAATGGCAATCGCTTTGAATCAGGTGATATTAAATTTGCCCCAAAGATCTGAGAATACAGTTGGCCTAAGAGAAATGTGTGGCCTATTTCAATAGCTTGAATTTCAGTTGTTTGAGAAATTTTCAAAGCCAAAGAATCATCGTATTCAGCATTCCAGGCATCCCCATCTTCAGATACATATATTTTATCCTCTCCAATATCAGCAGGAATTAGATATTCATGACTTAATTTTCCACCCATGTTGCCACAAGATGAGGCAGCTCTTATATATTTTAATTCCAATGTTTTTAGTATTCTTTCATATGCTTGTGTGACTAGTTCATAGGTTTCCATTGCTGATTCTGTATCTTTATCAAATGTATACAAATCCTTCATCAGAAATTCTCTACATCGCAACAATCCGAAACGAGGTCGAGGCTCATCCCTAAATTTTGATGTTATTTGATAAAGTTTCATAGGTAAATTTTTTGCTGGAATCAATCCAGTGGATGCTACCATATTTGTCACAACCTCCTCGTGTGTTGGGTTTAAACAATATTCAGTATTGGACATTTTAAGTTTCACGAGTTCATCTCCAAAAGCTTCCCATCTCTTGGATTTTTTCCAAAGTGCTGCACTGCACAGAGATGACAAACTCATTTTCAAACATCCTATATTTAACATTTCATTGTCAATTATCTTATACAGTTTATCAAGTGCTCTCAGGCCCATAGGAAGGATATTATAAGAGCCAGTACCAGAAGAACTGATAAGTTGAGCATGCAGCATCAAGCGATGGCTTTTGCATGTTGAGACAATAGAGGCATCTTTATCCAAAACACCTCCAATCATATACTTTGACACTTTATGCCTCTGCATAGAAAAAGTAAGCCTCATGACGTCCACAACTGTAACTCAACCCAGTTAAATCTAAATATAAAATAAAGAAAATCACCATTGGATAAGGCATTCACATTTAAAATGCAAAAATTGAATAGATAGTACCATTACAAATCGTGGGGTTTCTTGGAAATGTTTCAATTACAAATTTCAACATAAAAAATAATCCTCGAACTTTCAACTAATCAACTATATGCAACTGGACTTGCAGTGTAATTAGTACCTTAACAGAAAGCACTGCTCTCCGACATGTCCTAATCACTGCCACTGCTTTCTTCTTCAGAGTTTTTGCCAGGTTCTTCTGTTTCCAGACTAGCACTCTCTATTGATTTTTTAACTCTCCTTTTTTCACCGGGAGTCGAACATTGATCCAAAATTGAGTCCAGTTTCTTTCTATGGTACTTTATTAAAAATTTTTGACAACTTCTGATTGATCCACCGACATGAAGAGTGTGCAGAAAGCAGGGTATTTTTTTAGGTCGCTTTCCGAGATTTTCGGTTACATATGTGATAAATGGCAATGAAGACCAAACCAGTCTATGAAACTGTCTTCTAGTCTTGATCAGCACAATATTAGTGTACACATTAATGTACTTTACACTAAGTGAAACATCCACACATGCTAGTCCATGATCACCATGTATTGTCTCCACAGCATTTTTAATCCTTCCATATATTTGATACGGTTCAATATTATGTCCAAACTTTTGGTCATCAAACACAAGTCTGATTAGAAAATAACGATGTTTCAACCGGACCATGATAACGCTATTATTGGTAAATAAATCTTTGCATCTGCAGTTAACAATATTAATATTCACATTTTGACTTTTGTATAATGCACGTGGGACATATGATAGATAATTCAAGCAGCAAAAATAATAACATCAAAAAAAGTATTCTATTTCTATCAAACTGACACCACAACACAATAAATATTCAATTATTATTCAATAAAAACATAACATGACAGATAGTACCATGAAAAGCATTTAGTTAACATTTCAATGAGAAATTACTGCAACAGCAGACAAGGATACCACTTTATGCAAAATGTGATTTTTGCAATGCATATTATGATGAAATGATATAACAAAATACTGAACTAGTTTTGAATATCAATGTTCCAAGACTTTGAGAAAAATGAGAAATTCAACAAGTTTATATCACCTGCTAGAGAACTAATGAATGAAATTTAAATGTGAAATCATATAGACTCCCTTTAATGGGAAAATTCAAAACAAAAAATGTTGCTCAGCATTATCATTTGTATGTGATTCTAGTTTTAATGCAAATCATCAGCTATCATATTCTTACTAATTCCGCATTCTGACATTGTCATTTCATCACAATTAATTGGTTGATATCATGGTTTAACCAATGCAAAGAAATGTCATCAAGATGATTGTCAAAATCTACCAAATCTTTATGAACATTCCGGTCTAGAAAGTCCTGCAAGGCATCTTCACTTCCATCCTCGAAAGAAACAGAAGATTGACGTGGCTTCCATTTAGCATCAGATGCTCGCTCGTAAAATTTCAATGACTTGTTATTTGGAACTTCCAGATTGTCAATAATAACAAGAACAGATTCACCGAAATTCTCCTTTACTTTATCTGCAATTCGACATGTAAAGATTCCAGGCGAATCATTATTTTTTTTCAAATACTTTGGTGCTTGGTAGTATCCAGCTATGTAAAGTCCATGAGATGAGCAATAGGAATCAATATTCATCAGAGCAATTTCAAGCATTGGTGTCAATTGCAATGCTTGATGAAACAATGGCACAGCGTCCACAAAATTTAATATTTTGCTTTCTGTAAATGAATGTTTGCATGCAAGCAGGACTCCATTTACTCCACAATGTGGATATTTTGCAGCATGTAATTGGATCTTTGTAAGAGCTTTACAAGAAACCTCAATAGTTCTCGATGCCATTGCAAAGTTCTAATTGTGTGTCTAATTTAATTACAGTACTTATAGACTTAAGAAAAAGTAAACTTGAACGAATTATATACGATATTTAAGATGTGCCAAAGCCTAGAAAGGGTTCGAAATAAAGGTAAGTACTGTACATAATTAAAAGGAGGCTGCCAAAAGAAGTGGTGCCGGGGTACCGTACATGTTCACTGAACACACAGACTTCTGAACTTGGTAACTAAATTATACAGTTATAACGGTAAAATTATAAACAGTACCAGTATCTTAATCCCTCCCTATCGAAAAAATAAACATATTTCAGTATTTGCTCAAAAGGAAACTTAGTGAACAATGAGAAAAAAGTAAATATCATTAAAATGTAGTTACTGTGAAGCTGTAAAAATAAGGTACCGGTACCGGTACCGTAAGCTATGAACCAAGTTGTAAAATTGTAACTAACGCAAAAAACATTTATCCAAATATTTCACCATCAGAGTGCAACCCCAGTTTTCCAGGATGAAATCTAATCAAAAATGTAGCTAGAACTGTAGCAAAATAGCGCCTGCAGAACGACTAACCCCTTCCAGCCTTCAGGCGTTCGTATGGAATGGACAACACTAAAAGGCTGAAGGAAGAAACGGATGAAGTGGAGGGAAAACGGAAGTTGAAGTGTTCCCAAAGGCGAAAAATTAAAAAACACTAAAAGGCTGAACACTAAAAGTAAGAAGTGGATGAAATTTCTTCCGACGGGTAGTTAGGTGGCTGAAGTCACTAAAAAGCTGAACACTAAAAGGAAGAGGTGGATGAAATTTTTTCCGACGAATAATGAGGTGGTTGAAGTCACTAAAAAGCTGATGGAATTTTTTCCGACGAATAATGAGGTGGTTGAAGTCACTAAAAAGCTGAACACTAAAAGGAAGAAGTGGATGAAATTTCTTCCGGCGAATAATGAGGTGGTTGAAGTCACTAAAAAGCTGAACACTAAAAAGGAAGAAGTGGATGAAATTTCTTCCGGCGAATAATGAGGTGGTTGAAGTCACTAAAAAGCTGAACACTAAAAGGAAGAAGTGGATGAAATTTCTTCCGGCGAATAATGAGGTGGTTGAAGTCACTAAAACGCTGAACACTAAAAGGAAGAAGTGGATGAAATTCTTCCGACGAATAATGAGGTGGTTGAAGCAATGAGCATAAATACAATGAGTGGAAACTTGCAAAGATTTGCTCATTATGGCATTGTTCCCTGCATTTTTACGTCGTCCAGCTAAATGGTTCGTTGCATATTAAGAAAACGCATTGCTCGCTGACAAAATCCCTTGCTTCAGCCGAGTTGGGTGCGAAATTGACCGTATTAACTTGACTTGAGGTCTTTAATTCTTCAATACATATTTGATTTTGGGTTTCGAAGTATGGTACGCTGAAAGCATACAACTATGAGCATATGCTTATTGGGAATGCATATATATTAGACAGAAAACGTATCTACAGAACAGAATATGAACCAGTCGCCGAGAGGAGTGCGGTTATTTATGTATTTAATAATTAATATAAAATGGGATTTACATATTTATCCAAGGGGAGAGGAAAGCCGAAAAGAAGGCCTAAATATATGGCGAACCACGGCCTCTCTCAATCATAGCTCTGTCCTCCATATGGATCACATGGCTCTGCGAGCTAATCGTTTACTTGTTAAAAATACTGATTTTAACTATAAATTACTCTGGGATATCTTGCCATTAAAAACAAAAGCCAGAAATTGGAAGAAAAGAAGGGAATGAAATGTGTGTATTATGTAATGGAGAAGTTTGTTTCACATATTTTCATGTATTGTAAATTTACAAAAAATATTTATGAAGATTTTGTTTTAGATATATTAAAATTGATTAGAATACATTTTGTTATCAATATGATCCTTGCATATTATTTAATTTTAACGATCCTTTATATAGTCGTATTGATACTGTTGATTTGGATGCAAATATACTTTTGTAATCAATAGTGAGAAATATTTCATGGCTGCTATTAACTATGTGAGATATTTTTTCTGCAATGCAAAATATTTCCTTCGTCTGCTATTTACTATGTGAATTAATTTTTCAGTAATGTAAAGTATTTCCATAACTGCTTTTACTATGTGGGCTGTTTTTTCGGTACTCTCGTAGTATGTGTACCAGGTTAGGTTACGATTCTCCTTATTTTTGTTCTATTAAAAGTTCGGTAATTGTCTGTGTTACACAAGTGAATATCCCCATACCGATAGAATTTAGTCCATTTACACAACTTGATATAAAGTAGGCGAACAAAATTAGTTACCTTCATGTTGGTACACATACTTCTGGAGCACCATTTTTTTTGTAATGTAAAATATTTAATATGTGAACTAATTTTTCTGTAATGCAAAATATTTTCTACCGCTTCTGTATTTTTATATGTCACTTTTCATTTCATTGATAATACACTTTGTTCATTTTTGTGGAGTTTTTGGTAAATTTACAGAAAGAATAAGACCGACATTCAACTTTTTCTGTTTCAACAACTGTAATACCAAAAAGGTACTCTTGAAGTATGTAAACCCAGTTGGTAGACACGGGAACCATGTTGTACCAGGTTAGGGTCTACTACATACAAACATTCCCAAACTTTTTCAAGCCGCACCCCCTTTTTAGAATTTGTGAAGTCTTGCGCCCCACCTCAAAATAATTAGCTAACAATAATAAGCTACAAATAACAGTATAAGGCGTAAGTATGTTTTATTGGAAAAACATGTGGAAATACATGGATGGAACGAAATAAATGACAAGTTTGATATGTATAAAATTAGCCAAGTCCAGAAGTCAGTATTTTAAACTAATAGAGAGAGAGAGCTTTATTTCGTTCGTCAAACCCATGAACATATATAAATTATAATAAAAAAAAACACATGCTCAGGTGTTTGACTGGGAGACAACGTTACAACATTTCGGGTCATTTAACAGGTTCGGTGTTAAATTCTTCAATACCTCTCATATACCGTATTCACTATATACATTATTCACAAGAATTTTTGATTTGGAAAGTACTAAATAATCATGTTTTGTCCTAAGATCATCATTTATTCAGCTGATAAGTTGACATGTATTGCATATCAACTGCATAAAAATGGGTTAGCGAGGATACCTATTATTTGGAAAATTTGTCTACTAAAAATAATGTAATAGGACATGGTTTTTTATAAGCAAAGATGGGAAAATTCTATTATTATAGCACTTTAATTATAAACATTTGATAATAGTAATGAAATCATGAGTAGATTTCTTTATACACTATAATTTGAACACATCAAATTATAATACTTGATTATGACTGGCAAGTGATTTGGAGGATAGTAACACACAATAATACATGATCAGGATTTGAACCTTCTCCAGCAGATATATATATATATATATAAATAAAGTGCTCATGTACATATCTATATTCGGCTACAGAGCACGTAACATAGAATGAATTTTAAGGCGAAATATTGATAATATACTGAAATAGCAATGATACAATAGGTTATTTTTAAATAAGTATTACCGGTACTAAAAAATAAATAAAGTGCTCATATACATATAGATATTTGGATACAGAGCAAGTATCATAGAATGAAATTAAGGCAAAAAATAAATAATTAGAATAAAATAGCAATAATAAACATTATGATACTTTTAAATGAAGTATTACTAAAAAATAAATAATGTGGTCATGTACATAGATATTTGGATACAGAGAAAGTGTCATAGAATGGAATTTAGGGCGAAATATGGATGCAAGTATGATAAACAATTTGATATTTTTATAAAAAGTGTTACTAAAAATAAAATAATAGATTATGGAGTTCCAGCAAGTGTGCTCATAACAAATAAAAAGATAGCAATTCATTTACCACAGTGAATTAAATTCATTACACATTACTACTTGCTATAACAGCGGGCACATGATACTCATCGTGTTTTAAACTTTTTTAAAGGTTTTGCTCGCTCTCCAGAACTCTCCATTTTTATTTGTTTGTATTGTCAGATTGTGGACTTTTCAAAATAAACTATCTCTATCTATATCAATGAATACAATATCCCAGGTCCCACTTGGCTGGTTCATATTCTGTTCTGTAGATAAGTTTTCTGCCTAATAGATGGTATGTATTCCCAATAAGCATTACAGTATGCTCATTCGTTCACTCAATGAGTGATTTTAATTACGGTAAATATAAAAATATATATAATATAAATAAGTTCATATTCCATTTTGCATCCATGATCAGTATTTATTTTGTTCAATTCCAGTAGTAATCCATACCATAATTAGGTTATTTTAATAAATGCATTGATATAAAACAATAAAAAAAAATTAGTAAATATAAAATACATATCATAAACATATAATTTTCTTTTTAAAATAATGCTTTACATAAATTTTTCAATTCCCTCTCAAATGGGTTGTTTATTCTATAATTCTCTATATTTTTCTACATATTATGGCCATTTTTATCTGCTTTTTGAGAAAGGCAAAATGTGTGTTTTATTTTCGAATATAATAGAATTTCTCATGGTCAAAATTTTATATCTCACTATTGATTACAAAAGTATAATTGCATCCAAATCAACAGTATCTATATGACTATATAAAGGATCGTTAAAATTAAATAATATGCAAGAATCATATTGATAACAAAATGTATTCTAATCAATTTTAATATATCTAAAACAAAATCTTCATAAATATTTTTTGTAAATTTACAATACATGAAAATATGTGAAACAAACTCAGGTTCTCCATTACATAATACACACATTTCATTCCCTGCTATTCTTCCAATTTCTGGCTTTTGTTTTCAATGGCAAGATATCCCAGAGTAATTTATAGTTAAAATCAGTATTTTTAATAAGTAAACGAATAGCTCGCAGAGCCATGTGATTCATATGGAGCACAGAGCTATGATTGAGAGAGGCCGTGGTTCGCCATATATTTAGGCCTTCTTTCGGCTTTCTTCTCCCCTTGGATAAATATGTAAATCCCATGTTACATCAAATAATAAATACATAAATAACCGCACTCCTCTCGGCGACTGGTTCATATTCTGTTCTGTAGATACGTTTTCTGTCTAATAGATATGCATTCCCAATAAGCATATTCT